AAAAATAATTTGGTTCAACTAAATATTTAATTGGCTCAAAATTAATTTGGTTCAAGTAAACATTTAATAGACTCAAAATTAATTTGGTTCAAGTAAATATTTATTTGATAATAGTCAAATAACTGCAGTTATTTGAATCAAATAAATTTTGTTTTCAGTTTTCATTTTTTCAGAAATAATTTATTATTTTTATCCAAAAAAAACTTGAAAAAAATTGAATGTTTTAGAAATAGTTTATTTATTATTTTATTTATCTCTGAAAGCTATATGTAATTAGTGTTTGTTTGAACAGACGATTCAGCTAATTGTGTTTATTGAGTATTATCTGTTATAGTAGAATTTTTCGAACGGTCAATTACTCTTGGTTCGGATGACAGAGAAATATACCCTGTCCTCACTCTGACAAGTATGCGGCATTAGTCGGTAGGAGTAAAGATAGTAAAAGTGGGAGTCAAATGACTCATGTCGGGGAAGTTGGGTGGTTCGTTGCATGCTAACTAAACAGAGAAAAAATTCAAGAAGTTCTCTCTCTCTCTTTCTCTCTCTTTTAACATCCCACACTTTTTGAATATAATATTCTTTTACCACTATACAATTGACAAAAAAAAAATTTTCCTTTTTCCAAAACGTTGCATTGTTTTTTCAATATAAAAAGCTCATTTCTGTGAAACTGAAATTCTCAATATATGAATCAACACCAGGAATTTCTCTTGATTCCTCATTATCAGAAAAGAAAAAATAAATGATTTATTTCATTTATTTTTGTACTTTTCTGAATCTTTCGAATTCCTTAAATTCTTTAAAAAATATATTTTTTGGTTTTGCGAAAAAATTTTGAAATTTATTTGATACAGACTCCAATCATTTTAAGTTGCATTTAAATATTCTCGGGTTGTAAATATATAAATGAATTTTTTTTTTTTCCGGACGTATAGTGGTTTGAAAATCGTGACCTCTTTGGAAACATAAATAAAACGTTGTGTGTAAGCACATTTTCATGAAAAATTCATTTCCAAGGGTTGCAGTCAACGTAAAGTGCAATTGCACGTGAGTAGGCAAGTGAAATCAAATTTTGAATAAATTATTAGAGAGAGAGAAAAAGTTGTCCAAAATTAATCCCCCTGAGGAATTTATACCTATTTGCGATAATAATTTTTAGGTCATGAAAATTTTATACAAAAATCATTAAATATCTTGTTCAAATTTTTTAAAAATTACAATTTTTTTAATTTGGTTACAATGTACAATATTTGTCTAAATGAAAAATTATAATTTAGAAAAAAAAATTTTAAATTTAAGTTTAAAATTATAATTTCAACGTGGATTAATTTTGGTGATTTTATTACCTTTTGTACCTGAATCCCAAGTTTGCAATGTTTACATTGAAGTACAAAGGGCACCTTAAATTAAAGGTAATAAAAATTTGAGATGGGGGAAATTTGGAAGATAATTAAATTAGTTGCAATTTGTATATCGATCTGTTAAGACGTATAGTTAATATAGAAAATTAAAAGGCATTAAAATAAGCTGCAACGCTTATTATTTTAATCCAATTTTGCTTATTTTAATCCATTTTGGTATTAAAATAAGCAAAATTGGATTAAAATAATAAGTGTTGCAGCTTATTTTAATACCTTATAATTTTCTGTGAAAGTGAGTGTTAATTTTTTAATTTTAAACATTTTTTTTCTTTTTATTCCGAGAGTGTTCGAAATTCTTTAAATCGTGATCGTTTAAATTTAAAAAAAAGTATTTTATTTCTTAATTTAAAAGATCGAGTGTTTCAAATGTTTTAAATCTCGTGTATTTCCGGCGCATCTTGTTCAAAATATTTAATTCATCGTTTGCAGCCTAAAGGTGAGAGATATATTTTTTATAATCTCATGCAATATTCTTTCTTTTAGTTTTTTATTTGTTTTAAATAAAAGAATTTATTTTGAACAAATAAAATTTTGCTTAGCGCAAATAAAATTGATTTGAAACAAATAAATATATATTTGAAGCAAATAAATATTTATTTGAAGCAAATAAATATTTATTTGGCTCTAAGACAAATATACCTGTCCTCTGGGTGTATCATTACTATTATTTTTATTATTATTATTATTATTTCCATTCTTATTATTATTTCTATTCTTATTATTGTTGTTGTACTATTTATTGAACATTAACTATGGGAAAATAATTTTTCTACCTGAAAATCGGGAAATAGTTGGGAATTTATTTTTTTTTTTGTGCCCACCCTGAGGTTGTAATTTTTGAGGGAAAAAAAAAATATAAATACAAAACGTTATATGAATGTTGGAGGCAAATTATTTGAACGGATGTCATGCACTTTTATTATGATGATATACCTCTCTCGCGCGTACATTTTGAGTCATTATATATGTGTATAGTTGATATGATGAGCTTGGCCCATGCACCATGGGGTTCAAAAGAGATCATCGACCTTTTCTTCGATAGTCATCTTTCCAGAGACGTAGCGAATATGCTAATGTCAGAATGGCGAGCAAGTTAAAATACTCCTTCATGCATTGAAAACCGGTAGTTTGGAAAATGGCAAAAATTGCTACTTTATAACTGTGTAGAAAATGAGATAAACATGTCTCAAAACGTTCATCGGTGTTTATATATATATATATATATACATGTGAAAGCCAGCATCCAAATCAGGTTTTGTAGTTCCTTTTTTTCCTACCATTCCTTTTTTACTTTTTTATTTATTTTTTTTTTTTAATTTTTTACTTCTTTTTTTATTTCTTTTTCAATTTTAATTTTTTTGTACCTTTTTTTAAAAATTTTCTTTCTCTACTTTCCATCTTCGTTTTTCTTTTGTATTTTTTTCTCATTTTTTTTGTAATTCATTTTTTCGATGCATTTTTTATGTTCATTTGCAAGTGTGTACTTTGCCACGAAAGACACCATTGATTATATTCAATTAACAAAATTGGGGACGCCATTAAGGTAACGTGATATCTTTTAGGGAGTTGAAATTTAGGGTGAATTGTATTAATATGATGAATATTTATTCATTCTGCAATATTATCGAAGTTATTTTTGGAAAAAAAAATTTATTTTTAGATTTTTAATGCCCTATTAATTAATTTAACATATAACTTAAAGAATATTTAATATTTAAAGAATAGGTACTTAATTCTCATAAATTTAATGAGCCAAAAGTTCTGAACGTTCAAATGAACAAAATATTTTTTTCAATCTATAAATTATTAAAAATTATAATGTCAATGTAAAATAAAACAGTAAATTAAATAAATATTAAATTAATAACTTCTTTCTAGATATTTAAAACAATATTTTGTAATAAAATTCGCACTTAAAGAAGTTTAAAAAAAAAAAATTTGTTCATGTGAACGTTCAAAATTTTTGGCTCATTAAATTTATGAGAGTTTATTAAATATTCTCGATAACTTTTTCTCCCATTAGGAAATTGAAATAAATTCCCCTATTTATTTATATATATAAATTAAATAAATCATTTTCAATTTGATTCATATACTGCTTATTGTTTCATTTATTCATTTGTAATAAATGAGCACATGAAGTCTTGATCGTTTATCTCTCTCATTTTTTTTTTTGTACTGTGTAAGTACTTGGAAAAATTTTTAGAGCGCGTAATCTGGCGTGGATAAAAGATTGCACTCAATCTATGTGTGAGGAAAGTGGATTTGTTAACGGAAAAAGAATCCACAGTGGATTTTTTTCTCACGTTTCTGACTTTTCTAGATAGGAAAAAAAAACAGAGGGTAGCAATTTTGTGATTTTTTTTTCTCTCTCTCTCGGGGGAAAAAAAACCCCAAATGAAAACTCGAGGCACACTCAAATGAGTTTCTGCGTGAGAGCCATTGTTTTAATATCCCTTTGTTTTTTTTTACATCAACATTGCGCGACACAAATAATTTTCCGACGGATTTTCCCCTGATTTTAATAGCAACCTTTTGAAACCTTTGAAATAATTTCTCAAACACTTGTTGACGAGAATAGTTCGCATATTGTGATGAAAGCTTATTTGTTTTTTTTTTTAGAATATCGTAACATTTTTTATTTATTATTTTATTTAGAAAAATTGTTTAGAAAAATTCCAGAAAATGAAAATTGCAAAATATATAGTATTAATATTTATTTGTATTTTTTATAATATTCAATTTTTTAGAAAGAAATTATTTATTAAATTTTTTTTTTAGTAAAAAATTGAATTATTTGAAATTTGGAGAAAAGAAAAAAAATTGGGAAAAATTTAGATTTTTGCAGTTTCCTTGTTATGATATATTGGTGGCTGCCGCGGCGTTCATTCACTCTTTTATAAATAGCAACCTTAGGCCTGGTGCACGTCTCGGGTGTGGCAACTCTTTCTTGTCTCCTATCAGTGTGTCCCGTGAGACCACCGACAATTTTGAAGAACATCCAGACTCTTCTTATTGATTTCGATACGGAAGTCTGGCTCTCTAGGGTTGAATTTTAGTTCCTCTCAAATTGAGAATCTGTCTGTGACTTCTTATAAAAAAAAACTGGTCCAATTGTTTCCTCAAAAAATATTTCCAAATCATTTTTTTTAGTTCCAATGGTCACATATTTAAAATTTACCTGATTCAAATAATCTGTTATTTATCAAGTAAATATATACTTGAAACAAATAATTCGTTATTTATCAAGTAATTATATACTTGAAACAAATAATTTTTATTAATTAATTATATTTAATTAACAATATAATTATTATTAATATAATTAATAATATTTAATTATTTATTGCACTGAATAAAATATATTTGATTCAGAAATACAAAAACTTTTTGGTATAATTATTATAAATAATAATTATTATTAATTTAATTAATAATATTTAATTATTTATTTCAGTGAAAAAAATATATTTGATTAAAAAAATACAAAAAATTATTGGTCCCAACGAATAAATCAAATAAAAAAAAAAATTGTATTGAAATAAATTTTATTAAATTTTTACTTTTTCTGTGTTGCAGATTTTCAAATCACCGGAAATTCCAATTGAAATGCCTATTTAATTAAGGTGAGTCACATTCTTTTTCTTCTTTCTTCTTTAATATAAATAATCTTTTTTTTTTTTTTAAACAATATATTTTGAATTATCCAATTTTGATAAGAGCTAAACAAAATTGAGTAGAAAAAAAGAAAAGTGTGTCATTGTCACAATCATAGTATTGCACAATAATCATTTGAATATATATAGTGTGTGTTATTAGACGTAAAGGGTAACACACCTCTAATATGTATAGTTAAATTGATTGTGTAAAGTTAACTAATCCACATAATGTTTTTTTTTTCAATATAATTTGACCTTGAATTTTGCCGTGACCGGAAAATCGTCCAAGCGTCGCAGGTGATTATTAGAACTCCGATAACTGACGATTAACTTTGAAAATAATCCGCGTACTATTATAAAACTTGAAGTATATTTTATCGATAATCGGTTTTGCCTCTTATTTTATAAAGTCATATGTCAAAAAAAACACTCTCTTTGGCTCGTTGCCAAAAATTTTATGATAAAACTTTGTTCTTTTTTTTCTAATTTTTAAGTGGATATAAATTTTTGATGATAAAACTTTTATCTTGTCTCTTCTCAGAAATGATAAATTTTGATATTTTTATTAAAGTGATTAATTACTTAATTAATAATTTATTATTAATCTATTATTAATTTATTATTTATTAATTTATTTATACCTAATTTTTTATAATTTACTATTAATAATTTTAATTTTTGATATTAGATAAATAAATTATCTAAAAATGCTATTATCGTTGATAAATTAAGTGTTTTGATAATATTTCACTCATGAAATTGGTTTCGTTTTTTTCGATAAAAAAAAAATGGTTGTACATAAATATCGCTTATACATATATATCGATATCTCTATCTTAACGATATTTATACTCGGTTGTATAATCTCTGTTTACCTAAAGTAATTGCTTGTCATGTCACGCGTTTTCAATGTTACCTCAAAATGCGTACAGCAAAATAAATAGCAAGAGTTACGTGGCCTAAAGGATTTATATTATTGCAGCAGTAATTTTATTTTGTATGCTATAAATATAAAATACATTTGCAGAAATGCAACACAATATTTTGCAGAAAAAAAAGTAATATTAATTTTCACCTAATGAGTAAATATTATCAATATTGATTAAATAAATTAAATTTTTTTAATAGTGATACTTTGGTACTTTTGGTATCAATTTGGTAGTTTTAGTACCAATTTGGTAGCTGTAGTACCAATTTGGTAGCTGTAGTACCAATTTGGTAGCTGTAGTATCGCTTTGAAATTTTTGGTATCAATGTATAGTTTTGGTATCAATTTGGTACTTTTAGTAACACTTTAATGCTTTTGGTACCAATTTGGTAGTTTTAGTATCAATTTTATATTTTTAATATCAATTTGGTACTTTTAGTATAAATTTAATATTTTTGGTATCAATTTGGTACTCTTAGTATTAATTTGGTATACTTTTAGTATCACTTTGATATTTTTAATACCAAATTTAGTAGTTTTAGTATGCCTTTGATATTTCTAGTATTAATTTGGTACTCTTAGTATCAATTTGGTACTTTTAGCATTAATTTGGTACTTTTAGTATTAATTTGGTACTTTTAGTATTATTTTGATATTTTTACTACCAATTTTGTAGTTTTAGTATGCCTTTGATATTTCTAGTATTAATTTGGTACTCTTAGCATTAATTTGGTACTTTTGGTATTATTTTGGTACTTTTAGTATTATTTTGTTACTTTTAGTATCACTTTGATATTTTTAGTACCAATTTTGTAGTTTTAGTATGCCTTTGATATTTCTAGTATTAATTTGGTACTCTTAGTATCAATTTGGTACTTTTAGCATTAATTTAGTACTCTTAGTATTAATTTGGTACTTTTAGTATTAATTTGTTACTTTTAGTATCACTTTGATATTTTTAGTATACCAATTTTGTAGTTTTAGTATGCCTTTGATATTTCTAGTATCAATTTGGTAGTTTTAGTATATCAAATTTTAGTTTTATGACACTTTGTTACTTCTAGTAAAGGTGTTTGGTTATGACAACAAAACATTTGGTTGGTATTTAAACTAAAATTTTTTTAATCGCCTCAACAAAATTTTAGTTATCTTAACCAAAATAATAATTTATAGTACCCTTTAACTTTGGTTAAAACAATAAAAATACTTTTTATAATTTTACTGGCGCCAACTATCGGGCAATCAAAATTTTGTTGAGGCAACAAAAAAATGTTTGTTTAAATTCCAACCAAACATTAAATAACAAAACATGAAACATAAAATACAACATATAAAACACAACATTTGTGACATGTGACACACGTTTCTTATTTTCATGTAATAAAACGTATTATATATTATCGTGATATGGAATCGCGTGACTTTAGAGGACAATTTCATTGTTCACTCGATACTTCCTTCTCAAGAGTAAAATGAGATAGTGAGGAGAAGGAGGATGAGGACATGTGGACAAATGCAAATAGATATATATATATACAACGGGCTCTCTGACATGGATTTGTTCTTGACGCGACGTTTGCGCGAGAGTAATCCTCGCAGCCAGCAGCTGTGCCAAGGTCAAGGCTGAACGGGTTGCGAGGGTGCAATCGATGCAAGCTGCAAGCAAAAGCACCCTCTCTCTCTCTCCTTTTCTCTCTCCATGTAACCATGGTAACCATCTCTCTCCTGACCCATTGCAATGATATGCCATCTGTTCCATGAAAACAGTAGCTCAATTTGACCCGCTCGATCCAGGTCCAGTGACTGTATCCTGGATCAGCTGATTGTCTTCCCTTGACCCTTCATCGTCATTATTATTATTATTATTATTATTATTATTCCCCTTGGTCAGTATTTCTCAGACGGATCATTTTAAATTTAAATTTTGGAACCAAAAATTATTTCTTTTTCACTTAATCCCTATTAAAAATACGTTCACGATGTTTATTGATGAACGATTAGAAAAGAAATTTGGTTTAAACATTTTATTTTTTATTTAAGAGAATTTGAATTTAATTTTAATTTAGCGGAATTTTTATTTTGGCGAATTTTTTTGTGATTCGAATTTTTAAATGACAGAAATTCTAAGGCAGCGAATTGTTATTTTTCCGAATTTTAATTTGTATGAATTTTGATTTGTACGAATTTTTAAGAAGCCGAATTTTCATTTCTTCGAAGTTACAAATGATCGAAAAAACAATCGACAGAAAATTTTTGACGCAAATTTTAAAATGACAGAAATTCCAAGTCACCGAATTTTAATTTGTTTGAATTTTTATTTGTACGAAATTTTAGAACGCCGAATTTTCATTTTATCCGAAATTACAATTAACCAAACAAACAATCGACAGAAAGATTTTGGCGCAATTTTTGAAAATTAACCAATAACGATTTTCTTGATAATTTCTAATTGGTTAATTTTCAAAAATTGCGCCAAAATCTTTTTGTCGATTATTTGTTCGGAACAATTGAAAATTCGGCGTCTTAAAAATTCGTATTAATAAAAATTCGTACAAATAAAAATTCGTATTAATAAAAATTCGGACAAATTAAAATCCGTACAAATAAAAATTCGTACAAATAAAAATTCGTATTAATAAAAATTCGGACAAATTAAAATCCGTACAAATAAAAATTCGTATTAATAAAAATTCGGACAAATTAAAATTCGATGATTTGAAATTTTTAGCATTTAAAAATTCGAATCACATATAAATTATATTTAATACTAAATTTAGAAAACTTTTTCCCTATAAATTTTATTAATTTCAAAACTTTTGCAATTTCTCATTTAAAAATGGAAATTTTTATAATAAAAGCAAATTCTTCATTTTTGTTTTTCATCCGCAATTTTTCTTACAATTTTTTTAAATAATTCATATATTTTCCGTTTAAATTAGACTAATAATTTTTATCCTATCAAATTCCCGCTTTTTCTTGTCTGATAAGTTTTATCTCTCTCGCAATTTTTCCCCTCTTTTTTTTTTTTTTTTTTTTTTTTTTCCTCCCGATCTGGCGCACTTGGCCAGAAACCACGACTGCATCCTCCTTCTCTTCCTCTATATTAGTTTGAATCGCATCTTTCGAGGAGAAACGTGAGAGTGGAATTTCTAAGGTCAGGGTGTTTGGATCGATAAGCACCAAGTGGTTTTCGACAGACACACAGACGCACATAAGAATAGATATTTTCCTTCGACATTTTGTCACGTCGCGGAATTTTGAAGTGCACTTGTCTCACGTGGTTGTGATATAAAGATTAATTTTCCGTGTATAGAAAAAAAAAAAAAAAAAAAAAAAAAAAAAAAGAACTCGGGGGGGATGGAAGAATGGCAGGGAATTGGTTGGAAAAATGAGGAGAATTCACTTTTTTCCGTCTGGATAAAAAGAGTTAGAGAATCATATTTAGGATTATGGATTTTGGAAATTTTTCAGACAACCACTGGAATGACGACTGCAACCAGTGGAGGAGGAGGTGGTGGTGCAAGTGGAGGTGGCGTTGGAGGTGCCCTAAGTCTCATGGGATGTGTTCGTGAAGCATCACCAACGCCGGTTGATCATCATCCATTGCGACTCAGAAATTTTCAGCACAGTGTCGATGCATTACCAAAGGGTGAGTCGATTTTTTTTTTTACACTGAAAAAGAATTTATTTGGTTCAAATAAATTTTATTTTTTTTTTATTATTAAATTGACGGGATATTTATTTGTATCAATCTCTAAATTTGAATTAGTGAAAAATGAGCTACTAATTCACATTAGTAAGAATTTTGACTAATTTTTAGTAAAATATTACTATTTGAATTAGTAGTTTAAAATTTTTTTTACTAAAGTTTTAGTAAAAAGTGACTAAAGATTAGTTAAAATTTTTACTAATTTAAATTAGTGACTCACTTTACACTAATTCAAATTTAGAGAGCAGATAAATAATTGGTATAATTATTTCAAATACAAAAATTATTGGTTCAAACACAGTTTATTTAATTCAATTATTTGGTTTCAAAAATTATTTCCTTCAAGTAAATATTTATTTGACAATATTCAAGTAAGCGATTATTTGAATCAAATAAATTTTTTTTTTTCACTGTTGTATTGAAAAATTTAGTTTATATTTTTTAAAATTTTAATTGGTAATTCGTTTATTTTTATGATGATTAATAATAATTATTAATCATTATTAGTTATTATTAATTATTTTTAATCTCTCTAAATTTGAATTAGTAAAAAATAACTAATTAGAAAGCAAAAAGTCAGTCACTGATTCAAATAGTAATAATATTTCTACTTATCATTCAGTTATTGGTAAAAATAACTAATTATTAGTTAAATTCATTTTTTGGTTAATAATTAGTTACTTTTTTCTACTAATAATTAGTTATTATTTTTACTAATAATTAAATTTTTTTTACTAATAATTTGGTATTTTTCACTAATTGCTAAACCAAAAAGTGAGCCACGATTTTACTAATAATTAGTTACTTTAAACTAATTCAAATTTAGAGAGATAATTATTAATAATTATTGTTAGTTATAATTAATAATTATTGTTAATTATAATTAATAATTATTGGTAATTATAATTAATAATTATTGTTAATTATAATTAATAATTATTGGTAATTATTATTGTTAGTTATAATTAATCATTATTGTTAGTTATAATTAATAATTATTGTTAATTATTATTTTTATTAATTATTAAAATCTACCAATTAGTACCAAAAAAAAATTGGTCCACCTTACGCTGTCCAATTAATTCTCGTCAGTTCCCCAATTCTCATGCAAAAATGACAAAAAAATATTTTTTGAAAATTTAATTATTTTCTCTTTTTTAAATATATAACAACAATTTGTCAGAATTTTTTTTTCTGATGCATAGTGATTGATGAGATTTTTACAATTGGCGACACGTTTGTCCTTTTTTTTTTCACCACCGAAAAAGCTTTTTTTTTATTTTTTATTTTTTTTATTATCAGATAACTCCGACTAACGAGCATGGGGGATTAGGTTATTCATTTATCGACTGTTTGACAATTGTCCATGACCTAGTTTCAGATCTTGGAGAATGTACTCATGGTACACTGTCGCTATGCAAAATAAACATTTAATTCCACCATGATTTAATCCAGGAATTAAACTCATGAAAATTCCTTATTACGAAAGAACATTGAAAAAAAGCAACATTTATATGAGAATAATTAAATATTGCAAAAAATATAGTTTTTAAAAATTCTAAAAAATATAAGAATAATTTTTGTTTTTGCATATTAATTAGTTTAAATTCAAAATGGAATTGAATGGAAAAAAATAACTTTACAACTAAATTTTTTCAAATGTAATTATTTTATTATTCGAAATTGAAATCATAATTTTTGGCTATTAAAATTATTTAAAATAATTACAAAAAAAAAAATTTAATAATTGTCTTAATTTTGAAATTAACTGAATTTTAATTTGTTGACAGTTGATAAAAAAAAAAATCTAGCGAAGGAAAAATTTTTTTCAAATTATCAAAATCTAGGTCAGTAAATATGTTGAGTGCATTTTCCCCCCTAAACTCCTCATTTGAACTGGTTTAGAACGCTTTTTCTTTAATTTTAATTAATTACTGAGGTGCTATTTGCGTATATTTATATGGGCGGTAAAAATTTACGCAATTTAAGATTTAATTTGATGAAAAAAAGAAATGAAATATGTTGAGAAACGTATAAAGAATTTTTTATTAATTAATTATGCAATTATTTATTGGTTAAAATTTTTTTCTTTTTTTTTAGCTGAATTTATTATATCTATATTTTTTCAAACAAATAATTTTCGTAAAAAAATAGAAAAAAAGTCGTATTTTGACTTTTATGAAATATTTTTTTACAAAAAGTTGAATTATATATATATATCAAAATTGAATAACGATATTTAACTTCCGATATGAATTTAGCTATTGTTCAATATTTTTGACACGCTTCTCGAGCACAATTTTTTAGAGTCAATGACAGCTATTGGTGCGAACTGTGAATCGTATTTATTTGCCCTGTGTCGATTTTTTTTATTTATTTATTTCTTTTTCAAAAAATCGGATTTTCGAAAAAAAATGCTTCGGATTTTTTTTTTTTTTTTTGGCTTTGTATTAATTTTTTTTCTGGTATTTTTTAATATTTTCTGTTTTATACATGGAAAAAAAATTGTTACATTTTTTCCTAATAAATTGAATTGTAAAAAAAATGTTGAAAATGAGGTATTCAACAGTTTGTCGAAATGAAATATATTTTTTTTTGCTATATATATGTACAATTTTCCTCGCACAGTTAAAATTTCCGGTTTAACACCTCTGCCTTCGATTTACCGTCAAATAACTAACGAGACGCGAGGATTTTCGCTAATTAAATAGTTCCCCTCACCCCCTCCTCTCTGAGTTTCAAGTGGGGTGTAGATTCTGTTGATAGAGATGTTTCCCTGTAGCTAAATTGAATGTAGGGTAGATATTTAATTACATCAAATACACTCAATTCCCAATATACACTTGAGAATTCCGGTCGCGATGATATCTTCCTGAAAAAAAATATATAGGTATATATATATTTATAGATTCTTTAGAAAATTCCACATTTTCCTCGCACAAAATTCCAATATGAATTTATTTTTCTCTTTTCTAATATTTATTTTTTTCTCTCTCTATTTCTGAACAAAAATTTTTTTTTCTTGCATTTTCTATTTCGTGTGTGAATATGAATATTTTACTTTGGTATGCGTCTTTTATGTTGCTGTATCAGTTTTTTTTTATATGTATAATCTTATCAGTTATTCCATTATCGATTCACGGGAATTGGTAAAATTTTGTAATGATAATATTTTTACATAATATTTTATTTTTGTTATAAATATTTTTAATTTGTAAAATAAGTGAATAATTTTGAGGCGAATAATATTTAGTAGAAACTAATTTATTTATGACAAATAAAATTTTTATTTACGCCAAATAAATAAGTTAGTAGGCTCTGAGACAAATATTTGTTTATTTAATTCAAATATATTTTATTTGATTCAAATAAATCATTTCTCTGGGTGTAATATTTTTGTATTAAAATTTTAGTGAAAAATAACTAGAAATTAGAGGAAATTTGTATTAATTTTTAGTATTAAATATGTTTACTTGATTTAGTAATATTTTTTTTTTACTAAAATTTCAGTAAACAAAGTCTAAAAGTTAGTTGGAATTTTTACTATTTTTTTTAGTAAAATATTACCATTTAATTTAGTAATATTTTTTTATTAAACTTTTAGTAGTGAGAAGTAACTAAAAATTAGTAAAAATTTCTACTAATTTATAGTAAAATATTATACTATTATAGTAATTTTCTTTATTTAGTAATATTTTTTTACTAAAATTTTAGAAAATAATGACTAAAAATGAACAGAAATCTTTACTAATTTTTTGTAAAATATTACCAACTACTTTGGTAATATTTTTTTTTTACTAAACTTTTAGTGAAAAATGACTAAAAATTAGTAAAAATTTGCACTAAATTTTTAGTAAAAAAAATACTATTTAGACGTAAAATACAATTATTTATAAAATTTAAGGCATGTCAAAATTTAAGGCCTTTTTTAAATTGTTTTAAAATACTTTTTAAAATCGTGAGTCTAAAAAATCAGCGACTGAAAAATACACCGCGTTTAAAATTTCAAATCGTTTTAATATTACAATAAAAATAAATACGGACTTTGTAAAATCGCAGTTTGGGTATTTTCTTTTTTATTAATTTTTTAATATATTCTGAATATAATATGAAGGTTGAATGTATTGAATTTTTTATCGCCGCTACATATATATATAATATGTGTGAAGCCTTGATGCGAAAGAATTGTTTGATGTTATCGAGATCAAATATTCACTTTATGGTTCATAGCTTTTCTCTCTCTCTCTTTCGCTCTCTCTCGTCATCTTTTTCAATTGATAGCACACAACACTTTGCGTCATCGATTTTTCTAGTACTCTCTTTATTTTTCCTTTTTTTTTTATTAGAGATCCCTTCAATGTCTCGCAATTAAAGGCCATCCACAAGCCGCAGTAACGAATGTCACTCATTGTATATAAGGGGGTGCAACATTATTTGCTGATCGCAACAGTTTGCAGAAGCACGATTGTTGAGGTACTTAGACTGCATTGTTGTGTGTATAAATATAAGGGGAAAGAATGGATGAGAGAGAAAGAGAGAGAGAAAAAAAAATACGACCGCGCGACTTGCAACTATTTCCTGTGAGACTTGGCGGTTTTATGTTTTATAAGCGAGAGATAGAAAAGAACGCGTGTATATATATATATAGACAAAAACGGAAAGAAGAAATGAATTCATTTCTCCATTTCAAGTATTTAGTTCCATCACAATTTTTCTGTTCCACTTGCATGCAAGAGGGAGAGAGAGAGAGATAGAGAGATAGAGAAAATTAAACTAGCTGTATCTGGAGACAATATAGAATAAGACGGCAAATTTTTTTTTTGTTTCTTATTGCGGATTTTGTCTAGAAAATTTTGTTGGCATTTTAAAATGAAATTTTTTTTTTGAATTTTTTTTTACTTCAAATATGTATTTTTTTTATATTCATTCAATTTAAACATAATTTTTTTTTTAAATAAAACAATTTTTTTTTAATTAAATAATTAATTATTTTTAATTAAAATACTTAATTCCCACTTGGAAAGATTCCCTGGAAAGTGCCCCCTGGAGGTTCTATCAGAATTCCGCCGGAACTTACAACGTAATTCCGTCGGAATTCCATCGGAGTTCCAAAGAATTTCCGATGGGATTCCGACGGAATTAGAACTCTAAAAATTTTTGAAAAAAATTAATCGGAATTCCGTCAGAATTCCTTCGGAAATTCTTTGGAACTCCGATGGGATTCCGACGGAATTAGGACTATAAAAAATTTTGAAAGAAATTAATCGGAATTCCGTCGGAAACTCTTTGGAACTCCGGTGGAATTCCGACGGAATTACGTTGGAAGTTCCGGCGGAATTCTGATAGAACCTCCAGGGGGCACTTTCCGGGGAATCTTTCCAAATGGGTTACACGGAAAAATTTTTTTTTTATCTGGAACAGCATTATGTTTCTCTAGAATAGCAAAAACTTTCGCTGTTTTAGTGATACATATCGCTGTACCAGTGAAACTTATCGCCGTTCCAAGTAAAAAATTTTTTTCTCTGTATTTTTAAATAAAATACTTAATTACTTTTTAAATAAAAAATAAATATTATTTTTAAATAAAAAAAATTATTTTTAATATATAGAAAATTATTTTTAATATATAGAAAATTAATTTGTTTTCCAATAAAAATATTAGTTTTAATAAAAAAAAATTAATTCAATTGTTTTTGTATAAAAAATATTAATTATTATTTTTATCAATTTAATTTTTTTTTTACTTTAAATTAAGTCCAGTAAATTTTTCCTATAATTTATAATATTGCGATTAATTAACACTACAAGTATATATTAATTACACATTCGTTATTCATTAATTATTTTTCTAAACCTGTAAATATTCTTCTCTCTCTCTCTGTTTCTCTTTCTCGTATATGTATAAGAAATAAAAATAGTTTTCTACGCATGAAAATTGTTTTTATTCGAAAGTCACGAAGTAGAACTCTCATAAACTCAATCAGAAATTCTCTCACAGTAATTATTATATATATATATTATACTTTCCGAAGAAAACTGATGTGTGCGTATGTCTGCTCTTTTACAGAGTCAATTAAAATTAACCTCGCAATCAGTTTAACAAATGGAAGTTAATTTTTTTCCTTTTTTGAGTATAAATATATAAAAGCTGCGTGCGACATTCACTATACATAATAGTCTCCGATTAATTGTATTTAATTTATTTGTCTTATATAAGTTTATTGAAATTATCTTTTTGTGATATGTATTTTCCTTTTTTTTCCAATGATTAATCATTGCTTCCGTATATAGATGAGATTATTGTTGGTATTATTCAGAACTGATAATAATTAATAATTAAATATTAGATACCGCGTTTTTTTTTCTTCTTCTAAAATCCACAATAATTCGATTAACTCATTTTTGAGATTATTATCATATCTTTGTAATAGCTATCATGTAATTTGACATATATCGATTGCAATAAAAATTATCCACCGATTTGAAAATGATTTGAGAATTCTTTTATTTTTTTGGGAAATTTTATATTTTTAATAATTATTTAATATTACATTTTTGAATTGTTTTTAATAGAAAAAGTTAATTTTAACTAATTAAATGAGGCTTTATTCATTTAATTTATATAAATAAATTTATTTCTAAATTTATAAAAAAATTATATTATTTAGAAATAAATTTATATAATTAATTATGTTATTTATAAATTATTATTATATTTATTGTTTTATTTTTTATAAACAAAAAATATCCACCGATTTGAAAATGATTTGAGAATTCTTTTATTTTATTTTTTTTTAATTTTTTATTTTTAATAATTATTTAATATTAAATTTTTGAATTTTTTTTAATAGAAAAAGTTAATTTTAACTAATTAAATGAGGCTTTATTCATTTAATTTATATAAATAAATTTATTTTTAAATTTATGTAAATAAATTTATTTTTAAACTTATTATAAAAAAATTATATTATTTAGAAATAAATTTATATAATTAATTTTGTTGTTTATAAATTATTATTATATTTATTGTTTTATTTTTTATAAACGATACTAAAGTCAGTTACGTTTATTATCAACGATTAATAATTTTTTTCAACGGTAAATTGTAAAATTTTTCAGCTAAAAAATAATTTTTTTAATTAATTAGAAACACTCTGCGAAAAATAATTTTTTATATAGAATTATTCCTTCAAAAATATTATTTATATAAAAATCGTTGATTATAAACGTTCTCTTTATTTATCGTTTTTATCTATTTTATAAATAATTATTATAAATTAAAAAATAGAACTAAATAAGTATTAGCAAAAGCTGATTAATTATTTCGAAATCGCATATAATATTAAAAATTAAAAATATAAAAATATTGTAATATTTATTTTATTTATTATTTTATTATTATTATTATTTTTATTATTTATTATTTATTTTTATTTATATTATAATATTATATTATTATAAATTATAAATATTAAAAAATTTATTTTTATTTAAAAAAAAAATAAATAATCATTTACAAAATTCGAAATTTTTATTGCAAAACGATTTTTGTTTTTTTTTTATTTTTAAATTTAATTTAATGAGCGCAGGGATTAAAATTGTCAACTCTTTTAATGATCCCTCTATTTTTTTTCCTGTTTTTTTTTTTTTAAATAGCACACGTATGTTGAAAATAAATCTTGCAGAAGAGTAGTGGAATAAAATACAATAAAGAACGAAAGAGAGAGAGAGATTTAATTAGTAGAATAGTATGAAATGAAAAAGGAGTCTGTGTTTGTGTATATATATATATATGGTATCAAAAGCCAGCCTCTGGGTTAGCAGTGCGCCGCATTAAGCTTTGTGGATAATCATGTCAGTCGTGTGTACATTTCCTCTCCTCTTCCCCTCTCTTTTTGTCCCGCACCTGCAACACCTTTCTACCTTGCAATGTGTTTATTCGTATACAACCAAGTAAACTGGGTTACATCCATTGAAAACTACAATTTTCTATTTTTCTTTTTTCGTTTTGCGAAATAATTCTAAAAATAATTTTTTCAATACTTTAAAAAACTTCCCGCGAATTATCATAACAGTGTCAATTATGTCGATGAAGCAATATTTCCCATTTTTTAAAATTAAAAAAAAAAAAAAAAAAAAAAAAATTTAAAATAATTAATTAGTATTTATTGTATATTATTTATTATACAATATACAATTTAAATTATTAATTAAATATTAAATACCATTTTTATTTTTAATTTTATTTTTTTTCCATTTATTTCACATTAGACTTTTTAGAATTTTAAATTATTTATTAAATTTTAAATTTTGTATTAAATTATATATTATTTATGGATTTTCAAGTATTTGTAGATTTTATTGAAAATCCCCTTCTGATTGACGTAACATATTTAATCAGTTGCTACGAGGATATACACTTATCCCGAAGGCAAATTGACTCGTTCTCGCAGATTTGATTTGCTGAGGAAATGGGAGCAAGTTAAATGAACTGATGCGTAAATTTCGTTAGTTAATGTCAATTAGACTTTTTCGGAAAAAATTTCCACTTTTCTCATTAGCAACGATATAATGAAATTGCAAAAATTGGGAAATGTTTTTTTTTCCAAGTTGGCAAAATTCTTTTTTAGATACACTCCTTTCTATACATTTTGCAATTAATTACAATTAAAAAAAAGGGGGAAATTTAATTTTATACAAAATATAATATTTCACGAAACAAATATTATTTTCCAAATGTAGAAAAAATTTATTAATTGATAAAATTTCGTATAAATGAAAAAAAGTAAATTAAAAAAAAAATTGAAAAAATAATTGTAAATTTAGTGATAAAATTATATTTCGTAAATAAAATTAAATTAAAACAAAATTAAATTAAAACAAAATTAAAAAACTAATTGTTAATTTAGTGATAAAATTAAATTTCATATTTTTTGTAGGCCTTTCTATACCTTTTGCAATTAATTAAAATTTAAAAAAAAAAGTGTAAAATTTAATTTTCTACAAAATATAATATTTCACGAAACAAATATTATTTTCCAAATGTAGAAAAAATTTATTAATTGATAAAATTTCCTATAAATGAAAAAAAAAGTAAATTAAAAAAAAAATTGAAAAAATAATTGTAAATTTAGTGCTAAAAAATTATATTTCGTAAATAAAATTAAATTAAAACAAAATTAAAAAACTAATTGTTAATTTAGTGATAAAATTAAATTTCATATAAATGAAATATATATAAAAAATTAATTGTTAATTTACAGATAAAATTAAATTTCGTATTTTACAAATGTAAAAAAAAAATTGTCAATATTTTTACTAATTAAATTATTTTTTTATTGCAGAACCAAAGAAAAGAAGATTTCATCCATTGCGAGGATTGCGAAGAATATTTAGGAGAAAAAGTCGTGGAGCGGCGGATTCTCGTCTAACTTCCGGTTTAACTGATGGTGATTTACTAGCTCGTGATCGTGAGGAAGTCACTTTGCGACATCCTGCAGGGCGAACAGAAGAAGCACGTAGTCGAAGTGCTAGTGAACTTCTCACGGATTCCTGTGACAGAGAAAGGTAAAGACATTTTTTTATTTTTTATTTTAATTTTTTTTTTTTTTTTAATGTATATATTACCTTTGAAGTTTTTTTTTCACATTGTTTATAATATAGAAAATAATATGTATAAGAGAACAAAAAACTATTTATGAAGATTTTGAAAGAAAACCATATATATCTCTATGTTTGCGGTTTTGAAAAACACAGTCGACTCATTGCAATTACAGCGCTCTTTAATTTTATAATACATAAAAACGTTATAGTCATTAACTCGTTTTGCGCAATATTCTCTTCATTGCTTCTCTAGAAAATTTGTTTATTCTTCCTTCGTTAATAATAGGCTTTCTTCTCACACTTAGAATTTTTTTTTTCTCAAAAAAAAAAAATAAATAAATGCTAAAAACTAACAATAAAATAACAAATAATTAATAAAAACAATAAATACAATAAAAAACAATAAATGTAATAAAAAAACAAATAATTAAAAAAACAATAAATAATAAAAATTAAATTAAAAAAAAATCAATATAGATCATTATTCAAAATTTTCTTTCAGTATAGAACAAATTGGCTGGCCAGATAAATATGGAATAGTCTTCTCATTGAAGTCTGAGAATTCTTTCAAACAGTAAATATATTTTCCCAAAAAAAAAAATTGTCTGAATATTTTAAAAAAAATTCTTTTTATGTCTTTTGTGTATGTATAGTGAAATCGTATCCATATAAAGAGGCTATGAAATTCGAGAATGTTAATGTAAAGGCTAATTAGACAGTGAAAGCTTTTTTTCATTATTGCATTGTATTTGCTGGTATAATTTTGTTTTAAAAAATTATATTTTAATGTCCAATTTAAATGGTACTTGGTGCTATTTTTCAAGTTGCTTTTTATTTATTCGTCAAGTGCTATTTTTTTTAATATACTATATTTGGGATAATGGTGTACCTGGTTTTACAGACTTTCATTTTTTTAGTATTTTTTTTTTTAAATAAATTCCAAAACTGGGAAATATTTTTAGAAAATATTTATTGTAATTTAGAGAAAAAGAAGTTTGTAATTCCAGAAAATTAATTTTAAAATTCTTTTTTTTTTGCTTGTGAACAGTTGGAATGACTCGACGAAACATTAAAAAATAATGGATAAATGCTAATAAATTTAATAAATGTTTCAGTGTATTTCTCAGGAGAAATGGCGAAGATGATTCCTTTACGAAATTTCGAGGAGGAGCGGGACAATTATCAGTTTCACATGACAGTGTTTTTCCTGGAGAAGTGCCTCACACTCGTCCTCTATCTCTCGAATCTCTTACAACCCTTGAGGTGAGTTTTTTTTATAATTAAAATTCTCATTTAAAATTTATAAATATTTAATAATATTAAATATTAATTTATATAAATTTGGAGAATATTTTACGAGGCTGAAGTACGCGCAACGTTTATATAAACGATTTTTAAAGAAATAAGTTTTTAAAATGAAAAATTCTATAATTTTTTGCCTAAAATTTTTTTTTTATAATTTGTTAATTAATGAAAATTACAAGAAATATTTTTTATAGAATTTTTTATTTTAAAAAATTATTTATTTAAAAATCGTTTATAGAAACGTTGCGTACTTCAGCTTCGTGAATATTTTTGATTAATAAATTAATTCTTAAAGTAAAAATATATAAAAAGAAAAATAATCTCAAAGTAAGAATTTGAAATAAGTTTGGAATCTGAAATTGCAAAAATTGGAATTTAATTTTTTCTTTTAATATTTCAGAGATAGAGAATAAAAAAAAGAGATTAAATACTACAAAATGATTGAAACTAATGAGAAATAGTCGCGAAAAAAAATATAAGGGTTTCTTTGTAATATATGGAGAATTTGTTTGGAGTCTGTCGAAATAAAACAGACAGTGATAAATCTCCCAGAATTCTAATCTTGAGCGTTATATATTTTACCCGAGTGTTCCAAAGGTCCCTAACACCAGTAGCTGGAATGCTCGTAAACCCCGATGATGAGGTCAGACTGGAAAATCATTATAGTCATCCTTCCTATCATAATATTTCTCTTAACTGCATTCTTCGCAATAACCCAAAGATAATCGATAGTTTATTTCAATAATTTTACAATATTTATTTTAGGTCTTCTTTTTTTTTTATTTTCACATTTATTAGTTTCTATTATTTCTTAATTTAATCAATCAAAATATTTTTCATCTTAAAATTTTTCTTAATATTTTCGATTCCAAACTGATTTTCAAAAAGGAACATTATTTTATTTACTTTTCCTGAAAATTAGAACTATAAATTTAATTTTTAAAATAATTAGTGGAATTGAATTTGCGATTCTATATTAAAAAGTGAGTTTTTACATTTCGTTTTTGGCCTGCGACTAAAAAATTGAAATTCTTTTTCCATCTATATTCCATGTTCTCGTGACATGAAATAGAATTTTGTAGATATTTGCGAGAAACTTGGAATAATTTTTTTTTCTTTTTTTTTTTTAAACCGTACTTTCCACATTACTTCTTAAGAAATGAAAGATCCATTCTCAGCATCTGGTAAACTTATGCTCCGGTAACTTGTGCGAATGCATAGCACGCCTATTTCAGTCTGCAATAAGGTCAACAGCGAAAATAGAATCGCGGTAAGCTTTTAAGACACGAAAAAAAGAAATTTCAATTTGACAATTGAAGTTTTTTTTTTTCAAATGATCAGAAAAATTGCCCCACAAAGGAAATTCGAAATTAAAAAAAAATAATTCAATCTAAAATTATATATAAATATTAAAACGACCTAAAATTAGTTTTATGTTTTGATATTTTAATTACTTGTTAATGTACCGAGCGTTAGGTAATTCCAATATTGAAAAAAAAATTAGTACCTATCATTGAAAAGTAATAAATGAAATTTCACAATAGATGTTTGAATTAATCAATTCATGAATAATCATTCTGAAAAAGTATAATGACCTCAAAAGAATAGTGCAAGTCATGAAAAAAACTTAAATTGTATTTCTTAATGAACTGTCAAAGAATTTTTTTTTTCAACTTATTTAAATCTATATTGAATGACTAAAAAAAAAAATTACTGGTCACAGATAAATATTTGTAGTTCCAAACAATGAATTCATAATCAAATATTTACTTAAATCTATCTCAATTTTATTCACTATTTTAATCCTTTGTGTTTATATTTTTTTCCCTAATTTAATTAAAAACTTTTTTAATTTTTATTTAATAAAAAAAAACAGAAAAGTGAATTGCATGAGTTCATTTTTTTTCCCTTATAAATTATTATTATTATTCAAGTGTCTGCCCGTTCCGTTCTGATAGACGATGAAAGTTAAAGCGATTTTTCTCCTTAAAGATTAGCCGCATACTCTTGAAACTCTTGAAATTTACTTCAATTTTTATTTCAGCGAAGGCAATCTAATACTGGAGACGAGACGGAACACAACCGAGAGTACAAGTCACATGTGGCCCAAAGGCAGAGGATATCATTAAGGGTGAGTACAATTTTTATTCCTTAGATTACAAAATTTATTTTCTTTTTCAAATTTTTTTTTTTTTTCAAATTATTGTCTTTTTTCAATTTCATTAATTGACTTAATTATTAAGGATCTTAATTATTTGCCGAGAAATAATAATAATTATAATAATAATAATAATAATACTATTGTATTTCCAAATATATAATTTTATAATTTATTTAAAATAAATAATATAATAATATTTCAAATTTAAAACTGATAAAAAAAATGTTTTATTAATTATTTAAAATATTTTTTTTCTCTTACCAGAGATTATTATTAATTTAATTAAAAAATAGCGAAAAAAATTATTATTATTATAAATAAATTTAATTTAAATAATTTTGATTAAAATTTTAATATTAAAATAAAAAACAAAAGTACCCGTAACGATTCAGTAACTTTCAATTAAGTCTGAATAAAACTTTTAATATTTAGTTTTCTTTTTTTGTAACACAACTGATTGCTAGACAAAAAAAAAAAAATTAATTTTTTTTTTTTGTCTACTAGGGGACTTATAAATTATTATTATTATTATTATTATTTTGTATTTCGATAATAAAACTCTCGAAAGAGTGAAAGTCAACTGTCCGTGGAAGATACTCCTTTGCTTGAAAGACAATTTATTCCTAAAGTGCAATTCCAGTTAATGTGTTCAAGTGGGCATGATTGTATATTAGTGCACTTTCACGTTTGATGTTTGTAATTCAATATAGTAAATACAAATTCATCTTACATTTCTCACGATATAAACAATATAATGTTTTTTTTTTCAGTTACTTTATAAATACAAAACTCGAAAGTTGCCTCACGATCCTTTGGGAAGTTTTATTATCATTTCAAGCAAAGATATATCTTTTATACAAAAAAAAAACATTATTGCAAATTTTTGCTTTTTTCACTTTTATTTATTTGATAATTGCAAAAATTTTTTTTTTCTTTCCTTTAATATAATTATTTCCTTTTTTTAAATTAATTAAAATATATAATTAGAATTATATAATTATATTATTATAATATATATTATTTATTATTATTATTATATTATTATAATTTTTCGGTTTTGAATTATTTTAGTTGAAAGTGAAAAATTTAATTGATTTTTTATTCTATTTAAATAGAAAATAAAAATTCAGTTCAATTTTGAGAATTGATAATATTAAGTCAATGAATGGAGACGAAATGAATGCGTATTATGTGAACCGAGTCGCGTGTTTGAAACTTGACTAAAGCACGTTTTGTTTGCAGGTGCTGGAGCAAATAAAGACAGTCATAGAGAACCGGAACCATCAAGCCTCTGCGACCTCCACGGATTCCACGAGTTCCCCTCAAGTGAGTACATATACATATATATATATTATAGAGATACAAACTTGTCTCCATCAGGTTCACGACCCCTTGTCATTAGATTTATCGTCGCACTTTCTCTCAAAATTCATTGCCCTCTTTTTTTTTTATTTTTTTTTCTTAAACAAAAGTTTATCTTTCACTCTCTCTCTCTCTCTACCATCAGCTATATAATATTCCTATAACAGGACATTCAACCTTTCTCAATCAAAATTTCAGGAAATTCAACTACTTTTAGAAAGGTCGCACTTAAAAAGATTTTAAGACTTTTTACATTCAAAAGATTTATATCTTCAATTTTTTAAAAACCGGATATTAAAATTTATTTCATATTCTGAGACTTTTTTTGTCAATTCATTTTTCAAAAAAAAAAAAAAAAACAAACAAAATCCAATTGATAAATAAAAATAAATAATAAATTAAATTAATTGATAATTAAATAGTAAAAACAGGGTGTCTAACGGTCAGGGAAGTCAGGAAATTTTGTTGGTCAGGGAAAAGTCAGGGAATTTCAAAAAATTTCATTCAAAGTCAGGTAAATTTCTACAAAAATTAAAATTTTTTGTGAATTTAAAAATTTTTTAATCAAAAAAAATTTGAATGGTTTTTATTACCATTTGTTACTACCATTAGAAATTAATTTATTGTTAAATATGTCAATAACCATATTTTTGTCCAAAAAAAGCAGAAATAAAGTTATTATAAAGTCAGGGAAAATAAAAAAATGTCAGGGAAAAGTCAGGGAATTTTTTTCTCAACCCTTGTTAGACACCCTGAAAAATAAAAAAATTGAAAATTATTAAAAAATTATAAAAGAAAAAAATGAGGAATTGATTAAAAAAAAAAATTTCAATTGGAAAAAATTTTTTTCTCGAAATAATTAAATCTGCTGAGCTTCTGTCTTCTTATTGAATGACTTATTAAATTTCTTTAGAATTGATCACGTATTTATTGCAATCAGCGTTTCCTTTCAGTCATTCACGCGTGAGAGAGAGAGATTCAAATGAAAATTATTATTTCTTTTGTCTATACACACCATTATTATTCTTTTATATGACATTCTGACTTGTTTTTCACTTTGCAAACTGACATATTCACTATCAGCCGGAAACCACTGAGGTGAGATAATGCAAAAAGCGCTTTTATTCTACATATCATATCAGTCGAAAGTTCTCTCCGCTAATGCAGTTCTCCTCTGACATTAAATCGTACACAGTCACGTTTTTTTATATAGTATAAAATTGCATTGCTTTTTCAATTCCAATATTTTAAATGGGGGTAAACGAACTTTTGTTCTATTTTATATTTTTGATAACAGTTGTATATTTTTATTAAAAAAATAATATAATAAAATTGTTTTCCTTTTTTTAGAATCGCTTTGGCAGCTACGAAATTCATGAGAAATCATCAGAGGATTCATCGCAAACAAGGGTGAGTTAATTACTGATTTTTTCATAAACAGGTTAGAGAAGAAATAAAAAATAGAAATCGTATAAAATCTCGTGCAGCAACAGGTGGCGAATAGGGAATGATACCAACCCCCGTTAGTTAATCTTCTTCTGGTTTCCTCTGCCTTTTGCCGTGAAACGTTAAAAAGTCATAAAAATACTGCAATTTTACTTCGTCTCGTGGCTTTTTTTTTTCTCTTCTTCTTTCTTCACTGGGTAATAAACTTACCGAGAAAACGGTTTTAAATGTTATTGGTCAAGGCTTGCGGAAAATTCAAAGAGATTTCTCACGTTCGTGTCCCAACAATTATATTATAAAGTTCAAAATAGTAAAGAGTTGCTAAATTGAGTTCTTAAAAATTATTTTTCATTGTTTTTTTTTTTCTTCCATAGCGAAAGTTTTATATATTTTTTTTCGAGGCAAAAAAATTAATGAAATACAAAGAAAAAAAAAGCCAAAGTAGAATAAAATAATTGTGATAAATTAATTAATTTACTGTTAGATATATATAAATTTCAATAGAACTATTTTTTATTGAGGAGCAATGTCACAAAATTGATCATTATATTTCCGATTCTTAGGTAGCAATTTATACCGTTAGAATTTATACAGCACTTCTTGAACTGCGATAATGAGCGATAAATTTTCACGACTCTCTGCTTTTAACATTGCCTTGTCGTCGACGGATAAACATGCCGGATGCACATTTACTATGTTAGAATCAGAATGAATTATTATATTCTCTTAAACAGTTGTGCGATCAAAGCTCAAAATCTTTAAAAAACAATCGTCTCTATAAATAGATTTAAAAATTAAAAGTGCAAATTTCAAGACAATTTTTTTTCATATTTATTTAATTCAACAAAAATTCTTTAAGTGATTTGGAAAATTAATTCTTAATCACATTTTTATAATTTTTATATTAAAAAAAAAATCAAATTTCTCTTTTCTCGAATAAAATATTTTTAAAAATGTCTTTCTAATTTTTGTAAGAAATTTAAATGTTGTTTTTTTTCATTTTAAACATTTATGATTGAAACAAAAATTAATGAATGAATGAAATTCTTTTTTTTATTTAAAAAAATATTTTCTATTTTTAGTTCCATTTTTGTCTCGAGCTATATAAAATTTCTTTAGAATTGTGAGAAAACGTGGGAAATCAGGGCGGATTCTTTTCTTCGAATGAGTGCTTTAGTCGCTTTTGTGATCTATAGCATAAAGTGGTATTCGTGAAAAGTAATAACCGTTACTTAGCAAAGTGCGTGATGCCGTTCACAAAGTTGCGTTTAATATTATACTTAAAGAAATTTTTGTAGAATTAAATAAATATGTATAAAAAAAATTATAGCTTAGACAAAAAAAAAGAAAAAAAAAAGCGAAAAAAAAACAAAATAGAAATATTTCAAAAAGTATTTATTAAAGCGAAAATTTAATTTTAAAATTATCACACATTTTGTTTTAAACAATTTATTTTAGCACATTGAAAAAAAATAATATTGAATCAAGAAAACTCCATTTACTTGTCCGTATTTGATACAATATTTTTTTTTCGCCATTGACATGAAAAAGTGTCTTTTTTGTGCCTGTTTTGGGCAGATAAAGTAGCACTTTTTAAGGCAGTTTGGGCCAACTGCCTAAAAAAGACTTTTTTAGGCAGCAAACTGCCGTATAAAGTCTTTTTTAGGCAGTAAACTGCCCTATAAAGTCTTTTTTAGGCAGTTGTTAATTTTTGCATAATTTTTTTTTTTGCTTTTATTTTATTTATCAATTTTTATTATTTTTTTTCTTTAAAATTGTTTCACTTTTTCATAACAATGGCGAAAAAAATAGCGTATGTGGCTCGCACGTAGTAATTTTTAGGTTCGGATGATTTCAATACTCGCTGTCTGTGCGACTTCGGTTCGACTCGGCTCGCTTTCGGCTCGACTCGACTCGCCTTCGGCTCGTCTTCATCTCACCTACAGCTCGCCTTCGTCTCACCTACGTCGCACTAACGACAGCTCGTACTGAAAATTACATCCTCACCTAAAAAGTACTACTTTACGTGCTTGCCACATAATATACTATTTTGATCCAAGAAAATTTTTACTAATAAATTTTTTTGAATGAAGAAAATTATTAGATCAAATAAGGACGAGTATATAATTTTCTTAAATCAATGATACTTTTTTTCAGTGTACATTTTGAATTTCCCTCTATTTTGAAATTCAAATTATTCTGAATTGTAGGTTTTAAATATAATTCCCTTTGTACTTTAATTCATCTTGAAATTATAACTTTCTAAGTATATATATATATATAATTAATATAAAATCATATTTAGATTTGTAGTGATATTAATTTAATTTTAATCTTTCAACTTTCTAATTAGACTGTGAAATAGTATTCTAAAATTTGAATTAAACTTTTTGAATGGCATATAAGTAATTTTTATTCTCTATACAAATTTAGAAAGTTTATTAAAAGGAAAATTCAATTGTGCGTTAAAAAAATAGTTTTGGAAAGTCTTTTTTTCAGAAAAAAAAATTTTTGAAAATATAGTAATGATAAAAAGGATTTCTAGTCGACAGGTGATTCTTTACGATAAGTAGGTAAAGTAGTTATTACACTTGAGTTTATACTTACCGAGAAAATTCTTCATTACCAACAAATGAAAAAATTACCAACAAAAATATTATTTTTTTAAAAATATTATTTTTTAAAAATAATTATTGCAATTTTTTATAATATTCATTTTTCTTTAGTTTCTTTGAAATGAAAATAATTTCACATAATTACAATTATAAACTTGTTTACATTTTCTTCTTTATCCACTCAGTAGATAATTCCTGCTTTTGTCAGACAATTCAAAGGTAATGGATAACAAAATTAATTTTAAAATGCTTTTAATAGAGAATTAATTTTATTTATTTAAATTCAATTTTTTATAACTTACATAAAAATATAAATTGCAATAATTTTTATGAAATTTATTCGCACATTTGAAATGAAAGGATTGGAAGTAACTTACGTAAAGAATTGCCAATTTATGACCGACTGTTCATCTCCTTTCGACCGAGAAAACCGCTTGAGTAACTGTAGGAAATGATAGAAAATTTAAAACTTTTTTTCTTTTTTTTTTTTTTGCTTTTGTAAATAAATTGCTCTATACCAATTTAAAAAAATTCAGTGATACTTTGTAGCCGAATTAAACGTTAATTATTATTATTATACAACTGATTGAAAATTACAGTCAATTATTATCATAACAAGTTGCAAGTTAATTCCTTTATTTTTTATTCAATCATTAATTTACTTCCTCTAATTAATTAAACTAGAAATTAAATAAAAATACATTGTAAGTGAAATTAAAATTTTTATTTTATAGAAATATAAAAAATAATTTTGAATGATTTAAAAAAAATTGTAATTTTTGCATATCGGTTCGAAAATAATAATTTTTTTTTTATAAATTGATTTTGTTAGTAAAAGGTACATTTTTCGACAATTTGGCTCGTGTTTAATGTTTCCAATAGTTTTATTGATTTAATTTCGGTTGCTCAGACACGGTTTCTCGAAAACATTGTAATTTACGAATGTCTTAGTCATGACACGAAAATAACTTTTGATATTAAAAAAAATAGGCCTTTGGGTATTAATTTTTCGAAATTTTGTAGAGAATAAATTTTGTTCTATTTAAATACCCTTTCCACTATTTTTACTTATTTAATTTTTTAGTTTTGTCTATTTATTATTATTATTAATCTAAATTTCAAGAACAGAATTAAAGTGCAAAGAATTTTAAAAGAAATCAAAAATTTAAAAAAATTCGAAATCAAGAATTTAAAAAAAAAAAATCGAATTTATTTTTCAAATACCGGGTTTTATTTATTTTCTTTTTCTCATTTATTCTCTTGTCTAAACATTCGCAGTATATATACCCTTCATTTCTTATTTCTATTTGTTTCTCATCTTTCGAGACTCTCCTCTCATCTTTGTGGCACTCCTCAAGATTTTTCTCCAACATATAACAATCATGAGTCGTCAAGACAGTCCCGTTTCTTGGTTCGAATTTTTTTTTTTTTTTTTTTTTTTCATTTTTTATGGCATATATGCTTGTGCAATAAAGCAAAATAATAAACCTCTATTTTTAGTTAAAAGGAATTTGTTACAAAAATTTAAATAAGCAAAATTTCTTTATTATAAAAAGTCGTCATAATAATTTTCTAAAAAAAAATGGGGTTTTTATTATATTTTTCGTACATTGTTATTCCGTGAAGTTGATAGAATAAATTTTTCTGAATTGGTTAAATAAAACTTTTATATGTGATGTTGTTCAGTCGGCGTGGCGAAACATGGAAGTTGATTTCCGCCATAAATACATATATACATGTGTATATATATTCGACATAAATGTCAGGTAAATGACAAACCTATATAGAAAACTGACACCGGAGAAATGTCAAATTATATGCGAATCCTCTTCATTTATAAATCGTGAAAAATATTTTGTAATTGCGAGAAAAAATTTGAACTTTATAAAAAAAATTTAAATTCCTTTTCAAATAGTAATTTTGAATTTTAATTTCATTTTGAAATAATTTATTTCGAATTAAATTTTGAGCACCGATTTAAATTATTTTTATTAATGTCGATGGATTGTGTATTTTTTTTTTTTTTGAGGAGGTAAATTCATTGAATTTGATTGGGCAGTGAATTTTTTTCCTTAAATAAAAATAATTGAAAAACTAATTGAAAATAAAGAAATCTAGTTTGTGTATTAAACAGCTGGCAGGTAGTACATAGGTATATTATATATAATATATATATAGAAAAGTATAAGACCGTTACTGCAAAGTTTCAGTCCGACCCTCGATCGTTTTTTTTACCCTCTCCTGTCCCTTCACTCATGGTCGCATTGCCTCTCCAAAGTCAACCGCCCCCACTTTACTTTACTCCATCCCCAAAGCAATGTACTCGATACGCGAAAGGACCATCGTTATCCAGTCTTTGCGCCGTGACTCTCGCGAATGCGGCAACTCCTTCCGCAATGTGTACAGTAAAAAATAAAAATTGTGAGGTTTGAACGAAAAAAAAATAAAAATGAAATTCAAAAAAAAAACCTGCCAGCTGAATACTTAATCGCTTTCTTTATTTTTTTTTTCCAAATTAATGGAAATAGATGTAAAAGAAAGAAAAAGTGTTACAAAAATAATTGTTGTGTTTTATTCATTTGTGAAATTTACAAAAATTTTGTGCTCGAAAAAGTGACGAAAAAAACAAGTGAATAATGTTTCATATATTATTTCAAAATCGAAAATATTTTCAACCAAGTGAATTTCTCTCAAAAAAAAATCGAATCGATAAGAAAATCATTTGTCTTGATAAAAAAAAATGTTTTCTCATTCTTTTTTTTCCGTAATGTTTAAATGCGCCTTAATTAACGAATTGAGCATTTGTTTTCATATCTCATATTCTCATCATTTTCGTGATCTAATTTTTCCAAGTTCGTGCTGCGTGTACTTTCGATAATGTCATTGTAATTGTTCTTGGAACGGAAGATAGAGATTCCATGCGATTATATTTCTTTCTTTTCTTTCTTTTTTTTTTCAAGCACGCACGCTTTTCTTATGCAAGATGTATAACAATAATAATTATTATTATTGAGTGAACATATTTAAATATTCCGGGCAACGCTTTCACTTGTAACATTGGAATATCAATCATTTTTTTTTTCATTCTTCTATAATATAATTATTACATGACAAAATTTTTAAGGATTCTTTGTATGTATTCTCCATAATCGCTCACGAATTTATGTAATTAAATTAAATTTGTAAATTTTTTTTTCGTAGGCAAAAATTGTTTTGCATAAAAGGTAGATGACACTACTGCATAGAGGAATACGTTCGATTATCAGACCGAATCCTATATTGGTTAGAAAACTCTCGTTGTCAGTACGAATCGAGGATGGAAATTAGCATGCTTCCTTCTCGCACTTCCTATTCGCGTCGCTGAACCTCGTATACAATTGGAGACGCACGAGCAAGAACCAAGTTTCTGCTTTTAAAAAAAAACAAAAAATAAACTTCGTTCAGAGAATAATTCATATTTCGCAAATTTCGCCTTAATTGCAAGATTGTGAAATCCTTGTATCTTTTGTTTTTTTTTTCCTTTCTTTTTCCTTAAAGTATTAAAAATAAAGAAATTAATTTTTCCCTCCGCACGTGTATGAAATCCTAACTTTTGTAAAAAAAAATCAAATTTGTATTTAAAAATTTGTCAGCAAAAAAGAAGATTGAAAAATATTTTTCGCCCTGCATCATCTATATACAATCGTGTAAATTTACGGTTCCTTATTTTAGGTCAATCCACGAAATTCTCGCTTGAATGAATTTACCACTCCTTCACCCCCTTTTGCTTCATTGGTTTGTTTCAGAGAAAGCGCGTAATTCTTATTGACGCGATTAGATTAGATAAGATCAGTGCATATAGCCGCATGTGATTAATCAGAGAAGTTTTTTCTCTTCATTAATTTGTGCAGTGTTAGAAGAAAATTGAAAAATAAATTACAATTTTCAATTATAAACAGTATACACTTAGGCAAGAGAATCTTATTGTGTATTTAAAATCAGAAATTACATAATTTATTATTAGTTTTAGTTTATAAAAATTGAGAAAATAATAAAAATAGTAATAATTTAAAGAGTAATTGGAATTATTGCATTATTTTATATTAACGATTCGTCTGTGTAATAATTTTATATTTGAAAGACTAACTTTTCATCTCGGATGCATTTGATAGTTGGCGAAAGTTCTAGTTTTAAAATATCCTATTAGGGAGTTCTTTTATAACTTTCCATTAATTGACGCACAATTAGTATCAAATTCAATGATTGTATGTGAGAAACTGAAAGTGGTCTTTATCTTAATTAAGAAAATTTTTTTTTACTATTGCCATTATTCCTATACACAAGGGACAGAAAACAAAAACAAACACTTATTGTTTAAGGAAATTAGATCACAAACAGTTAATTTATATATATGGAAAATATAAATAATAACAAATTACCGACTGTTTGTAATGTGGAAATCTACTTCAGCGTTTGATACAGCAAAAAGAAAATTGAAAAGACAAAATTACCGACATAATAAAAACTAAATTACCGACAGAAGGTAAACAAATTTTTTGAAAAATGATCCTATAAAAAATTACCGACGTAGAAATCTACCATACCGACTGATGGTAAAACAGTTTTTTTGAAAAATGATCATATAAAAAATTACCGACATAGAAATCTACCTTACCGACCGATGGTAAAAGTTTTTTGAAAAATGAAAATATAAAAAATTACCGACATAGGAATCTACCTTACCGACTGATGGTAAAACAGTTTTTTTGAAAAATGAAAATATAAAAAATTACCGACGTAGGAATCTACATTACCGACTGATGGTAAAACAGATTTTTTGAAAAATGAAAATATAAAAAATTACCGACATAGGAATCTACCTTACCGACTGATGGTAATTACCGACTGATGGTAAAACAGTTTTGGAAAAATCAAAAAAATTAAAACTGTTTTACCATCAGTCGGTAATTACCATCAGTCGGTAAGGTAGATTCCTATGTCGGTAATTTTTTATATTTTCATTTTTCAAAAAAACTGTTTTACCATCAGTCGGTAAGGTAGATTCCTACGTCGGTAATTTTTTATATTTTCATTTTTCAAAAAATCTGTTTTACCATCAGTCGGTAAGGTAGATTCCTACGTCGGTAATTTTTTATATTTTCATTTTTCAAAAAAAACTGTTTTACCATCAGTCGGTAAGGTAGATTCCTACGTCGGTAATTTTTTATATTTTCATTTTTCAAAAAACTGTTTTACCATCAGTCGGTAAGGTAGATTCCTATGCCGGTAATTTTTATATTATCATTTTTCAATTTTTACTAGAAGTCGGTAATGTTAATTTCTAAGTGTCTTTTCGGTTTTGTTTAAAAAATTGGATTACCACGTTGATAATTTTGTCTTTTCAATTTTCTTTTTATTATATCAGACGCTGAAGTATATTTTTACATTGCAAGCACTCCGTATTTGGAACTCTAAAAATTTTAACCTTTAACCATCATAAAAAGCCTATTCAACTTTTAAACCTTTCAAACCTCATGAAAACACTATTGAACATTTTAACTTTTGTACGAGTTTCAAGATAGTTTTCATTAGGGTTCAAAGTTTCAATAGGATTTTTAAGAAAGGTTTAAAGGTTTTCAATTTTATTTTAGAGTACTAGTCTTTTCAGTTTTTGTCTTTTCTATTTCCACTTTTTCAAATTTCCGATATAGGATAGGTTTTCTTGAACTCCTTGAGTTTTCGTGTTTGTTCCTCTGGTTTGTCTGAAAAAAAATAAACAATTTTTTGTATCAATTATCAGCTTAGTAATTTTTAATATAAAAAATTCTGTTTTTAAAAAAATATTTATATTTTGTATTTTTTACAAATGTTTTTTTTTTATTATAAAGAAAATTAATACCGTCTTTTATTTACGAAAAATTAAGGAACTGAATATTTATTGTTGAAAAATGTCATTGTGTAACATGGCACTGACTGTTATGTTTATCCAGTTTAAAGTGAGACGTGTACGAGGTAAGACCGTGTAAATTAAATCTCTTTTATTGCATTAACCTGTTCTTATGACGCGATTTAAGACGTGCTTAAATAGAAAAAACTTGATGTTATTTTTTTTTTTTAAATGAATAAGATAAATTATGATTTTAAACAAAAAAAATTATGATTGTCTTTTCCTAAGTATTATTCACGTAGCAAAAATAATTAATATTTTAATATTTTATCTTATTAGAATGATATAAAGTCACTACACTGAAAAAAAAAATTTATTTGATTCAAATATTTGGTTACTTGATTATTATCAAATAAATATTTACTTTAACCAAATAATTTTTGAGTCAATTAAATAGTATTTGTTTCAAATACAAAAATTATTGGTCCAAATATAATTTATTTAATTCAAATAAAAATTATTTGGTTCAAGTAAATATTTATTTGATAATAAACCGATTATTTGAATTAAATAAATTTTTTTCTCATTGTATAAAATTATAATTAGTTATTAATTAAAATTAGTTAAAAATTTTACTAAATTTGTTTATAGAATTAATTTTATCAAATAGGTTGTTGATAAAAAAAGTTCACGTTCTACTCTCGAGCTGTATATATTTTCTCTCATTTTCTGTGACAATGCGACGGAAATGCGAGCATAGTTCTCGTTGTATTCGCAACGTGCCACATTTTTATTTTAACATCCTCTTCTTCATGTAAAACTATTAAATTATTTTTACATACATTGTGAATTTTCCTACGAAAGATATAATATCAATTTCTGATAATTTTCTAAAAAAAATCAAAACAAATTTTTTGAATAAAAAAAAATAATTTCTCCAACATTGTATTATGTGAAAAATATATTTCATCTCACATTACAAGATGATGATTCACTTGTCAAAAAAGGAGTTGAGAAAATTCAACCCACGAATTTTGAAATCACACCTCGTGCAAAAAAAAAAAAATCCTTGCATAATGTTTTATTAATTAGGAAAGAGTTGTATGAGTGGGCACATTAAAGAGTGTCAAATTCATAATTTACATTTCTTCTCAGTTCACCAAATAAATTTTGTATAGAAAATAATACAAATTATTATTAATCTTTTGCATTTTTTTTTTTTTTTAAAAAGTAAAATATTTTTTTTTACCTTGTGATTTATTGAAAAATCGTGTACAAGAAAATGTGAATGATTCAAACAAAATGCATTTTATCGTTGACGAGTGGTATTCGGATTTAAAGGATTGTTATAGCTCGTTACCTTATCATTTACGTCAATAAATTCCAAACTAGTGAAGGAAACTTAAAATTTTCATTTTCAAACACATGTAAATTTTAATTTGCAATAAAAATTTATTTGTTTTAAAAGGAAAATACTATTACGATAAAAATTATTGTAATCAAAAATAGATTCAAAATTTGAATAAGAGTAATTATTTTAATTTTTTAGTAAAATGTTAGTATTTGATTTTTTTTTTTACTAAAGTATTAGTAAAAAATTACTATTAATTTTACAAAATTTTTTTTTTCTTTTATGTAATTTAGAAAGTAATTTTTTTCTATACGTTAAAATTTAGATATTAAAAATAAAAGTTAATTGAAAATTTAAAAAAAAAGGAAAATTGGTATAAATAATAAATGGAAATTAAAAATAAAAAACAAATGATAATTATCGATTAGGAGAAGAATTATTTTGATTATAGAATATAAAATAATGAGCTTTAATGGGCCCTCTCAATTGGATGTAATTTAAAAATAAAAAAAAATGTACTCACTTTTTAAAAGACGGAAATTTCTCTCCGGGGAATTAATCTTTTATTTCAGGCACACCTTCCATTTTTTTTCTTCATATAATCTTGTATGTTTCCTGAAAACAATTAAAAGCACTTTTAGAAATATGAAAATATTTTCAAAAAAAAATGGTACAAATAAAAAAGTTTCAAAAAAATCAGTACAATTTTAATTAGAAATGTTGATAATTTATTTTTCTATTCTCAAACAACTTTCCAACAATTTTTTAATATATCTATACACTGACGTTTATGTGAAATTTACACGTAATTGTAATTTACACATATTTGTGTATAGATATTTAAAAGTATCTATCATATGAATATATAGAGCCGAGGTCATCCCCTTCTATCCTAGCTATAAGGTTTCATAAAATATTTATTCTCTTTTCAATATGGAATTAAATTAAATCAAATTCCATATTAAATGAGATACATAATTAAGTTCGTAATTTTTTTTTTTTTAATTATATCGACGAAGAAAGTAATTTGTATCAATAAATTGAAATAAAAATAAAATTCTTTTTCTTTTTTTTATCACATATTTCTGTACCAATCCAATACTTTCACCCGCTATAATCTCATTAATAAATTTTTTTTCCATTATGCAATTTATTGAAAATTTGTTCCTCATTTATATATTTTATATATATAGTACACAAAGATTTCCTTGAAATTCTCGTAATAGGTAATTGTTTAATTACTCTCGACAAAAAGTTTCTACTTGATTTAAATAAACCATTTCTTTTTACGATTGAACATGATTCGCGAAATGAAAATGTATTTTAATTTAATTAATTTTTATGTTAATTATATTTTTACTTTTTTAATTATTTTTTTTTTTTAATTTTGTTTTTTTATGTAAATTTTAAAAAATGCCGCAGTTTCCCACGATAAATGGAATCAATTGCAATTCATCCGATTAGTAATAATGTGTTTTAAGCCTGAGGGTAAAAAATTTTTATGGTCAAGATTATTACACAATGAAAAAAAAAAAAAAAAAAAGTAACGCCTAAAGGACTTTTCTCTGAAGAAAGATTGTGACTTTACAAAGAAACGTAACGATTGAAAGATAATTTCAATTTTGCTCGAATGGCCATAAATATTCGACTCGAATTCACAAATTGGAAATTTTTTTCAAAGAAGAAGTAAATTTTTTTTCTACTTCTAATAGTTATATTTATCTCAACCTCTTCTTTTTTTTTTTAAAAAAAAACCGATTACTTCGTCTAAGGTTAGTAGGTTGATATTTTCATAAAATATATATTTATTTTCCTCCCTTTCCTTTCTCTTCAACAAAAAGTCTTTTTGCAAAGGCCAGAGAGTGACAAATTATATTGTATTCCGCAATTTCCGGTTAAAGTACCTACACCTATCCGGTTAGAGAATTTATATACAGTTTTATATCCAACAGAATTTTTATTGGACGAACAGGTGATACCAAACAGGTGTGAAATGGCAGAAGTAACGAATTTTTTTTTTTATCTGCTAAAAATTATTTAATTTTTTTTTATCTGCTAAAAATTATTTAATTTTTTTTTCTGCTAAACATTATTTAAATTTTTTTTTTATCTGCTAAAAATTATTTAATTTTTTTTATCTGCTAAACATTATTTAATTTTTTTTTCTGCTAAACATTATTAAAATTTTTTTTCAATTTAAATCAAAATTAAATTCAAAAATTAATTGATTATAAAATCATCAATTATACGAAATTATATTTTCCATACAAAAATTGCTATGACAAATTATGTTCTAATTTTTTGAATTTGGAATCGAAATCAAATTAAATTCAAAATCGAATCATATCAATTATAAAAAATTATATTTTTCAAAAAAAAAAAAATTGTTTTGACATGTTCTCGAGTACAATAAATTAAATTGTGATACTGTAAGTGAAAATGGTAAAAGGAAATCGGTTGTGGTTTATCAGAATCAGAATCATTGTGGGCGATTGTAGCGCGAGCGTAGGTTTTTGAACCACGACCTCTTGAGAGGATCGATCCATCCATTCACTTTGTGCACAATGACTTGTCCCATTCAAAAAAAATTTTCAGATTTTGCAATTTTACCCATACTATAGTGAAATTTATTGATTTTTATTGATTTTTATTTATTTTTTCTATTTTTCTATTTTTCTATTTTTATTTTTTCTATTTTTCTATTTTTATTTTTTTATTTTTTCTATTTTTTCTATTTTTTCTATTTTTTCTATTTTTTTCTTTTTTTATTTTTTTTATTTTTCTATTTTTATTTTTTTATTTTTTCTATTTTTTTATTTTTTCTATTTTTTTATTTTTTCTATTATTATTTTTTCTACTTTTATTTTTTGTAATTTTGCCAAATGGAATTATTTTTCCAAATCGTTACTTTTGCCTTTTTCCTCGTTTTAGGGGAAAAAATAAAAAAAAAAAATTTTTTCCAAGATTGAAATTGCATATTTTTCTTTGCATTTTACGACTAAAAAAAAATCTAATAGAACAATGTGTATAAATAGCTAAATACAGAAATCTAATACTTTCCATTGTTTGTCTGTCACGAAGAATAAAAAGATCATCTGTCAACTTACAACTCCATATCTTCATCTGTTATTGTTTTCTCTTGTATTATTACTCAACTTCTATTGTGACAAAATTCTTTTGTTTCCCTTTTTTTTTCTTTTTTGACCAATAAAAACCAAATTTCCAATTTTTTTGAATAATCTGGACCATTAATTAGTAAATTATTTTCATTTCATGATTTTGTAATTAATAAATAATTAACGCAAAAAAAAAAAAAAAAAAAAAAAATAGAAAGTTATGGGACATGAGTTCTCTTGCATGCGTTCCGCATTTATCTTTACAATCTGAAACAATTTCCGTTTCCTCGGATTTTCAAAGACAAAACAATTTCTACTTTCATCTGATTTTTTTTAAATGTGGAAATAATTTTTTTCAAACTTTCCATATTTTTTTGTAAAAGAATTTATTTCGAAAAAAAAAATTTGGATCATTCAAGGTATAAGGTCAAAACGTGGGAAGCGAATGAGGATTCAGGTGGCAAAATGAGGGCAAAAATGCTCGAGTGAGAAATTCTATGAGAAAACGATTTAATATACAGTGCCTTTGGCAGACCTGTTTTGTTTGGCTAATTGAGATCGAGTAGAAGAAAAAAAAATCGACCTAATAAAAAAAAAAAAAAAAAAAAAACCAATAATGGTGGTGTCACATCGCGAGAGCAATATATCGACTAATATTCGGGCCATAATTGAACAATTAAATCTCAATCCTGTCGAGAGACGACGACTTATTAATCGAAATGAAGAAAATCGCAAAAGTTCACCGCCAAAGATTTCAATTGGTGTCTATGGCAGCAAGGAACCCGCCTACGAGATCTATAGTGAAGTGAAGAAGAACGGTATCGAGATTCAAACTAGGTCGAGAGCTGAGAACAGGCAACGTCTTCCTACGATAAGTCGTAGGAAAAGTGATTGTGAGGTACGAGTTCAAAATACGAGAAAAAAAAATAGAAAGAATTTTACTATTTGTTTTTTTTTTTTTAACTATTTTTGTACCAAGAATTATTTTTTTTTTTAAATATTTTTAAAAAATTCAAATTGATAAATGTGGGGGAAGGAAAAATAAATTATTTGTTTTTTGGAAAAAAAAAAAATGTTGGCACCTGCAACCGGTTTTATCGATGGTAAGCGGTTGCACTTGGCAAACTTGACAGAGAGCCATACCGTTAGAATTAACGTACAACGTTCGCGATATTTCCTGGGACAATATCATATACTTCAAATGCGATGACAGGAAAAGCAGATAGCATCGAGAGATGAGAACAGCAAATAGGGAACCTATTCACGAGTGTCATCGATAATTTCTCTATATAACCACCGGCGGCTAGTTTATAATCTTTTGCTATTTATGATTTCCATTCCAAAATCATTAGAATGTCTCGTTATCTTACAATTAATTACCAACGTTACGAGTACAGTTACTAAAAAAAAAAAAATTTTTTTTGCCCCCTCAATAGATTTATGAAACAGAAAATACATTTCGCTTTTTTATTGAAAAGTTCAAATTGCCTATAATTAAATATCAATAAATTAAATTACATTAATTAATTAAGGCAAAAAATCCCGATTTAAATAAAAATAATTATTTACAAATTGTCTAATTTCATTTTTTTTAATTTTCATTTTTTTTAATTTTCTTTATTTTTCGGAATTTTATTCTCCCGTATAGAAATCATTTAATTAGATGCAAAAAGGATATGACAGTGATTTCCTGTTTTTAAAAGAAATTAGTCTGTTTCACTTTATATCAAAATGATTGTAAAAATTGATTAGAATATTTTTTTTTAATAACGAATATAAAAGTCTACGAGGCAGAGGAAACTGTAAATAATTTTTCCGTTTTGTGAAAAATATATTGTTTTAATTAACAATATTGTTACTCTGTAATTTTTTTTTTTAAATTAATTTCTCTCTTTTTCCAGGTAACAAGAACGATAAAAGATTCCAGTGAACGAATTGCCTCAACGCAAAAGGAGGATTTACGTAAGTGAAAATTAATTCACTTATTAATTATTTATTTAATTAACTTATTTAATTCAATTCCCTTTTATATTAAATTTCGTAATAATAATATATTAATATTACGAAATAAAGATAACATCACGTAGTTTATGAAATTTACCCTTAAACTGATTAAAAAGAGAGAGAAAGAGAGAAAAAAATGTAAAATATTAATTATTTTTTATAATAAATATAAATAAATAGAAAATAAAATACATAAATAATAAACGATATTTAATTGTCCATATCAACTTAATTATAGTAATAAATTAAATAAGTAAATTAAATAAATTAATTAAATTAATTTATTAGATTTTTTTTAAACGTAAAAATGCAGCCAAATGTATTTTTCTTAATTTCATTTATATCTATTTTTATAAATTTTATAAAATACTGAAAGGACATGACCTATTAGTTAATAAATAAATTAATTAAATTACTTAATTAAATTAATTATCAGGCCTCGGAACAATTTTATGGCGCAAAAAAAGTCGTTTAGTCGATTTAAATTCCCAAAAAAATTATTAGATATTAAATTGGTTTGATTAATTCCTCAATAAGAATATATCATCAAAAAAATTTATTTCGAATAAGTATTCAAGAACTAAGACTCAAATTTTAATAAAATTAGAAACAAAAATTGAATTTCTAAATCTTTTTTGTAATTTTTATTTACAATTCAGATTTTTGAAAATAATTAAACTTGAAGTAATTTTTTATTGAATTTTTTTTGCAAATTTTATTTTCTGACTTTTTATTAAGTTTCAATCAATTATTGATTATCATAATATTTTTAATTGAAAAATAGTTGGAGATAATTAAATTTACAAAGAATTTTAGTCAAAATTTGTTAAATAATTGAAAAAAACGAAGCTGAAGTACGCAACGTTTATATAAACGATTTTTAAAGAAATAATTTTTTAAAGAAATAATTTTTTAAAATGAAAAATTCTATAATTTTTTGTCTAAAAAATATTTCTTGTAGTTTTTATTAATCAACAAATTATAAAAAAATAATTTTTAGGCAAAAAATTATAGAATTTTTTATTTTAAAAAATTATTTCTTTAAAAATCGTTTATATAAACGTTGCGTACTTCAGCTTCGTTGAAAAAAAGGAAATTAAGAAAATATGCTTTTTATACGAAAAGAAAATTTTTTTTGTTTAAAATTTTTTTTAAAAGTTGGAAAAAGTCAAAAAAAAAAAAAAGTATAATCCGAGGCCTGTAAATTTATTAAATAAATAAAATAATTAATTTATGAATTTTCTACAGCACAACTGGAGACTGCGAGTTTAAATCACACTGCGGCCCATCATAGGATATCTGTTCGACCAAAGAACAGAAGACCACCGAAAAGAAATCCAATTCAAAATGGCCTTACCTCAACAAATATTCCACCGACCATAAATGAGAGTTCAGATACTCTAGACAGTCTTGAGCTCATCAGTAGCAGTAATGCAAGTTCACCAATTGAATCGAAAAATGTATCTATATTGAGGAAATCATCGAGTAGACTCTCGAGGAATTCTGATATCTTCGAAGAATTAGAAGCCAAACTACCGAGAAAACCAAGTAGTGTCGTATCACTTTCGCCTGATAGTTTAGATTCCACACCTTCTCGAACTTTTAACGATACCATCGACAGTGAGGATCATTCCCCGGAAAATCGATCCATCACGAGAAGGTAACAAAAAAAAAAAATAATTTCTTTTTTGTAAATATCGAAAAAAATTATTTTTGAAGGAAAAAAATTAATTTTTTATTTTCCATTCACAGACCTTCTAATCGAACTTCGAAGGGAGCGGAAGTTTTGGAGAAGATGGAAATTAAATTACCACGTCGAAGGTCATCATCTAATCGACTTTCAAAGTCGCCTGACAGTCTGGAAAGTTCATTACCTTGGTTCTCGAAATCAACGGAAGGTTTCGATAAACTCATCGAGAATGAAGAGACAAAACCGTCGACGAGAAGATTCCTAAATCCTATTTCAAAGAGTATTGATCGAGTCTCTAAATCCTCGGACAGTTTAGAGGTCATTGACACTTTAACCAGTGACGATTCCATTGAACGACGACGCAGTAGTTTCGATTTCAGACCACGCAGGTAAATTCTACAAAATGCTAATAAAAATACTAATTATTATTATCAAAAAATATACATCGAAAATTTATTTTTCAAGATCCACGACCAAAGTGATGTCCAAGTCAACAGAGAATTTTGATGCTCTCGGTCATCATCAAAAATTAGAGGAAATTGTACCACTGCAAAAAAGATGCAGCGCATCAGATATAAATCTTTCCAGAAGAACGCGTACTAAACTATTTTCAGAATCTTCAGATAGTTTCGAGAGATTGGACGCTGTGGAAAAATCAACGGACATTGATGTGGAATTTAAAAAGAACTTTTGGCGTTCGTCCGAGAGTTCCGATAATCCGGAACTTGACGAGAGACCCGATAGTCGACGAGTAAGAAGGCCACCTAAAAGAATTCCAAGTAAAAATGATTCACCATCATCGCCAATAATTACACAATGCGATGAGAGACGACCAACACCTATTCCTAAACCAAGACTTCAAAAGTCATCGGAAAGTTCGGAACTTGGAAGCACTGATACTCTTGGCTCTGATCGAAGAAATAAATCATCAGACAGTACAGAAACACTCGATAGTCTTGAAAAGGATCTTGAACAAGATAGAAGAGATGATGAAGTCATGGATAATATCATTGATAGGGGCGATAAATCCGTATGTTAATTTCCTAATTATATTTTTTTAATTTTTAAAAGATACTAAAAAAACAATTTTATTTCAGGAATTTTTCGACAGTACATCAACGGAAGAATCAGCAAACGCCGATGGCAATGACGAAAATAAGTCTGTGATTTCTAATAATGATAAATCATATTGGAGACAATCATCTGAATCGAAGGAAAATCTCGATATTCATCAATTGTTGGCCATTACAATTGTGACACAAATGGCAAGTGATAATGGCAACAATCAACGTGGCACTAATGTATTTTTGAAAAAAAATCAAAGTTCACCACCAACATCACCCCTAGCCAAACCTGAAGATAATAAAATGCTCTTTAATAATTTACTTTCAAATAAAAATGACGAGGATTTACAAAATATGCTTAATGGAAACATATCCGAGGTATCGACCGATACCAAAAGCTTTAAGGAGAAATTGATTATGTTCGAAAGACTTGGCAAATAAATTTCTCGAAACCCTTTTTTTTCGAAAAAAAAGAAAAATTTAAAGTGATAAAATTATTTTTGGAATAAATTTCCGCTAAAATTATTTCGAGAGAAAGAAAATCAAAATTGAGATATATATATATATATTTGTGCAGAGCACAATTGTTTCTTGTTATAAACATTTTTTAAAATTATTTCTGCAATTTCAATTGCAGAATACAATATTTATATAATTTATTAATTTCAAAAATCTTTTTTTACAAAATAGTTGCTTCAATTAATGCATTTAGAGAATTGATATTTAAATTTATTTTATATTGTCAAAAAAAAAAACAAAAGATTTATCTGGAAATGAGAAAAAAAAAATTGTAACTGTGGCTTTATTATTGTACTGTGTATTGATAAATTAATGAAAGAAAGTGAGTGAATTTACAAAAATATTCATGACAGTAAATATTAAAATGACTTATGCTTGTCATAGAATTTAGAAGATGATTACAACAGATGTTATTGTTGTACAGTAGCATATATAAATATCATAATTGTAAATAAAAAATAATGCCCAAAAGTCAATTAAAGATTTTTTTTTTTTCTATCAACATTTTTAATTCCTCCGAGGGGCTGTTCACTGAAAATCCAATTGAACAATATTTGAGAATTCATTAAAGATTTTTAAGGATTGCTAGTCATTTTTGTAATTCCTATTTTGAAATTAAGGGAAATAGTGCTTTCATTTTATTTGAAGTAATTACTTGCAAGAGTAAGATTGCAAGAAAAATAGATTAATTGTATAATTCGCCGCCGAATTCGCTCGTATGTCTCCGTAACCATTCGTGACTCGCAACAATTCTTACTGCATGATTTAGAATTTTACTGGAATCGACGAGATTCGTTTGGATTCGCATAGTATTCGACAAATTCGAACGTCCTTTTCAATAATCGTCGGTAATCTCTAATTAAAATACAATATAGTCAGAATCAAGAAATTTACATTTTCTTATGTTAATTGATGAATATTCGGAAGATACCTAATATATTCTCTACCTTACAAATCGGGTATTCGAGAGTGAACAGCCCCTCGAATTCCTCCAAATCCAGTTTTATTTTACCATATTCGAAATAAATTATAGTAAAATTTATCATACTTTGATTGATAAATTTTTCTAAACATAAAAAATAATTTCGTAAACTAAGATTTTATTTACATATTTGTAAAAAAAAATTAATGAAATATTTTTTAAAATAGAAAAACAAAATTGTTTATTAAAATATATCACTAACCTTAGCTTCCATTCGCTGTTGTCACTTATTTTGAAACAGATCTTCTGAATACTCGCGATTTAAAGTTTTGAACGCTCAATAATTTACATTTAAATTAAAAAATAAAACACTAAAAAAAAACTTTTTATAAAATATTTTCGTTCGCGATTTAAAAAATTCGAGCACTCCCGGAATTAATAACTTTTCTGAAATAAATAAATTTGTTAAAATTACAAAATTTATATTTTAACTTTGACTAAACTTAAACAGGTCAAGACAGGAACTCAATTAATTAAATTACCTTTGGGATTTTTCAACAATATTGCTATGACCTTTTGTACTTAAGTGTAAACAAATTACACGGGATTGAGGTATGCAGATAAATCCCAAAGTTATAAAACTTTATGAATATTCGAAAATTTTTGTAAAAAAAAATTAATTTAACATTTAAACAGGTCGAGACAGGAGTTTAAATTAATTAAATTATCTTTGGAATTTTCATATTGTTATAACCTCTTGTACCTCGATGTAAACAAATAGCTTGGGGTGCAGGTATACAGATAATAAAATCCCAAAGTTGAAATACTTAAAATTTTAAAGGATAATTTCGTGAAAGTTAAATTTATAAATTCAATTTGTAAAAATTTATAAATTTAATTTATAAATTATATATTATAAATATTCTATATTAATATAAATTTACAAATTTTTAAATAGAAAAAAATTATTACTTATAAAAATATATCACTAACCTTAGCTTCCATTCGCTGTTGTCACTTATTTTGAAACAGATCTTCTGAATACTCGCGATTTAAAGTTTTGAACGCTCAATAATTTACATTTAAATTAAGAAATAAAACACTTAAAAAAAAACTTTTTATAAAATATTTTCGTTCGCGATTTAAAAAATTCGAGCACTCCCGGAATAACTTTTCTGAAATAAATAAATTTGCTGTTATATTAATATTACAAAATTTATACTTTCACGTTGACTAAATCTAAACAGGTCAAGACAGGAATCTCAATTAATTAAATTACCTTTGGGATTTTTCAACAATATTCCTATGACCCTTTGTACTTAAGTGTAAACATATACAGATAAATCCCAAAATAATAAAACTTTATGAAAATTTCGTCAAAATTAAAGTTGTACATAAATTTTTGTAAAAAAAAAAAATTAATTTAACATTTAAACAGGTCGAGACAGGAGTTTAAATTAATTAAATTATCTTTGGAAATTTCATATTGTTATAACCCCTTGTACCTCGATGTAAACAAATAGCTTGGGGTGCAGGTATACAGATAATAAAATCCCAAAGTTGTAATACTTAAAATTTTAAAGGATTATTTCGTGAAAATTCAATTTATAAATTCAATGTGTAAAAATTTATAAATTCAATTTGTAAAAATTTATAAATTCAATTTATAAATTATATATTATAATATTATAAATATTATACATTATTATAAATTTAAAAATTTTTAAATAGAAAAAAATTATTATTTATAAAAAATATATCACTAACCTTAGCTTCCAATCTCTGTGTCACTCATTTTGGAGCAATTAAATCTTCTGGAAACACTCGCGTTTAAAAAAATATTGAACGCTGAAAAAATTACATTTAAATTACGAAATAAAAAAAAATGTTCAAAAAGCTATTGCGATTTTAATAATTTTAAACACTTCCGAAACAAAAAGTAAATTAAAATGACAAAAAAAAGTTTAACTTTCTATAACATTTTCGTTCGCGATTTGTAAAATTCCGACTACTCCCGGAGCTAATAATTTTTCCTAAATAAATAAATTTGCTGTTGAAATTACAAAGTTCTCTAACATTGAGCACGTCTAAACAGGTCGAGACTTGAATTTCAATTAATTAAATTATCTTTGGGATTTTCTTCTATTGTTATATCCCTTTATACCTCAATATAAACAAACAGCTCGAGGTGAAGGTATACAAGTAATAAAATCCCAAAACAATAAAATTTTAAAAGATAATTTTCTGAGAATTCAAATCGTATTGAAACTTTTGTAAAAAAAAAATTAATGCTACATTTTATAAATTAAATATAAAAAAATTATTATTATATATCACTCACCTTAACTTCTAATTGACGTCACATATTTTGGAACGATAAGTTCTTCTGGAAAATTCTCTGAAATTATAATTAATTTAAATATTATTCTACTTATATATAAAACTAGTGTAATAATAGTAATAATGATGGAAAATTAAAGTATTATAATTACTGCAACTTAATTATTTAAATTTTATTTTAGTTGCAATTTACAAAATGCGTTCTTAAACACGCTATATTTATATTTTGTTTACAAAAAATTGGAATGAATCGATGAACTCGATATTTAATAAAAGACAATTTTATTATTTATCGAGAGTTCATTAATTTATTTATCATATTTTTTACGTACTTATTTCTTTTCTTTAATTAATAATTTCATTAAAACTTAATATTTCACTTGGGAACATTCACTTTTTTCCCCTTAAAAAAAATTCACAATATCAAACAATATAATGTTTGACAATTTTTGGTGTTTTAATGCTTAAAAAAAAATATGGATTGCATTAATGAAGAAAAACAAAAAATATAAGGAAATATCTTTTTTTTTCTTTGTTTTTTTTCGAATCTTTTTCAAAATTCCTTTCATGTATATATATATATACAAAATTTTATTTGAAATATATAGTTTCTCTAGAATATGCTTCTATTTATGTGAAATTCATTGGGCTATAATAATTATTTATTATGAAAATTAAAAATATTATTTTAAGTAAGTTAAGATATTTTCGATCACAGAAGTTTTAATTTCTTTTTAGTACTGTTTATATAATTTAACAATTCCGTTAATTAATGATAAAACTCCTGATTTTGAAGTTAATTCAAAAATATGAAAAAATTAATTAGTATTCTGATTTAAAAAAAATCAACTTCTTTTTTTAAATCTATTTCATAAATTATCACAAATTATGAAATTTCAGAAATTAAAATTTGATAATTTGTTAATCTTAAAAAATGAAATTCCAAAATTTAAGATTTTATGATTTTAATCAATAAAATTCTAGATTAAATCCATTTGATATCAGGTAAGTTGAATTCATTTATCATTCAAATATGTTTTTATAGATAAAAATTGTATTTTTTCTAGCAACACTAAAAATAAAATTAAAAGATCACGTTATAAACTCAAATTTTATTAGTTTTCACATGATTTTTTAATTTTTACTTCTCTATATTCACTAAAAAAAAAAAAAAAAAAAAAAAAACTGTTTAAAAAAATGTCCCTTATTTGTTATCAACCTGATTTCATATCAATTTCATTTATAGAATTCTATTGATAATAAATAAAAAAAAAAATTATTAATCTACAGTTAATAAAACTGATTCGATGTGTCAATTACGTATATGTGATTAGTCACTGAGCAAAAATTATTTTCTATAAACAAATAAAATTACCTATCTTGTAAACTAGAGTTCCATCATATACAGAATAAGTGTGCAAAAAAAAAAAAATCGAATTTAAAAATAAAAAATGTTAATCATTTTTTTCTCAAAAATTCGATTTTCAATTTCTTTGCAAAAAGTTTTTTTTCAGTTCATGTGTATGCATGTTTTGTGTCTGTTTACATAAAAACACCAAAATATATATTTTTTTTTTGTTTAAAAAATAAAAGAAAAATTGCCTCACAATTCATCGTGTGTGTCGATAATTTCTGGCATTAATTTACAAACTGATGGTGTTAAAAATTCCATCGCATATTCACAACGACTTGGTTCCGTTACTGAAAGAAGTTTATTTTCCTTTCCACATAATAATGTAACGATTGTTGAACGCGCTGGTCCATTCCAACATGTATAACCATGATCGTATTTCATTTTTGAATATCTATTGTCTTGTGGACCATGCCAATCGTTCCATGAACCAAGATTAACATCACTACCACCTGATTTTGATCTTTGTGTTGCTTTACCAAATATACAAAGTGTATAAACATATTCTAAATCAGTAAAATCAAAACACTGCTCATCAAGTGATGTAAATTCACCATCAACTCCAAAATCATTTGATAATTTTTCCTCCACCTTTTTAATGTCCGTTAAAAGATCTTGAACTGCTTTGTCAGCTTCGTTGAAACGATTTCTCGCAGTGTTTGCCTGATCGACTAGTGCTTGAGTTTCCTCATCGTATTGTGATGCAGGTTCCTCAGGTTCCGGTGTACGTTCTTCTTTTTCTCCTTCTCCCTCTACCTCGCCTTCTTCTTCACCTTCATGATCATCTTGATCATCATGATCGTCATGTTCCTCATGATCCTCTGTTTCATCTCCCTCCGTGTGTTCAGCATTTTGTTCCTCAGCTTGTGCCTCCGTTTCCTTTGGTTCATCACCCGCTGGCTTAAAAAGTCCTGAAAATAATAAAATTTATAAATTATTATTCAATACCTTTTTTTTTTTTTAAACTTCAAAAATAAATTAATTTCACCTTTCTCTAACATAATAAAAGGTTTAATATTCGCCCAAGCTGAGTCAATAAATTCTTGCATTGTTATCTCTGGTTGATTGTTCAAAAAATAGAGCGCTTCTTCCTCAGAGACTTCACCATTTCTATCTTTGTCAAATGTAATTCTCGTTTGTAATTCAACAATAGTTACCGTACCACTTGCATCAGAATCCAAAAGTCTGAAATAATCTTCAGCCTCATTTAATCTCTCCTCACGTACATGATCGTTTTCCGTTTCAATTTGTTCCGGTTCCGGTGGTTTATATTTATCTAAAGCTATTTTCTCCTTCTCCTCAGCATCCTTCTTTAAACCCTCCTTTTCCTTTTTTATTAATTCTGCCTCATCATGATCAGTACGAAGTTTCGATAATTTCTGCTGCAACTCGTTCTTTATTTGTTTACCTAAAAATTAAAATAAATTTTTTTAAAAAATCAAATACAATTTACAAATAGTAAATTAAAAAAAAATACGTTATAGAAAAAAACATAGAAAAAAAAAAAAAAATACCTTTTGCGATCATCTCATTGCGTATGTCATTTCCTTCACGTGCAACTTTTTGTGCCTCATCAGCTTCGAGTTTCGCTTTATGTCCAAGATCGTAACAATTATTAACGCACTCATTCGATTCATATTCATCACTTGCATCACAACAATCACAAACACCATCGTTAACACGTCCCGAGGGAATGTATTTTGGCTTATAACTCAAATTTTGACAGTAAAATGAGCCATTTGAACAGGCCGATGTTCCGGGTTCATCGCTACCATCAACACAATCACAAAAGTCATCATTAACTTTATTAAATGAAATAATTAAACTGCCATCGAGACAATGAAAATCTCGATCAGGTGAATAAAGAGGAATTTTCGTTGGATGTATACCCCGGATGCTAATCACCTTGGAGCCGGCTACGTGGCTCTTGGCGAAACAAAAAGTAGTTACCGAAACTACAAAATATAACCACCATGAGTTCATTCTCAACTATTGTCAATTGTTCACTAATTTTAACTACCTAAACACTAGTTACTTTACAATATGATTTAAAATTATTAATTAGAAAATTAACAATTCATGCAAATTTTGAGGTTCAGTTTACTTTTACTCGCACAACACAAAAAATGTTAATTAAAATTAAGACCGTTACGTGGCGCCACATTCGCTGTGTGACGTCAGCAAACAGCTGTGTCATGTGACACTAAACATTTTTTAATTTTTAATTATTCTATTAATTACAAAAAATATATTTTGTGTTAAAAATAGAAAAATTATCACTTAAATAATTACTGCAAATTTGAGTCAATTGAACAAAAAATAGTACTTAATAATTTGATTCACATAGTGATTTTCAATCACGTGACTCGAGGCGCGAAATTTTAAAATAATAATTACTGAGGAAAAACATAATTTTCATTCATGAAGTGAAAGTTGCTTTTTTAATTTTATTTCTACAAGATTTCTCTTACCTTGTAAAAGTGTTCAAACAATAATCTACAATAATAATAATAATTCAATGTCCTCAAAACAAGAAAAACTCTATACCTTAATTTTTGTAAAAGAAAAAAAGGAGAAAAATGAAAAAATACTTTTGGGTTTAAAAAAGAAAGGACTCGACCAAGGATTGTGGAATGGTTTTGGCGGCAAAGTAGAAAAAAACGAATCGATTTTGGAAGGAGCTCTGAGGTAATTTATCATGAAATTTTATATTAATTAATTTAACACGCAATTTTATATTAATTAATTTAACATGAAATTTTATATTAATTAATTATTAATTAATATTATTAATTAATATAATTAATTAATTTAATTAATTAATATAATTAGTTAATTTAATTAATTAATTTAAATTTAAATTTAATTAATAATTTTTAATTCTCTTATAAATTAATATTCAAATTAAAAGAAAATAAAAAATTTTAAATTATTTTTAAATTAAAAAATAGTTTAACTTTATTTTCAGTTTTAAATGGTGTTTAAAAAGAATTTAATTAAAATATAATTAATTAAAAATGAAACTCATTTTTTTTAAGAGTAGATTTATTGAGGTCAACATTGTTAGCCTTTTTTTTATCCTACTACAATGAACCAACAATTATGCCTTTTTAAAAAACTAGCTGCTTTTGAATTGTATAAAATGAGTAATGCGAATATGAACATTATTTTTAAATATACATATATATGAAAATAAATAGATAAGCGACGATAAATAATAATGTACTCCATTCACTTTTATAATGCCTGGGGTTAAAAATATCACAAGTTTCTACAACACACCTACTATAAAAATTCTTTTCGAATTAATATCCATGATTATACAATTTGATTATTTAAAAAAAATTATAATCAAGCTCAAAAATAGAGATTAAATATCCTAAAATGAAAAAATCAATTTTTTTTTTACATTGTACACAATAACAATGTGAGAAAATTTCAATTTTTTTTTTTATAGAAATTTTTTGAAATCGAAATTTATATCAAAAAATTTTAAATATTACATAATAATTTTTAATAAATAATATCAAAATTAATTAATATTTTTAGAGAATTAAAAGAAGAATGTGGTTTATCTGGTGAATTGAAAAAAATTGGAGTACTTCACTTTCATGGAAGAGAAGAAGGAATTGTATCAGTGGTTTACGTTTTTGATACTTATTCTTATATTGGAGACATAACCGAGTCCGAAGGTATAATTATTAATTAATTTTTTAAAAATCTTTGTATAAACACTTGTATACTATTAGCTTTAGGATATTTTATCTAAAAACAGTATAATCCTAAGAATATCACAATATCGGTATAATTTCGTTAGGACGCAAGTGATGCCTTATTAACTAACACTGAAAATATTACAACCTATTTCATATAGTTAATTGTTCGGCAATATTTTCTTTTAGTAATTATAATTTATAATCATAAAATTCATTTTTCGAAAATTAAATTTTTTAAATAAAATTTTCTTTTTTAAAATAATTTTTCTTTTTTTTTTTTTGCAGAAATGCAACCAAAATGGTTTGAGATAAAAGAAATTCCTTTCAATGAGATGAAAGAAGATGCGAGCATCTGGTTTGATCACATGTTAAAGGGAAAATTTTTCAAAGGCTACTTTCATTATGAAAATGATAAAATTGTAAAACACAAAATAGACGAATTAACCGAATTTGAAGAAATGTAATAAAATAGATTTTTTAAAATTAAATTTCAAAAATTAAATTTCAAAAATTAAATTTCAAAAATTAAATTTCAAAAAACTATTTTTTAAATCGAAAATTCATTTTCTTTTTTTTTTTAAAGGACGTTTTCGATTTTAGAATAGTAATAATCATGTGATTAGTAACTGGTATAGATAATACAATTTTTATATAATGTGATTTTAATAAATAGTGCTCTCAAATCTTAACCTTTATATTACCTATTGTAATTAACAATTAGATTCTTATACTATTTGTAAGATCAAGTTTAAAACAATTGTGATATTTAAGTAGAGATTTTCACTGAATTCAGCAATATTTTTTTTTTTAGCAAAACATTCAGTTTTTTTTAGTAACGTATACTCGGCAATATTTTTAGCGATTTTTTAAATATATTTAGCAAAACATATTTTAGCTGCTATTATTCAATATTTATAAGTACTAAATTGTGTTAATACAAAAAAAAAACCGTAAATACTGAATTATTTGTGACTTTAATCCTTAGAATAATTCTATAAAAATTATATATATACTTTTTGTTAATCAATTAATGATTAATTCTTTGGAAATGCATTTTTTTAAAATTGCATTTGTTCATTTTTTGCTCAGACTTTTTTCTATTTAATAATCTCTAAATAATGCTCAAAACTATAAAATGAGATTAGAATCACATTAAGTAAAATTTTAATAAAATTAACAAAAAAAAAGGTACACTGGAAAAATAAAATATATGATTCAAATATTCATTTGATAATAAAAAACGAATTTATTTGAATTATAATTTTCTTTTTCCAGTGTAATCACAGCAAAAAAAAATTAGAAAACTAAAATCTGGTAAGATTGCATTCTTATAAATAAATTATTTCTGCCTGTTAAAATTGTTTTCTATAAGAAAAATATTTTGATTCTTTTTTCTAATTTCTTAATCGCTGTATATATACTAATTAGTGAAAAATGGGCATATTTTTCAACTGAAAGGAAAAATCGATTCCTTTCAATTGATTTTACAAAATTTTTTTTTTTTAATATTCCAAAACGTACCTAAAATTCACTTGGGCAAGACTTAAGCAGCGGACCAATGTTCCGATCTCCATAAAAGTGTATACATATTATGCTTTAAATCCTCCGCCTCTAAACTATCAATTGGCGAATCTGTATATCTTGTGATTAAACTTCGATAACCACGTCCAACAGTTACTAAAATCATTCTCTTTTTATTTATCGATTTAAATGAAACAATTTGACACACCTCACTTTCAAATGGTCGAAAAACTGTAATTGGTCTCAATGAATTGCATTCAGCAACGGCAATACATCCCCAAGTTGTTCCAATATAAAGTTGATTCATACACGATTCAATACTTGTCACTTGACATTTATCTGAAGTGAGATTTTCCTCAATTGAAATTGATTTCAAACTTTCCGAGCAAGGCACCAATTTCGACATATCAAGTTTATTCACAATTTGTTTACATTCAATGTCCCATTGATAAACAACACATCCTGGACAAGTGTATGATAAAATTGAATTTTCAGCACTCAATAAATAAGTGGCAAATAAATTTTTATCACCATTATCGCCAATAGCGTGTGATATTTCCACGGTGTCAATCAAATTTCCATCTTTTAATGTATAAACACTTATTCTACCAAAACTTTGACCAACCCACAATTCTACAATACGTCGTTTTTTACTAATAACCGCCATTGAATATGTTTTAACATCATCATTTGATTCGCCGACAATTTCATTTTTTTTCAATTGAGTAAATGAATTTGAAATTAAAAATAATTTCCCATTACATAGAGCAACAGCGAATTGTTTTAAATTCTCAAGATAAATTAAACCAACAATTTTCGAATCACTCTTGTCATCATCGAGATGATAGCTTGCAACACATGCAAAATTAGTTCCAAGATAAACATGAATATGTCCCGAATTATCACCAATCCAAATATAACCATCAATTTCACACATTGCAAATGGTATTAATTGTGTGTTAATTCTAACATGTTGCAACCATCCTTTTTGTGTTCCAAGAAGAACATCAATTTCACCATTATTATGTCCAAGCCAAATTTCATCACCAGTTATATTATCCTCCAAATGACGTGATGACATCGTTATTGCCGTGACTCTCGATTTTTCCGTCAATAGCGTAACATCAATTAAATGAACAAATTCCGGTGCCGATGCAATTGAAACAATTTGACTTGCTGTCGGTCGATCCTTTGGATTTTGTGACCAACAAATCACCATTAAATCAAGAGCATAACATGGATGATGTAAATCTCGATAGGTTAACGGTGGTCTTCCACCTTCTAAAATACATTCCTTCACTGCCTCATGACCCTCAAATGGCTGTCTCAATGTTATCAATTCATAAATAAACATTCCAAACGAAAATGAATCCACCTTCTCCGTATATTCCTCCTCGCCATTATATTTAATTATTTCCGGTGCCATAAATCCTTCAGTTCCACCAAAACCCTTTGCACCCGATGGCAGTGTTTGTCTCGAAATTCCATAATCAGCAACCTTCACATGAACCGGATGATCAGGATGATCCTGAAATGGTAACGGTATCTGCCAAACAAGAACATTTTCTGATTTTAAATCTCTATAAATAACATGCTGCTGATGTAAATATTCAACAGCTTTTGCCACCTGTAATATAATTGCCTGCAATGTATATGGATCAAGTTTAGCACCAGATCGTCGATAATTTTTCAATACATTATCCAATGCACCCTCAGGTGCTAAATCCAATACCAATGCCAATGGACTAATAACAATACCCACCAATGGTACAATATTTGCGTGTCTCAATGTTAAAAGAATATTTAATTCCTGTCTTGCCGTACAATAAGCCTTACAAGCATACTGCAATGGATCACGATCCCATTTACTTTGCGCCGCTTTAAAAGCCAAAATTGCCGATTGTTTTGAATTTGGACCCGGTGGCACTGGTTGTAACATTTTCATTGCAACATCAGCTCGACTATTTGTTCCCGGTAAACGACAAATACCACGAAATACAAAACCAAATGCACCACGTCCAAGCATTTTTCCTCTTTTTATATCATCCGATTTTATTAAATGCCTAGAACCAAGATCCATAAATATAATATCAGGTGCAATGTGCGATAATGGAATATCCGAATGTTTTGGACAACTAATTGTTTTATTGCTATAAGCTGATAAAATACATTCCTCCACCATCCATGAATAAACCAATGTTCCTTCTGTATTAATAAAATGTTTCACATCCGGATTACCCTCCAACGATGGCATTCGACTCGATGTTGATCCATCATCTTGTCCAACACCACTGTCACCATCCGATTTATAACTATCCTGACTTTGTCTCTCACGATTACGATATTGAATCTCATCATTTTGATCCTGATCCTGATCATCCTGATCACCATTATTCAATAAACATCTCGGACACGGTATCAATCTTGTTACCAATAATTTACCCTCCGAAGTATGTACAAATCTTGTACCCAACGTTGGATACCAATCCTCCAACAAAATATCAATATGATCAACAATCAAAGCAAGAAGTTGTGGCATACTCTCAGGTTGTGGATCAACAACAATTGCCTGATAACCCATTGGTTCATTATCCATTCCATCTGTTATTATTGGCTGCTTCACAACAAGTGTATCAACTGGAAACCAAATTTCCAAAATTGCACTATTTTTCAAATCAACTGTACACCAAATTCCATCTTGTTTCAATTTAAATTTATATTGTCGATAATCGTATGGCGAATTTTTAAGATTATAATTAACTTCCTTTAGACGCAATAGTGTAACACCTGCATAACGAAGTTCAATTCCAGTTTGCCACAATATCCATTCAGCGTGTGTATCCAACATAGAGGCAAATATTTTCTCATCAACTGCATCTTTAAACGGTGTTAAAAATGACATAACAACATCAACAATTGCATCGTCTGCCAATATTCTTGTTATTAATCTCGACCAAAATCCACTTGGAAAATATGACATTAAAAGAAGTCGTGTTATTGAACAATCAGGCTGTGATCTCGATGTCAAATATAAACATTCAAGATTCGCTTTCTCTGAATTTGGAAATGGAAACAAAGGCGAAGTAATTATTTTCTTTGATCTTGTATGCCAACCACGTGTTTTCACTGGTATTTTAATAATCTGATTATTTCTCAATATATCCTCCTCGGATGGTAAAAGCGATGGTATCAATAATGTTCGATAATCCCAAGTAAGAGCCACTTCAAATTTATTCAAAAGACTCACAATATATCCTTGCGTATCAACCGATGATATTGTCGAAGATTTAAAAACATGTTGAATATCATCTAATTTCATAATTCCCGAACGAGCAAATGGATTAATTTCCCTTATAGTGACAACGTGAGCAAGCATATCGCACAACCATTGTGGATCCAAAAAATATAAATCCTTAAGTGTTGCATCATCATAGTGAAGAATAATTCCATTCTCATGTAAAAATAATGTAGCCTGATGAAGTTCCGCTGGATCACGAAATGAACGTCGCAATTTTGTCAATTCACATTGCACCGCTGCATAATATTGATCAGCTCTCAGCACTGGATCAGCACCCGCCAATCGTCGATCGTGAGCCAATTGTACAACAACTTCCTCCAAAGCTAAATAACTCGCCGGAACACGTTGCTCAAGTAATAATTCCTTACTTCCCGGTGATCTCAAACTAAAAACAACATCATAAATTAAATTACAAAGCATTTTAATATTATGCCTAGTCTTACAGCTAACTTCAATTGTCTCCATAACTCTTGGCAATCCACATTTTTCCGCGTCAACAACATTTATAAATTTATCCCTAATATGCTGTTGTAAAATTTCACTTTGCTCATTTGATACATCATAATGTGTTCCAACAATAATTACCGGTGAATTTGGTGCACGACTCTGTATATTTACCAACCATTGAAATATTTCTGCAACACCTTTAAAACCATCGGTTATTTTCCAAACAACCAAATAAAGACTACGTTTTGATAAAAAATATTGATGCGTCGCATAATATTCCTTCTGTCCACCAAAATCCCATGTTCGAAAATAAACACCACCATGCGACGATTGTCCACGTACTTTTTTCTCATACATCCAATCACCAATATCAACACCAACTGTCGATATAATTGTCCCTCTTGCTGTTTTTGCATTTACATTCTTATTACCCATTCGTTTTGCCCAATGATCAGCGGATTTTTTTTTATTCGGCACCTCACCCTCCTGTCTCAATTGTTCCAATAAACTCGTTTTTCCAATACCCTGTATACCAACAATCATTAATTTCATCCTCGCATATGGTTTAGCATCCTCCAATACCGATTTTAAATAGCCAATCACATCCATTGTTTTATATTTTTTCGATTCAATCATTGTCTTCAATGGTTCTTGTAATTTACAACCTTGTGTATTTAAATTCCATAAACGCGACAGTAAACCCATTTGCGGTGGTAATTCAACAATTTCACAATTTCCACTCACATTCAACACGGAAAGATTACTTAATTCATAAATATTATGAGGAATTTCTTTTAAATTATTATTACTCACATCCAACATACTAACATTTGGAAAGAGAAGATAAAGTTTTGAATTAGGATAGGCACGTGAAATTTTCTCACCATCGTCATCGATAATTTCACCATCATCAACAGATGTTAATTGTATTCTAATTAATAAATTATTCGCCAAAACGAGAGTACGAAGATTTTCCAATCGCAAATGACGTCTATGTGTGCAAACAGACATGAGAACAACGTCACGTAATGATGTTGCTGTTTGACGATTATTTGGACCAATTGGTGATTGAATATTAGTTGTCGGACAATAACAGGCAGTTGTTGCCTGTTCCATTGAATCAGCATCAGCATCAACTTGCGGTAAACTTGGCCAACATGATATTTGATTATTTGATAAATCCAATTGTTTAAGACTCGCTGGATACGATGTTATGTGACTCATTGATCTCAATGAATTATAAGCCATATTTAATCTTACTAAATTCACTGCCAAACATGGCAAAGCCACGGGTATACTGTTAAATAAATTATGCGCTAAATTCAATGATGATAAAACAGATCTTACTCCCGTTTCTGTATCAACATCATTAATTTTTTCTGAAACTTGCACCGATTTTGTCCAAACATGAGGACGTTCTATTTCAATAATACGTGCATTGGCAATTTTTGAAAAAGAATCCATTGAATCCGTAGAGTTTTCTCTTGAAAATTCAATTTGTGATACCAAATTTCGAAAACTCGGACTATGTCCAATTGTATCCTCGCGATCAATTTTTTTATCAATATTCTGAAACACTTCACTTGGTAAATCACGTAAAAGATTAAAAGATGCATTCAATTCTTTCAATTTTGGCGCACGCCACAAATTATTTGGCAAACATTGTAATTTATTATTCGATACATCAAGTATCTCAAGACTTGGAAAATTCATCAAAAACTCCGGCAATTGCTCCAAACGATTATCCTGTAAATAAAGTTCCTCAATAACAGGACAAAGTTTATCTTTTGGATTTTTTGATTCCGCAATAAGTGTATCAATTTTATTACGTGCCATATTTAAATATTTCAAACTTTGCAAATAAAACACCATTGACGGAATAGACGTTATTGAATTGTGTGATATATCAATTCTCGTAATTGCATACAATACTAAATCATTATTTTTTGCACTTAATTTTTTATTAACATTCAATACCGCATCGACAAACCATTGTGAACGAATTTGTGACAAACGACACTGTTGATTATGCCAATTTATCATTGTCGGAACATTTGGAAATAATGTTGAATAAGTGACATTACCAAAACTAGATAAAGCCGAAAAATGAGACGACTGTGTACTGTCAGTCATTGCTTTTTTATTAATTTTATATTCCGAATCGGGAAACGCTTTTATTGATAATAATTTTGCCGTTAATGTTTCATCACGATTTTGTGCTGCAATTTTTAATGCCTTACAATCATTATCAACTGCTCCGTGTTTCAGTAAAAGATCAACAATTTTAACATCACGATTCTCACATGCAATTGCCAAAACTGTTGAAAAACTCGATTCTGGATCTAATTGTTCATAAAGAATTTTTACCGGTAAATTTGGATTTGCACCAGCTACAAGTAATGCTGCAACAACATCTAAATGTCGTCCCTTAACAGAAACGTGTAATGCAGTTTCGGTATTATTATTACAATATAAATCTAAATATAAAGGACAAATAGTATTATCATCCTTTTTCTCTGATGATTTACTTCTAAAATTCAAACTCGACATTAGCCTTTGAATACCACTTGATATTCGTCGTCTTGACATTGGCACCGGTGTTGCACTACCCGTTTCTTCTTCTTTAATTTTTCGCGCTTTCACCTTATAATTTAAAAGTGTTTCAACTATTTTAAAATTACCCAACATACTTGATATATAAAGAATATTTTGACCCGTAACATCTTGTGTATTAATATCGAACGCCATCTCATATTCAAATTCCCCCGTGGGATCTTTAAATCGTTGAAACAAATTTTGTGGATATTCAAATTTGAGCAGATAATCAAAAACAGCGTGATGACCATTTATCACAGTTGCATGAATTGGTAGCCATTTTTCAACAGTTAATGATTGAATTTGTTTTGGAAATTGACGAAGAAGAATTTCAACAATCTCTAATTTACCATTATAACAAGCAATATACAATGGACAATATTTTGTCACTGAATGAATACGACAATCAGCACCATTCTCTAATAATAAACGAACAATATCCCTTTGTCCCATTTCACATGCAATAAAAAGTAATGTATTCGCTCCATTTGGCGCCATATTAACAATAATTTCTAAATCATGTGATAATGCTTGAATAATGCCTTTCGCTGCCAATACATCGCCCTGCATACAAACACCTCTCAATGATGCGTGTGAAGCTAATCTTTCGAGTTCATATTTTTCCTCAGCTTGTTTCAATAATGTGGAACATTTCACGTGTTCCTTTTTCTCCGAGACATCCAACGGTGAATATCCATTTTTATCACAAACACCAAGATCAACTTTATATTCAAGAAGTTTCTCGACATTTGATATATGACCATATTCAGCGCTAATATGCAGTGGTGTACGATACTGACCTCGTGGACCGCAGGCAATATTTGGATTTGCACCAGCTGATAATAATACTTCAAGACATCGTGAATTTTCCGTTATTGCTGCCGCATGTAAAGCCGTTCGTCCCCATGAATCTTGACTATTTATATATTGATTGTGTTCACCGCCTAAAAGATCCTCGAGAAGTTCCGCATTGTCCCAAAGTGCAGCCTGATGCAATAATCGTCCTGGAAAATCCTCATCCACCGGTGTATAATCCTCCATTGTCGAATCTAAAAAAATTAAACACATTGTTAATAAAAATAGAATTTATTGAAATTAAATTTATCAAAAAAATTACTGAAATAAAAATAGAATTTATTAAAATTAAATTTATTTAAAGGTTACTCAAATAAAAATAGAATTTATTAAAAAATTAATTAAATAAAAGTAGAATTTATTAAAATTAAATTTATTTAAAGGTTACTCAAATAAAAATAGAATTTATTAAAAAATTAATTAAATAAAAGTAGAATTTATTAAAATTAAATTTATTTAAAGGTTACTCAAATAAAAATAGAATTTATTATGAACCTGAAGTCCGCAACGTTTTTAAAAACGAAAAATTAACATAGAATGATTTTTTCAAGTCATTTTATTATTAATTCTGATTTGCACAAACTTTTAAGAAATTAATCTTTTTATAGAAGCCAGTTACCACCGAATAACTTTAATTTTATGCCAAAGTAATACATATTATCTAATTATTTTTTCGTTTTCGTTTATAAAAACGTTGCGGACTTCAGTTTCATAATTTATTAAAAAATTAATTAAATAAAAGTAGAATTTATTAAAATTAAATTTATTAAAAAATTATTAAAATTTTAGTAATTTAATTTATTTTCTAAACTGATTTTTAAATTATTAAAATTTCTTTAAAAATTCAAATTTAATGTAACTAAAAAAAAAAATAACTAAATTTTTGCATATTAAAATTTCATCAAAGAATTTCTTACTATTAATATTTATATTTATAAAATGTAAAGAATTATTCATTTTAAAAGAGATACAATAATGAAAAGTTAACACGCAACGTGAAAGTGTTAAAATCATAAATTCATTACAATCAAGAAGAAATTAGATTTCTTTTCTAATATTTTTATAATACACTAAAAAAAAAAAAATTAATTTCTCAATCCTATATTGTTACGCAATGTAATAAAATCAATAACACATATGTATAAAAATGATAATTATCTTGATAAAAAATTGTCAATAAACATGATAGATTCAAATAATAAACAAAACAAAAAAAATTAAAGAACTTAAATTATTAGCAAAAAAAATTTTCCAAGTTGATTATATCAACTTTAAAATTTAAACAATTTCAATTCAAATTTGAATTGAATTCAATTTGAATTTTCAATTCACAGAAAGCAAATTGAAAAAAAAACCGAATTGTTTACATAATTTTTTGACATAAAAAAGGAAAAATTAAATACACACCGCAATGTCATACCTTAATACTAATTAATGCGAGATATTCAAATTTTTTTTTAATGATTTTGCATTTTAATTGATAACGTCAGTATTTTACTAGTCACTTAATGAGACTGAAAATATTCCGCAGAAAAACATCGATTTAAAAATCATCGTCGAGTGTTGTTTTCCTGCGGTTTATTTTGAAGCATCAACATAAAAATGTCATTTCGACGTCTAAACCACAACAACTCGTATTAAATACAGTGGTCCAGTTATCCATGATGATTGTCACCTTTCATGGCCACTTCCACTACCACCACCACTACAATTTTATCATTTATCAGTTATCATTTATCACTGTGTTATACACTTGAAATATGAGAAACCACAAAAGAAATAGAAAGAGGTTATGACACCACACCTCTGAGACGCCATTTTTGTTTTGTGAGAACGAGAGAGAAACGAAAGTGAAGGAGGGGAAATTATTTTTATAAAAACCACATTAATTTTAATACAACAATTTAAAAATATCCTATTTGTTTAAAAATTATTTCGAATTTAAAATTTGTTTACCCATTTTACAAAAATAACTGCTCACATTACAAATTAAAAAATTTTCAGTTTAATTTAATAAAAAATTAGTTAAACAGAAATTTGCAAACTGCTCTAATTTATTTTATTTACTACATTCGTATTAATTTTAATTGCAAATTAAAAATGAGATCTATTAAAAATGAAATTTAAAAAAAATGTAAATTTCAATTTGAAAATGGCGCCAACGTAGGCAGCGCTCACAACGACAAAAACTGGAACTTTGCTTTTACGTAATTTCCAAAATTTAAATTTTCAATTAAACAATGTCAATTCTCACAAACAATAAGTAAATAAATACCTACTTAATACTAGTTAATTGAAAATAATTGTTTTATACCTCTTTTTATTGACTTTTTTTAAATAAGTTTAAATGAAGTAAAATAACAACGACTGCGCATTGTCGTCGCGCATTTGCAAAGTTTCTTTCGCGTCTAATAATTTGATTTTATTGAATTTTCAATACTTCAAAATCCTTGAAACGATAGACAGACGAAAAAGGTACACGTTAAGATTTTCTACTGTATTTTTCAGGTAATTTTCTTTCAAAATATGTATATCAAATTCATCAATTAGTTATCACAATACGTCATACTTTTTTTTGTTAGAAATGGCACGTGTAAGACATACACATTCAGTTCGTATAGTAAGCGTGTTTATTAAATTTTAATAAACAATGAGTTTAACATTTAGACGTATGTCTGTGCAATATAAAAGTACACGTTTTTTAAGTGAATTAGCTGGTGATGAAAAAAAGAAGTTTGGTAAACGTATAATTGTTAAAAAAAATAAAAGTGATGAAAACAATGATCTAACCTCAAAATTAACAAAAACGGAATTTAAATTTATGAGAAAAGATATTAAATCATCGCCTTATGATGTCCCTCCTAAACTTACATCAATTCGAAGATCTAAACCAAAATACAAAGGATATTATACAAAAACAAATCAACTTACTGCTGAAAATTATATTTTTAGTCGAAATTCAGAAGAAAAAGCCGATTTTGTATATGGAATACGAAAGAATAAATTCTCCAAAAATTATCACACAAATTCATTATGTGCCAATTTTATGTTAAAGGAGAGTAAAAATTTTGAAAAATCTCTAATAAATAAAACATCAACAAAGAAAAATGATAATTTAATTAATTTACCAAGTAAAAAATATCGCTATCTTAATAATTCAAAATTTAAAATAATTAAAGTTAAAAATCCTATAAACAATGAGAATATAACAATTAAGGCAACAAATGAAATTTCAAAAAATAAAGAAACAATTGAACAAGTCAGTGATAATAATTATTTAAAAATAGATGAAAATCGAGAAAATGAAATTAATTTACAAATGCTTCCTTCAGCTTTGTTTAAAACAATTTTTCCCGAAGAAAATGAGTCTATTGTTTCATCAGAGAAATTAGATTCAATTAAAAAAGAATTACTAACTTTTGGATTAAATGTTGATAATCAAATTCGCTTACCAAATGTGGATTTAGAATTACCTAGTCTCGAAGGAAAGAATATTGAGGAGCATTTTTATAATATTGCCAATTCACAAATTAAACCCTACATGAAAGTTGTAAATGAACTTGTTAAAAAAATACCTCCAGTTCCTGAACAATGGATTTTTCAAGAAGGATGGACAAGGTAAGTTAATTTTTTTTTTTAAAAAAAAAGTAAAATTATTTTGAAATTAAAGTCCACAACGATTAGTAAATTATTTTTTAAAACAGAAAATTAACGAAGTACGCAACGTTTATATAAACGATTTTTAAAGAAATAATTTTTTAAAATGAAAAATTCTATAATTTTTTGCCTAAAAAATATTTTTTGTATAATTTGTTGATTAATGAAAACTACAAGAAATATTTTTTAGGCAAAAAATTATAGAATTTTTCATTGTAAAAAATTGTTTCTTTAAAAATCGTTTATATAAACGTTGCGTACTTCGTGAAAATTTGTAAAATTTATCTAAAAAATGTTTTTCTTTTCTTTTATCAATAAACATTGAAAAAATAATTGAGACGAAAATTCATAGAATTTTTCTATTTAAAAAAAATATTTAAAAATCGATTATAAACGTGTTGAAATTTAAAAAAAAGAACTAAAATAATTTTTTTAAATAGAAAAATTCTATGAATTTTCGTCTCAATTATTTTTTCAATGTTTATTGATAAAAGAAAAAAGAAAAACATTTTTTAGATAAATTTTATAATTTTCACGAAACTGAAGTGTGCAACGTTTATATAAACGATTTTTAAAGAAATAATTTTTTTGAAATGAAAAATTCTATAATTTTTTGCCTAAAAAATACTTTTTGTATAATTTGTTGATTAATGAAAACTACAAGAAATATTTTTTAGGCAAAAAATTATAGAATTTTTCATTGTAAAAAATTATTTCCTTAAAAATCGTTTATATAAACGTTGCGTACTTCAGCTTTGTGAAAATTATAAAATTTATCTAAAAAATGTTTTTCTTTTTTTTTATCAATAAACATTGAAAAAATAAATAAATAATTGAGACGAAAATTCATAGAATTTTTCTATTTAAAAAAATATTTAAAAATCGATTATAAACGTGTTGAAATTTAAAAAAAAGAACTAAAATAATTTTTTAAAATGAAAAATTCTATAATTTTTTGCCTAAAAAATACTTTTTGTATAATTTGTTGATTAATGAAAACCACAAGAAATATTTTTTAGGCAAAAAATTATAGAATTTTTCATTGTAAAAAATTATTTCTTTAAAAATCGTTTATATAAACGTTGCGTACTTCGTGAAAATTATAAAATTTATCTAAAAAATGTTTTTCTTTTTTTTTATCAATAAACATTGAAAAAATAATTGAGACGAAAATTCATAGAATTTTTCTATTTAAAAAAAATATTTAAAAATCGATTATAAACGTGTGGAAATTTAAAAAAAAAGAACTAAAATAATTTTTCTAATTCTAGATACACGGAATCAGGATCGGAAAAAGTGGATTACCCATTGGAAGAGGGTTTAATTTTTGATGTTGAAGTTTGTATGAGTGAGGGACCACTTCCTACATTAGCAACAGCAGTTAGTAAAAATGCATGGTACGGTTGGATATCAAAATCTCTCGTCGAAAATTCTAGTCTTGTTGTGAAAGATCGTTTTCTTTCAAATGAATTTCTAATTCCTCTAGAAAGTACATCTGATGATTATGGAACAAAATTAAATAATTTTCAAAAACGTGGTAAAATAATAATTGGTCATAATGTATCGTATGATCGTGCACGAATTAAAGAACAATATTGGTTAAATTCAACTGGAACACGATTTATCGACACAATGTCAATGCATATATGCGTCAGCGGAATAAACAGTTTTCAACGAGCATTATTGAAGGCTGATAAAGAGGACCTTGAGGAAAACTTGCGCAATCATTCATCGTTGAACAATTTGGGTGACGTTCATCAACTCTATTGTGGCGAGAAAATCAATAAAAAGGCACGCGACTTATTTGTCGATGGTACTTTATTACAAATTCGTGAAAATTTCAATGATATGATGAAATATTGTGCCAATGATGTTAAAGCGACATTTAATATTTTTCAAAAATTATTACCAATGTTTCAGGAACGTTTTCCACATCCAGTTAGTTTTGCCGGTATGTTGGAACTTGGTTGTGCTTATTTACCAGTGAATTCAAATTGGCAACGTTATATTGAAGAATCAGAATTGACATTTGAGGATTTTAGTCATGAATCAAAGGCTATTTTATCGAATCGTGCGGCTGAGGTTTGTCAACTTATGCACGATGAGAAATATAAAAAAGATTTATGGATGTGGGATCAGGATTGGAGTACTCAGGATATTAAAATTAAATCGATATTGACGAAACAACAACGCGATGAAATGATTAAAGATAAAGCAAAAAGGGCAATTGAAAAAGAAAATTTAAAAAATGAAGAAGAAGAAATTGATCCACTTGAAGAGAAATTCGCTTATTTGAACGATACGAAATATTATCTACCTGCAAAAATGCCTCACATGCCCGGCTATCCAAATTGGTATCGAAAATTATGTGACAAAAAGAACAACGAAGATTGGTTACCAGGTGCTCAGAATATTAGCACTTCTATGAAAGTTGTGCCTAAAATTTTGAATCTCACATGGGAAAATTATCCCCTACATTATATACGTGAACATGGTTGGGGATTTCTCGTGCCTTATAATAATGATCTAGCTATAGAAACAAAAATTCCTTTAAAAGAACTATTGAAACAATGTCCACTACCAATTGAATCAAAAACAGAAATTGAAATTGATTACACAATGATGACACTCGATAAGGAGGTACAAAGTGATTTATCAAAAACAGAATTTTGGCGCGATAAAAAGAAGAAAAATCCCGAAAATAATTTCTATAAAGGCAGTGGAATTTGGTGTAATATTGACATTGATAATTGTTGTTGGTTCTTTAAATTACCACACAAAGATGGAACATCAAAAAACGTTGGCAATCCATTGGCTAAAGATTTTTTAAATAAATTCTCCGACAATGTACTCGCTGGTCTTGATGTTAGTGCATCGTCAGTTTTAAAAATAGCAAGAATGCTCTCCTATTGGCGAAATAATCGTGATCGAATTTTATCTCAATTGGTAATTTGGTTCGATGAAAAGAGTCTATCGAGTGCATTGAAACGTGATAAAAGAAAAATGCGTTACGGTGCAATTCTTCCACAAGTTATTGTTTCGGGAACACTTACACGTCGAGCAGTGGAACCAACATGGATGACGGCATCAAATGCTCATGCCGAAAGAATTGGATCTGAATTACGTTCAATGATTCAAGCACCACCGGGATATAATATTGTTGGTGCCGATGTTGATAGTCAAGAATTGTGGATTGCATCAATAATTGGTGATGCTTATCATGCAAAAATTCACGGAGCAACACCATTTGGATGGATGACATTGATTGGTAATAAAGCCGATGGAACGGATATGCATAGTGTTACAGCAAAGGCAATTGGTATATCGAGAGATCATGCAAAAATAATTAATTACGCACGTATTTATGGTGCTGGTCAAAGATTTGCCGAGAGATTATTGAAGCAATTTAATCCAACAATGACGGAAGCTGAAGCGGGGGCAAAATCAAAAAAAATGTTCGCCATGACAAAGGGGAGAAAAATTTTTAGACTTAAAAAAGAATTTATCAGCAAAGAATTGGTTGATAAGGAATATAGTTCGGGTTTAATGTTTAAAATTGCGAAAATTTATGGTCGAACGGCAAGTGAAATGTTTGAAAAAGGACAATGGATCGGTGGTTCTGAATCGGCAATGTTCAATAGACTTGAAGAAATTGCTGGTAATTTAACGCCGGTTACACCGTTTTTGAATTCAAGATTAAGTCGTGCCTTGGAGGGACAGGAAATTGATGACGATAAATATTTACCAACAAAAGTCAATTGGGTTGTTCAAAGTGGTGCTGTTGATTTTTTACATTTAATGTTGGTTTCAATGCGATGGCTAATGAAAGATAATGCAAGATTTTGTCTATCATTTCATGATGAAATTCGTTATTTAGTCGCGAATAAATATAAATATAATGCTGCACTTGCAATGCATATTACAAATTTATTGACACGTTCATTTTGTTCGTCGCGACTTGGTTTAAAAGATTTGCCAATGTCAGTGGCTTTTTTCACATCGGTTGAAGTTGACACTGTATTGAGAAAAGAAGCGAGTAGTGATTGTAAAACACCATCAAATCCACATGGTCTTCAGGCTGGTTATGAAATATCACCTGGCGAAAGTTTAGATGTATGGAAAGCTATTGAAAAATCTTCTGGATCAATTGGCTCATGGCATAATAAAAATAAAATCAATTCTATTGATACAAATTTGAAAAATAAAGAAGAGGCGAATGATGATCAAATGTGATTTATTTTTACTCATATTAAGTAATTTTATTTTTTCTATCATTTCATGAATGCATTTATTGTAAAAAAAATTCATTACAAATAAATATTAAATTATAAAAATTTGAAACATTTTCTTTTTCAGTTCACAATGTCTAAATCAACCAAACGTAAGCATGTAACAAGAGAACTTGAGGAGGATTTAAGTGTGCCATCGGAGTCTCAATCGATAGTTCAACTGATAGAATCAAGAGGAAATAACCTTCACGAAGCAATGGATGTAAACGGAGAACGATTTCTTATATCTATGCCACGAAAGTTTCGAAACAGCATTTGGGTTAAAAGAGGCGATTTTGTTATCATTGAGCCCATCGCCGAAGGTGACAAAGTTAAAGGAGAAATCGTAAAAATTCTAAGAAGGGTATGTTTATTTTTTCTAATTTTTTTTTCGAATTTCTAAATAGAAAAAATATTTTTGATAATTTTTTTTAGGAGCACATAAAGTATTATCAGTCGCAAAATTGTTGGCCTCAGGAATTTCAACAGAAACGACACGAGAGTAATGGCGATGCAGATAACGAGGAAGAAGATGATCCAAAGGATAATGAGGAAAAAGAGGAAGATGATCTCTTCGTGAACACAAATAGAAGACCCTTAAATCACGACACGACGGAAACTGAAAGTGATTCAAGTACCGAAGCTTCTGATTCTGATTAACTGCCTATGTGAGTCTCTGTAGTATTTATGAACTTCCAGAATTATCAAAAGAAATTAATTGAATCCTCATGTGAAAATGAAATTCACAGAAAGAAAAAAAAGGTTTTTTTCTCCAAAACCCTTGAAAGTAGTAGTGTAATTTCGAAGAGAAAAAAAATGACAAGTGCATTTATTATATTTAGAATAGAATGTGTTGTGCCAAGAAACTAGTTTTTAAAATATGAATTGATAGATCTTCGATTGATGTAAATATTTTAATGTGTACATTATAATCCGAAATATCAACTATATTTTTCTACCACGTTGGTACCTTCCAAATATAACAATATTTTATTGTTCTGTGTGTTTAAAACAAAAAAAAAAAAAAAAAAGAAAGCGATTGTTATCTTTTCCTGAATCATAGAATCTTAATAATGTGATAACAGACAAAGCTAAACAAAAATAAAGCTCGTTATGATTGTTGTAATTTTTTATCTTTTTCACTAAACGGGAAATTAAAACAATTTAATAACAAAAACTAAAAGCAAAAATAAAAATTTCCATAGAATTATCTTAGGTACGTTACTTTAATAATTGGCCTCGAATCTTTTATTTATTTTTGATAAAAATATTTTTTTATAGCTAAACATTTCTATTTTATTTTTATTTTTCTCTTTTTTTCAACTGTGAATTGTTGAGGTAATTCAGATAAAAAAAAAGATGAAATAGGGCCCCTGAGGCAAATCGATCATAAATATTTATTTGTGTATGTACACATTTCTACGTGACTATATCGAAAGTAAAATGCAACGATTTTTGATAAAGCATTTTATCTATAAAACCGATACAACCCAACGACATTGAATTCTCGGATAAATATTAATTTAAATAGAAAACTGTTTTTTTTTCTCCTACAAACGTAATACGATTACTTTTGTTATTTTCTTTTATCAATATAATTCTACGTTAGATTTTCAAATTAACTGATTTATTAAAATTATTTATTATCAAATAATTAAATTATTAATTTTAATTACAATTACCAATTTTGAAATTTTAGTTTTTTTATGAAAAAAAAAAATTATTATTATAACAAAAATGGTAAAAACCGGTATTTGAATATTTTAACTATAATAATTAAAAAAAAGATTGACGAGCAATAATTATATGAATATTTTTGCATAGCCAGATATTAGAAGACTTTATCGTGCGTATTAATTGATCAAGAAAATAACATGGTGGAAAATGCATCCTTCAGCAGATTAGGTTTATTTGTTCCAAGAGAATTATTATTAAAATTAAACAACCATTTTTAGTTGAAATTCAAATTCTCGGAAAAATACCTTAATCGAAAAATTCATTAAGATGCATTAAAAAAAAATTATACTAATCAAAATGTTAATATAATTTTAATTTTTAATTTATAAAACAAAATTCAAAATATTTTTTATAATATTTATATAAATATTTATAATATAATATAAAAATCTCTCTCTCTCTCTTTTTTCTGTGTAAAATATAAACAGCCATGATTATAAATGATAAACCAGTTTTTTTTTTAATTAAATCTGATTTTATAATAAAAATGATGTAAACAATTTTTTTAAAAGCGTTTTCCGGAGATTTTTTTCTAATTGTAAATTAATTTATAAATAATTATTAATTAATTAACAATTTGTACAAAGGAAAATTAGATAAAATATAAATTTTTATAGGAAAAAAATAGAAAGCAGATGGGTAGAATAAATTTTGAAATCAAATCCTTGCGTTTTGATATTCATCATTCTTTTGTTCTTATCAAAGAGGTTTTTCTGCGAGAGTTGCTCAACGAGACACAATGGTACCTCCTCTCAGTCAGTATTGAAGAGACTACTTGAAAGTACAATATTTCTATCAAATTATTAATATTTACATAATTTCATATTATATTCATCAAAAAGGCTTTATCAAAAATATTGAGAATAAATAAAAATATGTAAATATATAATGTTTACCTACGACAATAATAATAATAATAATAATAAAAATAATATTTCTCCTTGTACAGAAGATTTAACTATGAATTTTATCAAGTTCCTATCGTTAAGTGTTAAGTTTTGGAAAATTTGATAGTGAATTGCATTAATTTTCTGATGATCTGTCGAAACCTAAAGAGTTTGTGGTCCAAATGAAACTTCTAATCGATCGTTTCTCCAATGGAGGATGGACATTCTGACGTATCGCAGATCGTTTTTTACTTTATATCTCGAAAAAGAGGGTCAATAGCTGAACTAGGAAAAGTAATTTATTCTTGGATTGGAAAACGGTGACGTTTGGAGTTTATAAAACTTCAGAGGTGAAAAGAAAACGCTTCTATATAGATTTTCAACTGGGAGCGATATTATTCAACAAAGTGAGTTTGAATTATTATTATTCTTTGATTTATGTTCTTAATTTCAAACTCATTTTTTAATGTTTCAACTTTCTAAGAGCTAAATTTTTTTTTAGTTTCCTATAAAAATATATTAAAATTTTTTTTTAAGAAAACAGAATTTTTTATTTTTTGCAAAATTAAAAAAAATATAGAAAATTAATATTGCGTTGAAAGTATATTGCAATAAAGTACAATTTTTTTTTCCTTATTTGTTAGTTAATTTGACGTCAGCGATATTAAAAATTAAAATCCCAAGAAACAAAAATAAATATTTTTTTTCTTTTTAAATTGAATAAATATTTTTAGAAAAAAATTTTTTTTTTTGTGGAAATTAATTAAGATGCGCAAGAGATGAGGGAATTTTCAATTGTTATAAATCAACAAATGAAATACTAATTGTTAATAAAATGTCAAATGGTAGTAAGTCTCTTATCAATTCTTATCTGAGATTATTATTTCGAACATATATAAGGAGACTTAAAAAAAAATCTTATCTAATTAACAGATTTATAGAAGTGATTGCAAATAATTTTAATTTTTTAAAGTGTAAATATTTTATTATTTTTTTTTCTTTATTTGCACTAAATTTAATTTAGTTCAATGAAATTAATTTTGATTCAAAAATTTTTTCTATCCTTATCATATCTACATTAAATTACAGCTGAATGCTTTCGGTTTCTAATGTTCAAAATGATTTAAGAGTTTCCTTAAATCGACCCATTGACTCGAAAATTCGTTCCAATTGTTCAAAAGTTAATTACGAATTTAAATTTTATTATCAAAAAAAAAAAAAAATAATAATAAATTAAAAAAGGATTTAAAATTATTTTTTTTATTTTTTTTTTAGGGAAAAAATCCAAGAGGAAGAAAAAAAAAAGAAAAACTATGGAGTCAACGACAGAAGATGATGGGGATTTGGAGGATTTTTGGGATAATTTAAGATTAGAGAATCTCACGGAAGTCGATTATTTAAACAGGGTTCTTGGTCCAAAAAATTTGCCATTAAATATGGCAGTGCCATTGACAGTGGCGTATTTAATAATTTTTATAACGGGAATTTTTGGTAATATAACAACCTGTATGGTAATTATTAAAAATTCATCAATGCAGAATGCCACCAATTACTACCTCTTCAGTCTCGCCATATCCGACCTTATTCTACTTGTTCTCGGTGAGTTCAAGAGGGAAATTAAAATCAGATAAGAAATTCACAGATTGGATAAGATTGAAGATGAATATAACTATTCAATTTATATACAATTTTCTTTTAATTGAAATTAAATTAATTGAAATTAAATTAAATGAAATTAAATTAATTGAAATTAATTTAATTCAAATTAAACTAATTTAAATAAAAAAAATATTAAATTAATTTAAATAAAAAAAAAATATTAAATTAATTTACAGACAGAGAAATACTTTATTAGCGTTTATTTGGGATAAATAAAATTTATTTGCATCAAATAAAAATATATTTATCCTAGAGTCTAAAACCTTTTTATTTGTTTCAAAAAAAATTTATTTAGCAGAAATAAAATTTTATTTAGCAAAAATAAAATTTTATTTAGCAAAAAATAAAATTGTATATAGTAAATAAAATTTTTTATTAAACTCAAATAAAATTTCATTTGAAACAAATAAATATTTATTTGGCCCTGATAAAAATATATCTTTCCGCTGGGTGTAAATTTAAGAAATTAAATAGTTAAAAAAAATTAAATTAATTTTTTAAAACATTTTTAATTTCCTTTATGTTATAATATCAAAAATTCTAACAAAAAAAACCCAGTATAATTTTATTTTAATTTTCTTATTTATAAATGTAAGTAATTAAAATTTGTCGCGAATGTGATTATGTGGAGTTTAATTAAATGAGAACTTTAATTAAAATAACACACAACCAATAGAGGGGATGATATAAACTAATTAGAAAGTAAACTCAAATTTTTTTAAATGCAAAAATTATTTTATAAAAATATTGATTAACAATAATTATAATAATAATAATAATAAAAAAAAAAATTATTATTTTTTGAGAATTTTTTTTTTACGCGATTTTTTTATGAGAAAAAAATCATTTATAAAGAATTTCAAGAATTTCATATATTTAAAATACTTATAATATGAAAAAAAAGTACTAAAATCAATTATACAGTAATTAGGGAAAAGCACTGGTGGTATATTGCGTTGAAAAATGACTTCTGACTATTATTGGGAGAAGATAACAAGCTTTAAATTAATCTTCGTGTAAATTTACAATATAAATGTCGCGAGTTTTGTGTGAATGTTTATTGGATTTAAAAATATCGTAGAAATTTGCGTCAGTAGACGTGTCAACATTGATGGGAGATGTTAAATGAAATTTTTTTTTTTTTTTTTTTAAATTAAAAAAAGGATAATGATATAATAAGCCAATATAGTACATATCAGAATGTAGAATCTTTTTTTTATCACCAAATCATATTTTTTTAATATAAATTTTTTTTCTTTTTCCTTAAAAGTAATTTTTTTTCGGAAAAAGAAATTAAAATTAAAAGAATTTAGAAGATTAGGAAATGAAGAAAAAGAAAAATAAAATTGATAGTGAAATATTTAGCAAACAATTAGAGTCGGGAGAAAATTTACATTCTCTGATCATTAGATTTGGGATTTTGGCTTGATGATACCCACAGAGAAACTAAAAAGTGATAACGACAAAAATTTAATTAGGTTAAAAGCAATTAAGTTCAAGTAACACCTCTCGAGAGAACATTTATGTGAATTACGAAGTTTTGGGTTTCTTTTTTTAGAACGTGACTGTTATATTTAATTACCAGGGGAGGAAAAAAAAACAAAATTTTATTTTTAAAATATTTTTAAATTTAAATTTTAATTTTATTAAATTATTATTATTATTATTATTATTAATTTTATTATTTATTTAATTTTAATTTTAATTTTATTTTTAATTTTTAAATATTAAAAATAAATAAAATCAAATACCAAAAGAAAATAGAAAATTATGTAATAAATATACAAAAATTGTAAATGTTTATTAAAGTCTAATTTTGTTTAATAAAAAAAATAATTCTTTGCAGGACTTCCGAATGAAATAAGTGTCTTTTGGCAACAATATCCATGGATTTTCGGTCTCACCGTATGCAAAATAAGAGCTTACGTATCCGAAATGTAAGTAATTTTTGAATTTTTTTTTTTTCAAAATCATTGAAATTTCTATTAATTAATTAATTAAAAAAAATTTGACTATTTTTTCTGTTTATTATTTTTATCTAAATTTTTAGTAATTTTTTGACTAATAATTTCTATATTTTTTTGTTTAAAATAAAAATTTTAATTTATTTATATTTTAGGTCCTCTTACGGATCTGTTTTGACAATAGTGGCATTTTCAATGGAACGATATTTGGCGATTTGTCATCCCTTTCATGTAAACGCAATGAGCGGATTAAAACGTCCAATTAGTTTTATCTTGGGTGCATGGTCAATTGCCATGATATCAGCCATTCCATTTGCCATTTATACGAAACTCAATTATGTCGAATATCCCCCAAGTAAGAATTTATCTTTTTTTTTACCATTAAACAAAAACAAAAAAAAATTTATTTTTCCTACAATTTTGCTAAAAAAAAAAAAAAATTCTATTAAAATTCCACGAAATTAAATAATTATTACAGTTAAACTGGCAATAATAATAATAATAATAATAATAATAATAATAATAAATTAAATAAATTTTTTCACATTTTTTGAAAATTTATTTTCAGAATCAGGAAATAAATCAAAAGATTCGGCTATTTGTGCAATGCTTCTACCAGATATGCCTCATTTTCCACTTTATGAAATGAGCTGCCTAGTATTTTTTCTCATTCCAATGATAATAATTTTTATCTTATACGTGAGAATGGGTTTGAAGATTTATAAGAGTACTCGAAATTCCCTCGGGCCTATTTTCAACCAAAATTCTATTCACACTGAATCGAAACAATTTCAATCGAGAAAAAGTATCATCAGAATGTTGAGTAAGTTTTTTTTCTGTTTTATTAAATTAAATTTAAAAAAGAAAATTGAAAAATTAAATTGAAAGAAGTAATTTTTCAAAAATTGCAATAAAAAAATTTTTTTTTTTCCCCAGGTGCTGTAGTGGTGTTATTTTTTATTTGTTGGGCACCATTTCATACACAGAGATTATTTTATATTTATGGCGCGAATGCTGATTATTATCCAGATTTAAATGAATTTTTATATATATTTAGTGGATTTCTTTATTATATTAGTACAACTATCAATCCAATTTTATACAATCTTATGAGTTCACGTTATAGAAAAGCCTTCAAAGAAACACTTTGTTGTAAAGGGGATAATAATAGAAGACAAGGACTTGTCAATTTCTCCAAGATAAATGCTTCACGATTGAATTCTGATCAAACGAAAAATACATCAAACATTCGATCATCTTTCAGGTGAAAAATTAATCATAAATCACTTTTTCTCTATTTATACTGGAAAGCAGTTATTATTTTTATTAATATTATTATTTTATTTTATTTTTATTATTTTTTTTTATAATTTTTATTTTTTATTATTTTCTTTATAATTTTTATTATTATTATTATTATTATTATTATTAAATTATTTTCTAATGTAAATATTATTAATTACAAAAAAATTATTTAAGTAAAATAATCCCTTAATTTTAATAAATACAAATGGGCCTTTTTTTGTCGTATGCAATTCAAGCTTATATTCAATATGCACTTGTAGTTGCATAATTTTAACGAGCGTGCATGTGAAAGACTCTGTAAAATATATTATCTCCGTTTATAATAATAATAATAATAATAATGCATCATCTTTTATTTCTCAAACAAAGCTATTTTCATATTTATTTTTTTTTCAATTCTTTTATACTTTTTTTCAAAATTTTTGTATATTGAAAAATAGAAGGGTTAATTAATTAAAAAAAAAAAAACAAATTTTTTTAACGAAAAATTCATTAATTTGTTTCAGATATTCAATTAATCAGGCAAAAGAAATGTTTCTCTCGAATTTAGATCAAGAATCTGATAAAAATAATGCTTACAATGCTAAAGAAAATTTAAAGAACAATAATTTATTATATCCCGATAATCATTCAACACGAGCGCTTCTCGATAGAAGTCATTCATCAGTGAAAATTCAAACAAGTAATGAAAGTTCCGGATCGAAAAATCAAGTTAAGGAATCTTTTTCAACTGCAAGCAGTCTTTTATGATAAATATATTTTACGTGAATTATTATTATTATTTTTTTTTTTATATTATATGTTCTTTTACGAAAAAAAAAATTGTTTTACTGTACATACTGTTATTGTTATTATGTAAATATAAAAAATGTTTATAAAAAAAAAATATATATAAAATACTTATATAATATATTATTTTAATTTATAAATTTAATTTTAAAGTAAAATAGTAAAAAATTATGGAAAATAAGCGTAAATTTAGAGAAATGAAAAATTTTTTTTTTTCAATATTTGATGCATATAATAAAATAAAAAAGAAACTAAATCCGCGAATAGAAAATGATGATTAGACTTCCGTTTTTCTAATCGAAACGGAAAACGCAGTTGATTTTTTTTTATAACACACATGATTTAAACAGAACTAGATATTATGACTAATCGTTTATTTTACCAGTCAGTAAGTGATTTCTCAGTTTCAATGATAAGTTTTATTTATTAAGTTATGTTTTGTGTTTCTGTGACGAACAATAATTTTTCTTTACTGAAGTTAAATAAATAAAATATTTTTTCAATAAAATTATAAAATAATAAAAAGTAAAAAAACAAATAAAAATAAAATAAAACAATAAAAATAATAAATAAATAAATAAATAATACCTAATAATACAAATAAGAATAAAGTAATAGTAATAATAATATTTCACTAAAATAGTTGTAGTAATTAAAAAGAAAAAATAATTTAAATAAAGAATTTTGGAAACAAAATTACAATTTTTTTTTTAAATTAAACTTCGCGAAAATATTTGACAATGTTTTGTAAACATTCATTTTTCTTAATTTCGTAATGAAAACTTTTTTTCCTAATGTTAAAAACGAAAAAAAGTAGTTTATTGAAATTTCAATGGAAATGGAGGATTCGGAAAATTCGGATCTCAAGTACCTTGATAAATTACTTGGTCCCCAACAATTGCCATTAATAATAGCAGTGCCTTTAAATTTAATTTATATAATTATATTTTTTGTTGGAATTATTGGAAATTTAGCGACATGTATGGTGACAATAAAAAATTCATCTATGCAAAATATTACCAATTATTATCTCTTTAGTTTAGCTGTGTCTGATTTACTTTTATTAATAATAGGTAAGTAAATAAATAAATTTAATATTTTTAATTAAAAAAAAAAAATTTCAATTTTTCAATTATTACAAAAAAATATTTCAGGTCTGCCAATTGACATTATGGATATTTGGCATAGATATCCATGGCAATTGGGTTCATTTTTCTGCAAATTGTCTCACTATATTTTAGAAATGTAAGAATATTTTTATTTAATTTTTATTTAAAAAATAAAAAAAAATTTAAATGAGTTTTTTTGATTTGATTTTTTTTTATAAAAAAGTTATTTTTTTCTAGGTCATGTAATGTATCTGTATTAACGATAATGGCATTTTCATTGGAAAGATACGTCGCTATTTGTCATCCTTTTCGTCTTCAAGGAATAAGCGGTTTTAAAAGACCAATAATTGTGATTTTTGGTTGTTGGCTGACGGGAATTATTACAGCCATTCCAACAGCTTTAAATTCTATAGTTTCATCAATGTATTATTTTCAAGGTGTATTTATTGGTGACTTTTTTTTATATTTAATCAAGTTTATTAATAATAATTAATAATTAATAAATAATAATTAATTATTACTATTAAATAAATAATAATTACACCGAAAAAAAAAAGTTCTCAAATTTAGAGGATTCCTCTTCTTTTGCAGCAACTTTTCCTTTTATATATGGGCACTAAAGTTTTAATATCAAATTGAGAGGATTTTCCTCTCTTATATTTTGAGAGGAATAATTTCAAAATAAGATTTATTCATCTTGTTTCAATCTTACGTCAAATTCAGAAATGTCAACCTTCTTTACTTGGTTAAAAGCAATTTATGGGTTAATTTACCTGTTATTATTTGGATTATGTAATTTATAGTGAAAGGAACCATTTTTGAAAAAAAAATATTGACGGCGAAAACACGAGCTGAGTTTCTATACAATAAATTACCAAAAATTTTCAGTTTGTTAAAATGTTTTTAGTTTTTGTTAATTTTAAAATAAAGTACTCAGTATAAAAGTGAAAAAGGGCTTATGGATTATTTAATTTAAAGTGAATATATATTTAAAAAAATTTAAAGGTTAAATTGCTGAAATATTAAATTCTCATTGCAATATTATTAAATTCTAACCCTAGAAAAAATAGATGTTAAACACATAACATTGTTGATAAATTTATTACAGTACATTTATGACAGTTTTTAATTTAAACAGAAATAAGTTTTTATAAATTAAAACTTTAATTTGCAGTGAAGAATTTGTTAATTAAATAATTAATGTAAAAAAGTGGTTTTTTGAAACTGAATGAATTTTATGAATTTTATTTTATTTTTTTATGTATTTTTTAAGTATTAATTGCACACAATATTTTGTATTTTATTTTTACATTAATTTTTACTAAAAAATAAATTAGTATCTTTTTTCTTTTAAATTTAATTTTAATTGTAAATACTTTTTATAAATAAATAAATACATCAATATATTTTTAAACTTTTATTTTTTTTAAACTCTAAAAATGATAAAAAAATATACAACATGGATTACAAGTTATAAATTTATTTAAATAACCATGTACATAAATTTAAAATTTAAATTTAGGTGTTATCATTTTTGATCCACTTCGGGGCGCTATTATTATCTTATGTGGAAGATAATAAAAAAAATCTTTATATTGACAACACTTCCATTTTTTCGTATCTGTCAATTCGTATGAGTAAAAATGATTATTAAACCCTATTGTTTTGATCAACGACAAAATAAAATAGACAGTATTTTCTTGTAGTACAATAAATCTTACTAAACCAAATTGAGGGAGTTCGTTTTTGAAGCCCAATACAATTGCGACATTTGTTTCGTACTTTGTGCCTTTTATTAAAACCCAGTTTATTACTGTACTTTTTGATTGCGTTAATGTATTCGGCAAGATATTTCTAAACATAGAATATTCCTTAACAGAATGAAGTGTCTCATTATTACGCGAAATGGGTCCACAAACAAGATCAATGTATAAAGGTTCGTTTGCAAGAAATCTACTGCATTGTTTTAATTGAAATCGCGTAGCCAACGACAATGGCAAATTAGTTCTCGAATTAGAAACATGAGCAGCTTGTTTAAAAGGTCTGTGATTCGACTCCCAACGACGAGATTCAATAAAAATCAAAGGTCCAAGTATCGGTTGCAAGTCAGGAATATGCTCCATGTTGTGAAATTTTGGTTTAAGGGTTTGCTCAAATTGCGAGATGTACATTTCATTGTGCTCGGATATTATTACCCTTAAATATTCTGTCATTTCCTTGTTAACATAGGGAGCTGTTATAAAATCAACAATTTCCCTAAGTCTTAAGAAAAAACACCAGACGGGATCATCCTCAGGAATGTAATCTCCGACCATTAGAGCAAAATTTCTAACAAGAGTTAGCATTTCTGATGCAGATAACTTTATATTTTTTGAGCGCAAGTTTTCTTCCGAGATGGTAGGGATAACATTTCCATCATCTGTTAAAGAATAATCAAAACTTCGAATACGTTCGTTTAAAGTGAGAAGATTAAGGAATTTCTTAACCACTACAATGTAATAAATAATTTCACCCATATCATATCTTGCAACGCCTTCAAAAACGTCATGCATAATATCTAAATGAGGATTTTCAGTTGGGTCAACGTAACTAGGAATTCTATTTAACATACACATTTCATGAATTCCAGTTTCTGTTGCATTATTTGTCTCAACGTCATCAATGTAATTTTTAGAATTTCGGAGAAGAGAGTGGTCAACAAATAATTGCGAGTGGAGTTTGTCTTTGTGAATGGTACATATTCTGCAAGGATAATTCGAGTTGAATCCTTTAATAAATCCTAATATTTCGTTAAGTCCTAAATTATCCCCGAGAATTGCGCAAAGACAAAAATAAATTCTCTGTCCATTAATTTCTATTCCATTCACTTCTAAATCAATAAGATCGTCAATTATAGGTTTAAAAACATTAGCATTTCCGAAAACTTTATTTTCTGATAGAAAAAGCAAACCTAGGAAAATATTTTCAATTTTTGATATTAATTCTGGAGGAAGGCAAGCTATAGAATAATATAATGCACCAATCTTATGATCTGTGGCATGTGATCCTAAAGCGTTATCTGGTTCAAAATCATCAAAATAAAGAAGAATTGGAAGTACTATTTTATCACCAAAATTTTTAATCTTTTTTTGCCACATTTCTCCTTGAACAATATTTGTAATTAAATCATCGTTCTTTGATTTATAAAGTTCTTCAAGATTTTTCAAAATACTTTCGAGTGCTCCAGGCAATTGAAGAAAACGAGATAGAACCTCCTTCATTGGGATATGTTGACCATACACATTACAGTGCTGAAGTTGTGTTGTTTGATCATCTTTTTTAGTATCATATTCAGATCCAATGATATATGGTTCTGGTTCAATGTACATGCCCGTTTCCTTGAAAGCCTGAATTCTCAAATAATCAGTTTCTAGACCATCGAAAGGATTTGAAATGGTTTGAAAACCAGTTTGAATATCTAAAATGTCTTTATCAGGCACAGAATTTGATTTTAAAATATTTAAAACTTTTTTTTCAAGAAATGAAATGTAAGGACCACTTAACAATTCTGAAACACCTTCCACTACAGTTTGCACTGTGCTACGAGTCACTATACTAGATGAATATAGTTTTGACGTAAATAAAAGAGCAGCATCTGCTACGTCTTCCTTAAGCTCAATATTGGTAGGATTGTACTCTACATTTTTCGAACTATCCTCAAACTTATCATTGTCATTATCACAAAAAGAAATGGAATCAGTGCTAGTTTTATCATCAAAATTCATTTTAATGAAAACTGAGGAAGAGGAATTACCTTTATCGACTTCTGAGTATTCGGAATGTAATATTTTATCCTTGAAATGTTTTATGAACGATTTTAAACTCTTATAGGATCTTAAACAATTAGAGTTTGTACATCTATATATATCAACTGATTTGTGACAAAGTTTTATATGAAAAATTAAGTTGTCCACATTGAGGCATTGAAAATGTTTACACGCGAAACACGAGTAGACCATTTTGTTAATTTTAATTCGAGTATTGTAAGATTTAATACGATGAAAATAAAAACGATATCACTTCAAATTCCGTTTTAGAGAAATTAAAGTATTAACAAATTCTAATGCAAAAGTTAATGTCGTTCTAATGCTCTTCTAAATTTACAATTTCAGTTGTACGCTGAATATTCACTAAAGTTTTAAAATTGCCCACCATTGTCGAAATATTTGCGCTCTTCTTATCATACTCTGTAAAAATATCGTATAGAGCTTGTTGAACAAAGAGCCAAGGCTGATAAGCTTCTTGTGAATATTCCGTATGAAGAGCAAAGATGGCTTTAAAGCAAACGTCGAAAGCTTTTTTCAAGTTGGGGAATTCGTACTTGATGGTGTCGATAATACAATAACTTCTTGACAATTTTGCACGAGTTGTTCCAACACATAGAATGAAAGGTTGAAGTTTCTCTTTTTTTTTCATTTGATTTAATCGTCTCATTATGGCAGGATCAATGTCATTAGGTGACTACAATGCAAAATGATTTATTATTTGTTTTTTAATTTAATTTTTTATTAATTAAATTTAATTAAATTAAATAATTAAGATAATTAAATTAATTAAGCTGTCGGATCAAAGAAGGGCACATAACCAATGTAATTCAAATGGGTTATGTGCCCTTCTTTGATCCGGCAGCTCAATTGTTTGATTGTTTTTTTATTATGCTTTTTTACAAAAACATAAAAATTTTCCTAACATACTTTCACATGGAGAATAAAAGCTTCTTGAGATTCTATTTGCGTTGGACGGGGTGTAATCGACTGACTTTTTTTACCCCTTGACTTTGGCTGCTTAGGAAATAGGTAAGGCAGCAGTTGAAAAAGTAAATTATCTTTTTCATCTAAAAATATGTGATATTTAATAAAATGTAAAACTAGGAATCAGTATTATTCATACAAAGTGTAAAATATTCTAGTATACCGTTTGTAAATGACTTAAAGTTGTCAATAGTATCTTTTATTTCTGCAGAATGACATTCTAGTCCTATCAATTTTAGTAATGCTGCTTGTTTTAGGTTCCAATCAGAAGATAATGCTTGAACGGAGTTTGGATATCTCAATTCGAAATCTGCTTCAAGCAGAGTGTATCCTAACACTAATCTGAGGACCTTATAGTTTTCATAATATTGACTAATTGGCAGAAATGTGTTTTCAGATGAGGTCAGACTGTTTAAACGAAAATGATGTGTGGATTTCCATTTCTTTTCGACTTCAGACCAGGGTTCTAAATTTTCTTTCAACCATCCATCTGCATTTAACACGTCATTGCTCACTTTCGATTCAACATTCACTTCTGCTTCATCCGAATCTTCAGTATCTACTACGCCTTCTTGGTGTAGTAACTTGGCATTGCGATATTTTACGTTTCTAATATAATTTGGCAACTTTCCTTCGTGATTTTTTTGATTTTTACCATTAACTTTTGCACGTATAAAATAAACGAACTAGAAAAGAAAAGGTTTTATAACTAAAAATCCGAGGTCAGAATTTTTATATTGGTTCTTATTTCTTATTCTACAGATGTGCTCAGAAAACGGTTCAAAAATAAAAAAAATGAATTTTTTTAATTTTCACTTCAAATCGTATATAATTTAGAAAATTCCATAAAACTTTATCACACTCACTTGAGGTTCCGATGGAAATAGTTGCCTAATTTTTGTGTCAACTTGTTCATAATCGTTTGCACTGGGGCTGTGTGTAAAAAAGAAAATAAATTTTATTTTCATGATTACTATTTTAATAATTAGATATACACAAATTAAAAATAATTTAGTTAATTATTAAACCTACTTCCTGTTCAGCTCTAACAATTTCTCACCAACAATGTGAATCAAAATTGAACGAGATTGTGAATTCAATAATTTATTTTGTTGATAAAATTGCAAGATGGTCCTTCCTTTACTAGAATTTTTTAATAAATCCTCAAGGTTCTAGAAACAAAAATATCTTTATAATATTAAAGTATTAAGTATTAAAGTATTTTTTTAAATGAAAAAAGTCCTTCTAAAAGGTTGTTTGCAGGAAGTTTTACAAAAATTTTTAAAAATCAAATCTTACAATTTGCAAAATTTCTTGACTCACAATCCATTTGCAAACGCGCTTAGATTTACTTTCTCTTGGTGTCTGTTTATCTCTTTTTCTACTGCAGCTGGGTTGTCCAATATTGTCAACAATTTCAGTTTTGTCACTACAGATAGAGTTTACAAGTTTTTCAATATTTTCAGTGTCTTGATTCCAGTTGAGTTCTGATTGTACAGTTTGTTCAATAATTTGAATATCTTTGCTACTATTGGACTGTAGAAGACTTTTAATAATTTGTTGGTTACCGCTGGGTGTTTTATGAAATAGAATATCCTGGCTGCATCCAGGTTGTACAATATAATTTTCATTTATTTCTCGCAATAGATCATCATTTAAAAGTGAAGGATCTGCGAAATCGTTTGGATTCTTGGTATTGGAAAATTCAGAGTGATCATTCTAGGAAAAGCACGCAATATTTATTTTATATATTTATTTTATTTTTCGTTTTTAGTAAACTTATATTTTAATTATTTTTTTTTAATTGATCGATGCTACATGACTTTTTCAAAGTAAATTTACTTACCTTTTAATTTGTTAGTCCAATTTCAGAAATAAAAAGATCAAAATAATCTTAAAACCTTCTTCTTAATAATCCTGAAAAAATCTATTATTAAACAGAAAGTTTTGAAGATTATTTTGACCTTTTTAATTTTATAATTGGATTGACAAATTAAAACATAAGTAAAATTGTTTAAATATTTTTTTATTTAAGAATTCATGGAAAACACCAAATATATTATTTTCGATTTTTCATTATAAATTTTTCAAAACTAAAACGAAGTTTTTTTTTCAAATAGAACGTGAGATATACCGAATTCAAAAAGTTTCCAACATTTTGAGATTTAATATTTTTGAGTTACATGAAAGTTTATTATTTACGCCGTTAACCTTTAAAACTCACATTAAATCGATCATTTATTAATATTATTTATTTATATTTACTTTAAATTTTTCATTTATGTTACCTCGGCTTTTTGAATTTCTTCTAAACGGGATAAAAGAATTGCCAAATCTCCAATAGGTTTAATTAATTCGTGCAGCAGGAAAGGGACTTTTTGAATTTGCTTCAACGTTTGAAGATTTAGAACCTTATTATCTATAAAACGTAATTTAGCAACAAGAAAGTTAATTTAAAGAGTCAACAAAAAGTTATAAAAATTCAATTACTTTCAAAACTGGAAACGTAATCTCCGAGTCCAATTTCAAATAATACGTTTTTCAGCTCGGTGTCCATTTTATTTTGAACTGTCACTTTGTGAATAAGTCTGAAGATGCGCACAACAAAACAAAATAAAACTTTAAAAATCTTTTTTACAGCATAAATTTGTTTAATTTTGAGAGGAATAATCTCAATTATAGAAAAAAAATCTTAAATGCAAATGAATAAATTCAATCAAAGAGAAAAGATTAAAAGTTATCCTTTAATATAAATATTCTCAAATAAAGAATAAAAATCCTCCTTTTTGTAGATGAATATTCGTATATTGAAAATAAAATGTAAAAGTAATTTATGAGAGGAATTTTATTCTCATTTGGAGATTTTATTTTTTTCGGTGTAATATTTAATAAATAGCCACACCCTAAAAAAAGTAATCTCATATTTAGAGAAAAAATCCTCTTCTAATATCCTCTCAATTTTTCCTCTTCAAACAAAAGTATTCCACTTGAATGTAGAATATTTTTATTCATTGGTGACTAACAATAAAACAAAACAAATTTTATGACGTTCTGATGTCAAAAACATTGAATTAAAGTTACATAAATAAACAATTATATTAATTATCAGTTTATAACCATAATTGTCAAATTATATGCGAGAGGAAAATCCTCTCAAGTGAAGACTATTACTTTTGATACAATATATAAGAGGAAAATATGCATCAAATTAAGAGGAATTCGCTAGAATCAAGATTACTTTTATTATGGTGAAGGAAAATTTTCAAAAAAATTCAATTTTTCTTAGGCAGACGATTTTATTGCATATTCTTGCACAAAATACACCTAAAAGTGTAGAAAAAAATCGACAGCCAAATCCGAGTAGAGGAAGACCTCTATTACGACCAAAAAGTCATCCAGGTCAAAAAAAAAATTTCCAAAAAAATTCAATTTTTCTTAGGCAGACGATTTTATTGCATATTCTTGCACAAAATACACCTAAAAGTGTAGAAAAAAATCGACAGCCAAATCCGAGTAGAGGAAGACCTCTATTACCACCAAAAAGTCATCCAGGTCAAAAAAAAAAATTTCCAAAAAAACTCAATTTTTCTTAGGCACACGATTTTATTGCATATTCTTGCACAAAATACACCTAAAAGTGTAGAAAAAAATCGACAGCCAAATCCGAGTAGAGGAAGACCTCTATTACCACCAAAAAGTCATCCAGGTCAAAAAAAAAAATTTCCAAAAAAACTCAATTTTTCTTAGGCACACGATTTTATTGCATATTCTTGCACAAAATACACCTAAAAGTGTAGAAAAAAATCGACAGCCAAATCCGAGTAGAGGAAGACCTCTATTACCACCAAAAAGTCATCCAGGTCAAAAAAAAAAATTTCCAAAAAAACTCAATTTTTCTTAGGCACACGATTTTATTGCATATTCTTGCACAAAATACACCTAAAAGTGTAGAAAAAAATCGACAGCCAAATCCGAGTAGAGGAAGACCTCTATTACGACCAAAAAGTCATCCAGGTCAAAAAAAAAATTTCCAAAAAACTTAAATTTTTCTTAGGCAGAAGATTTTATTGCATATTCTTGCACAAAATACACCTAAAAGTGTAGAAAAAAATCGACAGCCAAATCCGAGTAGAGGAAGACCTCTATTACGACCAAAAAGTCATCCAGGTCAAAAAAAAAATTTCCAAAAAACTTAAATTTTTCTTAGGCAGAAGATTTTATTGCATATTCTTGCACAAAATACACCTAAAAGTGTAGAAAAAAATCGACAGCCAAATCCGAGTAGAGGAAGACCTCTATTACGACCAAAAAGTCATCCAGGTCAAAAAAAAAATTTCCAAAAAACTTAAATTTTTCTTAGGCAGAAGATTTTATTGCATATTCTTGCACAAAATACACCTAAAAGTGTAGAAAAAAATCGACAGCCAAATCCGAGTAGAGGAACACCTCTATTACCACCAAAAAGTCATCCAGGTAAAAAAAAAAATTTCCAAAAAAATTCAATTTTTCTTAGGCAGAAGATTTTATTGCATATTCTTGCACAAAATACACCTAAAAGTGTAGAAAAAAATCGACAGCCAAATCCGAGTAAAGGAACACCTCTATTACCACCAAAAAGTCATCCAGGTAAAAAAAAAAATTTCCAAAAAAATTCAATTTTTCTTAGGCAGAAGATTTTATTGCATATTCTTGCACAAAATACACCTAAAAGTGTAGAAAAAAATCGACAGCCAAATCCGAGTAGAGGAACACCTCTATTACCACCAAAAAGTCATCCAGGTAAAAAAAAAAATTTCCAAAAAAATTCAATTTTTCTTAGGCAGAAGATTTTATTGCATATTCTTGCACAAAATACACCTAAAAGTGTAGAAAAAAATCGACAGCCAAATCCGAGTAGAGGAACACCTCTATTACGACCAAAAAGTCATCCAGGTCAAAAAAAAAATTTCCAAAAAAATTCAATTTTTCTTAGGCAGAAGATTTTATTGCATATTCTTGCACAAAATACACCTAAAAGTGTAGAAAAAAATCGACAGCCAAATCCGAGTAGAGGAACACCTCTATTACCACCAAAAAGTCATCCAGGTAAAAAAAAAAATTTCCAAAAAAATTCAATTTTTCTTAGGCAGAAGATTTTATTGCATATTCTTGCACAAAATACACCTAAAAGTGTAGAAAAAAATCGACAGCCAAATCCGAGTAGAGGAACACCTCTATTACCACCAAAAAGTCATCCAGGTAAAAAAAAAAATTTCCAAAAAAATTCAATTTTTCTTAGGCAGAAGATTTTATTGCATATTCTTGCACAAAATACACCTAAAAGTGTAGAAAAAAATCGACAGCCAAATCCGAGTAGAGGAAGACCTCTATTACCACCAAAAAGTCATCCAGGTCAAAAAAAAAATTTCCAAAAAAATTCAATTTTACTTAGGCAGAAGATTTTATTGCATATTCTTGCACAAAATACACCTAAAAGTGTAGAAAAAAATCGACAGCCAAATCCGAGTAGAGGAAGACCTCTATTACCACCAAAAAGTCATCCAGGTCAAAAAAAAAAATTTCCAAAAAAATTCAATTTTTCTTAGGCAGAAGATTTTATTGCATATTCTTGCACAAAATACACCTAAAAGTGTAGAAAAAAATCGACAGCCAAATCCGAGTAGAGGAACACCTCTATTACCACCAAAAAGTCATCCAGGTAAAAAAAAAAATTTCCAAAAAAATTCAATTTTTCTTAGGCAGAAGATTTTATTGCATATTCTTGCACAAAATACACCTAAAAGTGTAGAAAAAAATCGACAGCCAAATCCGAGTAAAGGAACACCTCTATTACCACCAAAAAGTCATCCAGGTAAAAAAAAAAATTTCCAAAAAAATTCAATTTTTCTTAGGCAGAAGATTTTATTGCATATTCTTGCACAAAATACACCTAAAAGTGTAGAAAAAAATCGACAGCCAAATCCGAGTAGAGGAACACCTCTATTACCACCAAAAAGTCATCCAGGTAAAAAAAAAAATTTCCAAAAAAATTCAATTTTTCTTAGGCAGAAGATTTTATTGCATATTCTTGCACAAAATACACCTAAAAGTGTAGAAAAAAATCGACAGCCAAATCCGAGTAGAGGAACACCTCTATTACCACCAAAAAGTCATCCAGGTCAAAAAAAAAATTTCCAAAAAAATTCAATTTTTCTTAGGCAGAAGATTTTATTGCATATTCTTGCACAAAATACACCTAAAAGTGTAGAAAAAAATCGACAGCCAAATCCGAGTAGAGGAACACCTCTATTACGACCAAAAAGTCATCCAGGTCAAAAAAAAAATTTCCAAAAAAATTCAATTTTTCTTAGGCAGAAGATTTTATTGCATATTCTTGCACAAAATACACCTAAAAGTGTAGAAAAAAATCGACAGCCAAATCCGAGTAGAGGAACATCTCTATTACGACCAAAAAGTCATCCAGGTAAAAAAAAAAATTTCCAAAAAAATTCAATTTTTCTTAGGCAGAAGATTTTATTGCATATTCTTGCACAAAATACACCTAAAAGTGTAGAAAAAAATCGACAGCCAAATCCGAGTAGAGGAACACCTCTATTACGACCAAAAAGTCATCCAGGTCAAAAAAAAAATTTCCAAAAAAATTCAATTTTTCTTAGGCAGAAGATTTTATTGCATATTCTTGCACAAAATATACCTAAAAGTGTAGAAAAAAATTGACTGCCCGATCCGAGTAGAGGAAGACCCCTATTATGACCTTTAAAGAAATTTTCGTCATGCATTAATAATTAATTATTATAATTAAATAAATAATAATTAATAAACAATAATTATTAATTAATAATTAATAATAAACTTGAAAAATTCAAAAAAAAATTTAATAATTATTTTTAATGATTTTATATATTATATGTTTCAAGTTAATTAATAATTTCAGGTAAATTAATTCTGTCCGAAAAATCGGCTCTATGTGCAACGCGAAGATTTCAATACCCTTATTTAGAAATAAGTTTTGTAGTATTCTTTTTAGTGCCAATGATTTTAATTACTATTTTGTATATAAAAATGGGATTGAAAATTCATAGAAGTACAAATCATACAATTTCTGATCAACAATCAATTAGTTTCGAATCTAAACAATTACAGGCAAGAAAGTCGATAATCAAAATGCTATGTAAGTTAATAATTAAATTTTTTAAACTGTATTTAAAAAAAAAAAATTCAAAAAATACATTAAATTCCAATTTATTAATTTTTATATGATACAGATTTTAATTTGTATTCTTTGCTCAATTTTTGAAATAAAACAGATTTAATTTTTATTTATTTTTTCTAAATTAATTTTTAATTACTTTTAAATTAATTGTTAATTTTTAAAAATTTGTAACAAAGAAAAATAATTCTTTTGTTTTTATAATGAAATGAAATCGAAATTTTTTTCAGGTGCAGTGGTAGTTACGTTTTTTGTATGTTGGGCACCATTTCATACACAAAGAATTTATAGCATCTATTCAAACTATGCATCGGATGAGCTGTTCATTCTCAGTGGCTTATCATATTATATGAGCACGGCTGCCAATCCAATTTTGTACAATGTCATGAGCACACGTTATAGAGCAGCCTTTAAAGAAACTATATGTTGCATTTCAATTTCAATTAAAGTTAAGAAAAACACTGATTCAACAAAACAAAATGAAAACAATATTTCTGAGAATAATGTCTAATTTTCGCGACTAATTAATTATAGTATTGTAATATTAAAGTAAAAAATAAATATTATTATTAATTAATTATTAATAAATATCAATAAATATAATAATAATTAATTATTTAATTAATTTAATAATATTATAAATAATAATATAATATTTAATAATTTTCTTATTATTTTTTTTTATTAAAAACAGATTTTTCTATAACAATTTTAGTTTCAATTTGTAATGGACAGCAATTGTCTATCGATAAATTTTCAAGCAAATATATACTATCGTAGCAAAACAAACTCGAATGCAAGAAAAGAACATTGAATTACAACAAAAAGAATTGTGTTTGTATAAGAGATAATTCTTTTATTCCATTGAATAGAATTGCAATGTGTTTTCAAAACTTTAAACATAAAAAAAAACATTGTACGGTGTATAGTATATTTATTTTATAAACTATGCGCACTGTATTTATTTCAAAAATATATTTAAATTATTTATTTTGCTTTTTACAAAAGGAATTTAATGTAATATTTTTAATGTTAATTAAAAAAAATTTAATTTTTAATGTGAATTAAAAAAAAATTGAATTTTTAATATAAATTAAAAAATTGTAATTTTTAATAAAAAATTGAAAATGTATTGAAGAACAAAAAACGAATGATGAATGAACTTATTGATTGAAGATGTTACTTGTAAAATTTAGTAACTCTGTAATTAATTTGAAACGTCACTTAAGAATTTTCATGAAAGAGTGAGAGGGGGTGGATTACTATCATACTTTGGCTAACTTTATTATTTCCTGAACTATAAAGTATTAGAAAAAAATTTGGCACATAAATAATTATTATATTAATGAAAAAAAAAATTATTTGATTCAAATAATCATTAACTTGACTATTATCAATTAAACATTTTTTTAATTAATTTTTTAATTATTTGAATCAATTAAATTGTATTTATTTCAAATACAGAATTTATTGGTTCAAATACAATTTATTTAATTCAATCATTTGCGGTTTCAAAAATTATTTGGCTCAAGTAAATATTTATTTGATAATAATAAAATCGATTGTTTGAATCAAATAATTTTTTTCCTGGTTTTTCAATATATAAAAAGTCTAAAAAATTCCATATTAAAAAATTTTCTTTTTAAATTGTTTAAAACTAATTTTCTATTACCCTCGTCATGTAGACAACTTCAGTTTATAAAAACTAGAAATGTCAGATTTACACGAAATATTAAAATAGAAAAAAATTACTCATCAAAATGTAGTTGAAAATTGAAAAAAAAATTCCTATTTAATTTTTTACCCTCGTTATCACCTAATAATGGAAATTACATCAATGACATATATTGGCGCGTGGTAAATGCTAATAAATATCGAATTGCTGAAGAAATGGATTTTCCTACACCACTACAACTACTATATTTAAAAAAATCGATTTGCCTGCTCACCAAACCATTGTGGTCGGTGATTGTGAGCTCATTTTCAGGTACTATTCAGCAAATCTCAAGAATGAGATCGATTACACGGGTAATTAAGAAGAAAACGATTTTAAAGATGATATCAGAATATTAAATTTCCATTATAGTTAGTAAAAAATGAAATTCTACATTTATAACAATTTTTAATTACTTGTAACTTATTTTTTTTTTGGAGTTAGATTCAGTAAATAAAATTTTCCAATTGGATTTGTTGTTTATAATGTTCACACAGTTTCTTTGAGTGATAGGCAGAAAATAGAAAATAAATTATAAATTTTAGATTCGTAAATCACACTGAATGGGGTGTAATTTTTTTTTTTCCCCCTGATAAATGAAGTATAAAATTTTTCACTTTCTCGAGGAATTCAAGTGCTTTCAAAAACCTCGTTTGATGCTCAATTTGTTTTAACGATCAATCATAATTCAATTTATTAGAAGCATTGAACGTTTAAGTTGCTCTTTGATCATGAAACATTTTGTATAATATTTGCATTACATAAGAAGCAATCAAATTTTTAATTTAGAAAAAGTATTTGCCTTATTGGAAACTTTTAAACTAATAAAAATAATCAAATTAATAAATTAAAAATAAAAAAATAATAATATCAATAATTTAATAATAATTTATTAATTTTTGTAAATTGATTCAATTTTTCTTAAAAATATGTTCACAGGTGTTTCTGGGGCTCTTGATATGCGAATCAATAATTCTGACTATCAATCCAAGTGAACAATTGGAATTAAATCGGGAATTTTTTCGATTCGAAATTCAAGAATATCAAGTACATTTACCAAGAGAAGCTCAAGCATTTTCAAATGAATTTAGAAGAACTTTAAGGGCAAATGTTCCAAGTTACATTGGAAAAAGAAACTTACACTTTTATGTTAGTGATACCACAAATGTGATCTCGTCAGAATTAGCTTCAGTGGCGGTGAAGCGATCAGAAAATGGATCAAGCACTGAGTAAAAAAAAGGGTCATGGAAAAAAGTTGATAAAAGAAGATAGCACCCAAAATACGAAAGAAATAACGATTCCATTTTTCTGACTCTTATATATAAAGTATTTAATGTCACCTCATCAAAATACTATATAAAAAAAAATGTTAATTTCAACTAAATCAAATTTATCCTTTAAGATAAAAAATATATTTGATATTTTAAATTATGTATAAAATTTTTTACGTTTTGTATAAAAATTTGGGAAAAAAGAAAATATGAATATAAAAAAGATAAAAGATAGAAAAAAAAATGGGAAAAAATTGAGATCACACAAAACGAAGATATACAGAGGATATTTAGAAAAAGCTTCTATGAATATTCAAATAAAATGAAAAATTGAGCAGCAGTTTCCGAGAACACACAATATTTAATTAAACATCTATTTCGTTATTGATTGGATTTTGAAAATAACTCCAAAGTTAATTAAATCCTATGACATCATAAGCTTCTATTTAAAAAAAAAAACAGATTATAAAATCTTTAAATGTTTCAACAATAGTTTCTAGAAACATGCGTCTTTGAAATTTTTTTCTACAATGTGAATTTCATTTTTTTTTATAATAAATTTTTTTTATAATTTTATATCTCATAAAATTTTTTTCTAAATTAAAAATTATTTTTTTTTTTAAATGTATTTTCGCGCAACTAAAAATTGACTTATTCTTCTATTTTTTAATTATTAATTTTAATTCTATTTTGGCTATTAAAATTTAGTTTTGAATTTAATATAAATTTTGTTTCAACTTTTTGTTAAAACACGTTATTCATTTTTAAAAAAAAATATGACTAACACAATGCATGAGAGAGAGAAATTTTTTTTTTTTAAAAGAAGTCTCACGGTTTCTTTGATTTAAATATAAATGTACTTACGTACATCACTTTCTGCATTTGTTCCTGTTTTTCATCGCTCGTTAGTACGTGTCAAGTGCAGCTCAATAATCTGAAAATAAAAGAAAAATAAATATATTTGTCAGAAAAATTTAAAATAATTAAAAACAAAATATTTTTTTACATATATAAAATTATTATTATTTATTTATTTTTATTTATATATTATTTATTATTTTTATTTGCATTATTTATTTATTTTTATTTTCATTATTTATTTATTTTTATTTATATTATTTATTATTTATTTATATATAAAATTAATTACAATTTAATATAAATTTTTTTATAATTTAAAAAAAAATATTCACATTAAAAAAATTATAAAATTCTTCATTCCACACAAAACATTTAAATATGAAAAAAAAATTTTTTTGATTTCAAATATATTTTTTTTTTAATTAATTCATTGAAAGTCATCTCTACTATCGTGGTGCACCAATAAAGATTTTCATGAATATATAATTGTCAATGACAATTTTCTCCCTTTCAAGTTTCATCGACGGTTCATGAATTTGTCAGGCGAAATTTACATCACTCACACAAGCTTTTTTCTTTTTTGAAAGGAAGAAAATTAGTTTTTCAAGTACCAAACCAGATTATTCTTTTATATAACGTTCATATACTTTTTTTTTTTTTTTGCCTAATAAAAATGTCACTGTAAATGAAATTACTAATATTTAAAAAGTTTTAAAAATGTTTCATCAAAAAGTTTCAATTTTCAAATTCTTTTTTTTGTACTACCATAAATCTTAACTAAAAAAAAAAAAATACACTAAAAATAAAAAATCGAAAAGTAAATAGATTTTAAATAGCGAAAAAGATTTAATATTTAATTACATTTCAAAAAAAAGGGGGGGGGGGTGAAATATTTTTATTGAAGCACATGAAGAGTGGGAGTAAAATGGAAAAACTGCTCTAGGGAGTAAAATACCATTTTTTTGATTAGAAAAAATAAAACTAGCCTCAATGTTAAATTCAGGGGAAAAAAATTAAAATACAAAAATCAAAATATAAAAATTAAAATATAAAAATTAAAATATAAAAATTAAAATATAAAAATTAAAATATAAAAATTAAAATAAAAATTAAATTAAAAAATACGAATTATTCAATAATTTAAAAAAAAAAATTGGATTGAAAAATAGTTTCGTGCTTCGTTTGAAAGCGCTTATACAGAGTTACAAGAATACATATAGGGGTGGTTTAATCGCACTAGATTTACCCGTTCTAGCGGCACTTGTGCGCCGACCATCGAACCGCTTGCTTCTCCCGAAGGACTCCTATGTCCTGTTTCCTCCCGACGGAAGTTCTCAATAAAATAAAAATTGCCACTTTTCTCGTTACTTAAACACACTATTTTTTTTTTACTTTACAAAATGTACACAAAGTCAAAAAAAAAAATTTCCAAATTTTCTTTAAAAAAAAAAAATTTTCTAAATATTAAAATTCAAAAATGTAACCAAATTATTCTTCACCGTAACTTTAAACCCAAATTATTAAATAATAATTAAAATCGTTTGTAGTTTATAAATATAATTTATCAAATTTAAAAAAAAAATTATAAATAAAAATTGAAAACTAAAATTAATAATAATAAAATAATAATAATTAAAAAGTGTTTTAATTGCCAAAAAAAGCGGATTTTAAATTTCCCTAAAAAGAACTTCAAAGTGAACATTTTTGGATGGGGAAAAAAAAGCGAGTGTAAAAAGAAGTGACACGGTGACAGTTCAGTGACACTTTTTTTGTAATTAAAGAAAAATTGTGTTCGAAATTTTCTCTCTCTCTCACTATCGAAAAAGAAAATTAATGTCAAGTGAGAAAAATTATAGACAATAATGGATAACTTAGAGAGAAATATTACAGATTTTAATAATCTCAGTGAACAGGAATATTTGGAAAAAATATTGGGACCTCAACATTTGCCAGCTGAACTTGTTATACCAATAACATTGATTTATGCAACAATTTTTATTACAGGAGTTTTTGGAAATTTAATAACATGCATTGTTATTAAAAGAAATCCAACAATGCAAACAGCGACTAATTATTATCTATTTAGTCTTGCTGTATCTGATTTGCTGCTCCTTGTTCTTGGTAAGATGCGAGAAAGCTAATTGATCAAAAGCGCCTTATGTATATATTCTGAATATGTGTTTTGTATATATATATATATAATACCGAAATTTATGTCTATCGACCATTCACTGTATAAACTTGGACAGTTTCCCTCCAACAAATACCAAGTAAATTAACATTCTCAACATTTTGAAAGCTCAATTTTAGACGATAATTTGGTTTTGATTTCATACATCAAGAAATATGATTATAATTACATTTTACAAATATTTGGTTATTTAGTTAATAATAATTTTTAATTGTAAAATTATTTAGCAATTATTTATTATTTATTATTATTTATTTTAATTAATTATTTAATTATTATTGATTATTTATCAATAAAAATTTTAATTTGCAATTATTATTTGATAATTTATCAATAAAAATTATATTAATTATTATTTATCATTAAAAAATTAATTATTTATTACAAATATTTAATTATTTATTTAATAATAATTTTTAATCGTAAAATTATCACTTCTAATTAGTAATTAATTCTAAAAATTACTAGCTTGATGATAATTTATCAATAAAAATTGCAAATAATAATTATTATTTATAAAAAATCTAATTATCAGATTTAAATTTTAATTCATAAATATAAGTAAAATATAATAATAAAAAAATTAAATTTAAAAACAATTGAAAGAATAACGTAAAAAAAAAATAAAATAAAATGCTATTTTTCCCTTTTTGTTGAGAGGAAAATGTGTAACATTAATTTCTTTAATTTCAACATCACATTCTCGTGAAAAGAAAAATTTTTCTCTTATTCTTTTCTATTTTCTCGTTTGAAACTATTTTTAAGGAACACAATTTTTTTTTTTAATGTGTTACACTCTTAACAATTTTATTTTACAATTTTTAAAAGAATAAAAAAAAATAACAACTATATTTTCGGGCAAAGTTTAGTGCTGTGAAAATATTGATGGTATATATATGGAATATATTGGCTACAGCTGCAGCAAAAACCAATTTTTCGCTTCTCTATATGCGCAAAAAATACTATAATTCAAAATAATAGTACAACTTAGGAAAGTTTAATTTTCTCACGGAAAATATTTTCACGAAAATATTCGTTGACAGTTTAATTTTTTAATTTCCACTTTACAACAATTTTCAATTTTTTTATCGTATAAAAAATATTTTTTTTAATTTATTATTTACTATACTACTATTATTATTAATGTTATTATTATTATTATTATTATTATTATTATTTAGTATATTATTATTAATTATTAATATTGTAAATAAAAAAAAATAAAATTAACTTTTTTCAAATATTTTAGGAGGCAAAAAAATTAGTTTACAATTTGTAAAGCTTGGCGGAAAATTTTGTTTTTTTTTTTTAAAATATTGAATTTATTATTTTTTATCAATTGCACCAAAAATTGTTATAAATGTCCGTTTAAAAAGTGTTTGTAATTCCCAAATAAATTTCCATTATTTTCAATTGTTATATCAAAAATTCTGTATTTATTGCACAGTGAAACAAAAAATTTTTTTTTTTACAAGCAATGAGTATATTTGTTTTTAATTCACGTTTACACATCACAAAAAAAAGAAAAATGGGGGAAAATTAATTTAACAAAAAAAGAATATCAAGTTATATTGGATTCAATATTTCAGATTTTAAATGTAAACTTTTTTAAATATATATGTTATTTGTTGCGAAAAAAATATATCACGGACAAAAATAACGTTTTTACAAATCTGTAAAAATCGGTTGTAGCATTAAAAATCTGACCTAGTTTTCAGGGCGATTTTTTTTTTTTTTGAATAATACTTTGAATTCAGAAAAATATAATAGTATTTTCCTATATATATATACGTATAATTGACAACAACTAGAGAGGAATAAAATGATTCGAATTGTATATATGTATTTTGTCAGAATACAATAAAAGATAAAGGAGGCTTTGAAATAAAATATCTAAAAATTGAAGTCTCCTCTTTAAATGCATTCTCGCGACCAATCAATAAAAAAAACGATTTTCTGACGAAATTCTAAAGCAAAATGTATATTTCAATAAAATATGTTTCTAATAAAAATAATAAAAGATATAAAAAAAAAAAAATTACAAAACTCGTAAAAAAAAAAAACTACAAATTCTAATAATAAAAATGCAGATGATTTTATTCTCTTAAATAGAAGCGAAGTTATATTTTTAAATTAAGAATAAATATTACCAATTTTTTTTCAGTTTTCTCTAAAAAAGTCAGTAAATATTTGGAAAATATCCAAACAATAAAAGAAATCTTTCTGTAGCGATTTAAAAAAAAAAAGTTATACAAATACTTTTAGTTTCAAGAAATTTTATAAAACCAAAAAAGCATCCAGTTATTGTCAAATTATTTTTATTATTATTATTATTTATTTATTTATTTAGAGGAATAAAAAAAAATAGTACATAAATGAAATAAATAATTGTCTAATAAATTATTAAAGAAAAAAATTATTATATTATTAGAATAAAATTTAAGAAACGATATTTTTGAATTAATTTTGGAGTGGAAAATTTATTTATTAACAATTTAGTCATTTTCCATCCACCCCCTTTCAACGTGAGTGTCTCTTTGAAAATTTAATCGATTATAAATGTTATTGTAACTAGCGTGCAATTTGAGGTCAACTTAAGAGCGCCGAAACGGATAAATCTTAGTGACAGGTTCAGCTTTAAAGGAAACCTTCCGGTATAGACAGGTCTTTTCCAAGAAACTAATAATAATAATATAATTAATATAATATTAATATAATAATAATAATATTAATTATATAATAATAATAATAATATTAATTATATAATAATAATAATAATATTAATTATACAATAATAATAATAATAATAATAATAATAATAATAATAATAATAATACAAATAAAAATAATTCTATTTTTACTGTTATTCAAATTAGCCTAAAAAAAACTAATATAGAAAAAATAAAAAACATCCAAACAAAAAAAATAATCAGTTAGGCCGTAAATAACAATTGGATTTTAATAAAAAAAAAAAAAAGAAAAAAATCTGCCTGCAATGCACTGATTTGAAATTCAATTTTTTGATATTCGTTGACCTAATAGTAGTTGAAAAACCAGAAACCCTTATACTGTAATCATGTAATATATTCTGTTTTAGCAAAAAAGGAAAGAAAAATCTGCATCTTTTCAAAAATAATATTTTTTAAAAAAATAATAAATTCCGACATTTTCCTTATAAAAAGGAATCTGTTATTTTTTTCAAAAAAAAAATACTCAGTACCATGTTTTATTGAAATATATAATATATACTTTGAAAACCTACATCTTAATCTTCACAAAACGACCACGAATGATGTGCAGAGAAAACACAAAATGAGAAATAAATGAGTACCGTTCCATTTTTTTTCCTTTTTTCATACCATTAATAAATTATTATTTAAAAAAAAATATAAAATAACATAATTTGAAACAAATATAATTTAATTGACTTAAATTAATTAAAATTACTTAATACAAGTAAATATTTAATTGATTGCCAAGTAACCGATCATTTGAATCAAATCAAATTTTTTTAATGTACTATTTTTATAGACGCAGAAAAATACTATATTTATAAATTAGTAAAAATAGTAAATAATAAATTTTATCAAAATTTACTAATTTTAAAATATTTTTATAAATTTATAATTTAAATAAAACACGCGCAATCGATATAAATTAAAAAATAAGAGGCAAAAAATGAAAAATAATACTATTCCGGAAAAAGAATATTTATTAGAAGACAAAATGTATTTTCTTCTAATTAACTGAAGCTTAAAGAAGCAGTTTCCTTGGAAGAATAAGCAATTTATTGACCTCAAAATAATTTAATTAATTTAGAATTCTTTTCAAGAAAGAAAACGTGTAAATGAATTTTATAGTTTTTCGTTTTTTATATTCTTCTTTTTGTTAAAATTTGTATTTTATTTCCCAATTTAAATTTAAAATACAATTTTATTTTTAAATTGTTTTTATCCTTTTCTTTTATTAAAAAAAAAAAAAAAAATGCAAAAAGTTGAAATATGATAAATTTCTATACACAATCTAGAAGGTGAAAATATATTTGTTTTTCAAATGCGCATTTGAAAATCGATGCATTCGAAATGAAAACATGTAAATACAGAATTTATAGATCACACATTGGGGAAAAGATGTTCATAAGTATCCGTTTGAAGAATCAAAACTGAATCCTTTCAGTATTCAAATGAGTTTTTTGGAGTACTTTTTTTTTTATTTGAAGAAAATTCATACCAACAATGTGATTAAAGAGAAATGTGGTTTAAACTACCGATTTATTTTTTTATTTTAAATATTTTCCTTATTCATATGGAGTAATATATATATATTTTTTTTTTTGCGAAAAATATTTTCCTCAGCGAAAAAACGATATTCTAAATTTAAAAATACAATCTTGATTTCTATTTAAGAATATAAGGTAGGTTTTATTTTTAGAAGTAAAATATTTTTCAATAAGAAACAATATTCTTAAATTAAGAAATGTTCTTTTTTAATTTTCTTAATTCAATATAAAAAAAATTTGATTAGTAAAATATGTTAAATAAGTTTTTTTATTTAAAAAAATATTTAATAATAAATAAATGTCATTCATGTGGAAAAATTTTTCGAATTTTTAAATTTTGGTAGAGAGACGGAAATTCCCCTTCTTTGCGAGTAGACAATTTTTTTTTTGTCTTTTATTTGACAATTTAAAATCGATTACTTGAAAGCCATCAATCATTATTTCACAAATGCTTGAATAAATCGAAAAGAACAAAAGTTTCCTTTAAAAAACACTATTTCTTTTTTTTTTTTAATTACCGTCACAATCTTTTAATTTAACTTTTATTGATTCGAATTTTTTTATTTATTTTTTCTGTAATTAAGTAAATTTCTAGTGCGGATGTAAAAATAATAAAAATATAAAATATAAAACAAATAAAAATATATAAATTTTACACAAAATTATTACTACAAAATTATAAATTAATAACAATTGTTGTTGTAAATTAATTGCAGAGAACAAAAATTAATTTTTATTTTATTAATTTATTAATTAAATTTTAAATTGTTAAATTTATTAAAGAAAAATCACTTTTTGACAAAAACTGACTTGTACATTTTTTTAAAAATAAATTTAAGTCTGTTATTACTATGGAACTAGTTGACAGTAATTAACTGTAAGATAAGTTTTTCTCACTTAACTAAAAGCTCTCATCACTTCAACTTTTCAAAGTGTACTAATTAAAGAAAAAAAGAAAATAGTGTTTAATAAAGGATTTTCGAAAGTTTAAATACGAGGGGGAATTTATTCAGGTAGTCAAGTGTACACTCTTCCTGTAATACTTATGTAGTAACGTGTAATACCGTGTAATAATGCGTTATTACAGTGCTGTAATAACGCAAAAAACTCTGTAATATCTCTGTAATAATGTGTAATACTCTGTAATAACGTGTAATAACTTAGTAATAAGGATAATATGAGATGTAATACCGGTAGTCAAGTGTACACATTTTTAACTAGTAAATTCCCCCTCGTTTAAATAACAAATCCAGAATTAATTTAAAATACCAAAGTTAAATTATTTTCATATATAAAATCAAATAAAATTTAAAGCTCAAACAAAATGCAAATTTAATTTATTATGAATTTAATAATTTATTTATTATTAATTTAATAATTAATAATAATGAATTATTATTAATTTAATTAATTTAGTTTAATTATAATTATACTAAATTAAAATTTAATATTGAAAAAAAAATAAAAATAGCAACAAGAAAAAAATATTTGCTCTAAATTTGTTAGTTCCCTTTCTATACCTATACATACGAGGATGATTTACGAAAGGACCATAGGTTTTATATGTGATGAATAGCATTGAATGACAAAGATTTATCGTTTAAACACAAAACGAGTGATGGGATTTATATTGGCATCAATGTCATATAATATAACTTTACAATCCATTGCTTTGGAATATAATTTAGTTATTTATTATATATGTATATACCAAAAACAACCAAAGAAATACAAATTCCAAAAATGAAGAAATAAATATAATTTGTTATTGGGAAATATATTTTTATATACAAAAATATATATATTAAATTTATATAACATTTATATCGACAATTTTATACAATATAAAAAAAAAACTAATTTCGAAACTTGAAAACAAATAAAGATTTTCAATTTAGAATATCGATGAGAGTTACAGAACAATCAGGATGACGTGAAGAGACAGATAAGCGGTTTATAAGATATATTACGAAAAGCTGGTGTATAGTTCTCTATGTAATAGACACACCTATCAATAAACTCCTTGTCCAATATCATTTGATATAAATTTCAATGCATTTCTTAATTAATTCCTATCGCGATAATTTAAACGAAATTACTATAAATTATTACTATTATTATTATTATTATTATTATTATAAATAATTATAATATATAATATTATATTAATAATATAATAATTATTATATTTAAATGAAATTATTACAATTATTATTATAAATAATTATAATATTATCTTGAATTTAATACAATAATTTTATTATTAATAATCCTAGTTATAATTATAATTATTATTAATATAAATTATTATTTGAATTAAAGAAATTAAGTCAAATGAAATAAAATTATCTAATAAAATAAAATAAATAAAAAAATAAAATAAAATAAAATTCTTTAACTTTATAAAAGTTTATTAATTACTTTCGTACATAGTAAAATAAATTCTTTTTTTTCTATATATTGTGAATAAAATAAAATATAATATAATATAATAATATTTTTTATTTATTTTATTTTATTAGAGAATTTTATTTCATTTGACTTAATTTCTTTAATTAAAATAATAATTTATATTAATAATAATGTGAAGGAGAAAGTTTTTCAAAAGGCTTTTAACGCGGTTTATACATATTTAAACTATGTGACAATATATTATGCGTTTTATACTATATAAAGTTATTCTCATCGGACATGAAATGCATTGAAAAATATTAAAGGAAATAAATGACGAACAAAAGTGTTGAAATGAGAAAAATGAAATAACATTAAATTGAATCTCATTAAAAAAAAAAAAACGCAGAGAAAAGAAAAGCAACATATCCATAAAAGCTTCTTCATTTTATTTCTCTTCTCAATGAGAAATAATATAAGATAATAATTGTTCTTGGATTTAAAAAAAAAATTATTCTACAGCAAATATAATTCAATTGTAATAATTACAAGAATTTGAAAAAAATTTCTATAAATAAACAAATAAAAAATTTTAGAAATAAAATAAAATTTAAATAAAGAAAGCAATAATATTTATTGTTGTTTTAGGTTTACCAAACGAGATCTATGTATTTTGGCAGCAATATCCTTGGGCACTTGGAGTTGTTTTATGCAAAATAAGAGCATTTGTGTCAGAAACGTGAGTCTTAATCTTAGATATAAATTCTATTGTTTACGAGACAAAAAATAAAAGACAATAAAAAACATATTCCTCAGTAAAAATAGAAAAATCATTTTTCTATTAAAAAAAGAAAATAATTCAATGGGTTATTTTCTAAATATTTTCTTTTTAATGTCAATTTTTTTTTATTAAATTATTTATCATGGATTACTTAAAAGTTCAAACTTTCGTGCTCATAAAAGGATCGAAAACTTTTGCGGGTCAGAGAAACCGGAAAACACCATTTTCTATTTCTATCATGAGGAAACATCTCGTTCCCGGTACTAAATATCTATAGCTAAACTTGAGCACTGTTTCTTATCTAAATAAGACTTGATACAAAACTTTACTGAAACTCACCCCGCAAAAAAGGAAGTCGAGTCTAAATTGTAAATTTATTATAAGTCAATTTTTATATCCGTGAAAAAGAAAATATTTGTATTGTTTATATAAAACTTTATAAAAATTCATTCTATTTTATATTTATTTATATTTTCTATAAAATATAATATATTAAAATTCCTATAATTTTACACTAAAAAAATTTTTTTTTATTCAAATACTCGACTGTTAACTAAATATTTACTTGAATCAAATCTTAATTTTTATTTGAATTAAATAAATTTTGAACCAATAATTTCTGAATTTCAAACAAATACCATTTCAAATAATAATAATTATTATTTGATACAAATAAATATTTACTTGAACCAAATATTTATTAATAATTAAATTTAATTATTTAATTATTTATAATTATTATTATTTTGTTCAAATAAATATTTATTTCTATCAAATAATTATTATTTGATAAAAGACAAGTAATCTTTTATTTGAAGCAAATAAATATTTACTTGAACCAAATAATTATTAATAATTAAATTTAATTATTTAATTAATTTATAATTATTATTATTTGGTTCAAATAAATATTTATTTCTATCAAATAATTATTATTTGATAAAAGACAAGTAATCGATTATTTGAAGCAAATAAATATTTACTTGAACCAAATATTTATTAATAATTAAATTTAATTATTTATAATTATTATTATTTGGTTCACATAAATATTTATTTGCATCAAATAATTATTATTTGTTAAAAGACAAGTAATCGATTATTTAAGGCAAATAAATTTTTGTTTTCACTGTACGGAGAAAAATAAAGTAATTTTTTACAACTTTTAAAGTAAATTCTACAATGTCCGGAATTTCTGCGCATTTTCGTCAATTTTTGCTCCGGAAATAGTAAAACATACTAATTCAAATTTTTCTTCTTTCTAAAGCAAAAGTTACAAGAGATGCACAAAAGTTTCGAAAAGTTTAGGTATTACTTAAGTAATATAAAAGTTACTTTACATTTTTCTCCATAATTAAAATTCTATGTATTTAAATAGAAAAAAATTTAAATTAAAAGTAAATTTAAAAAAATTCCATTCTAATTTGAAATAATCGCATATTGAATAAAAATAAAATTTTTTTTTTCAAGATCCTCTTATGTGTCAGTACTAACGATAGTCGCCTTCTCAATGGAGAGATACGTCGCAGTTTGTCATCCCCTACATCTATATGCGATGAGTGGCTTGAAACGTCCACTGAGATTTATTCTCCTTGCTTGGATGTTAGCACTTGTATGCGCGATTCCATTCGCGGTATATACCAACGTCAATTACCTTCACTATCCTATTGGTGAGTATTCAAAATCCACTATATTATTTAATACCATCAATATATCTATATATCTACAAAACATGAATTGAATAGTCTCAGTCGTGTTTCCGTGTTATTGATAGCCATCGATTCTACATAAAACTTTAACGTCTGTCCAATATTTCCCTTTCAATTTTATATATAAACTGATATTACAATGTAGACAAAATTTTATGCTTTTCTTAAATAAAAACATATTTTTCATTATACAAAAATTAATAAATTTTTTTTAAACCAAAAACTAGGATATTATTTCAAAATTAAGTTTCATAATACAGAGAACACACAGAAAATTAAAAGGCATTAAAATAAGCTGCAACGCTTATTATTTTAATCCAATTTTGCTTATTTTAATCCATTTTGGTATTAAAATAAGCAAAATTGGATTAAAATAATAATCTTATTTTAATGCCTTTTAATTTTCTGTGAACTTAACTATTATCAAATAAATATATTTATTTGTTATCAAATTAATGTTTACTTGAACAAAATAAATATTTATTATTTTCAAATAATTGGCTATTATCATACTGGAAAATAAAATTTATTTAATTCAAATACTCAATTACTTGACTATTATCAAATAAATATTTACTTGAACCAAATAATTTTTATCTGAATAAAATAAATTGTATTTGAAACAAATATACCATATTTATTTATTTATTTATTTATTTAATTGACTCGCAAATAATAATTATTTGATACAAATAAATATTTATTTGATATTAGTAAAGTATACACAAAATTAAAAGGCATTAAAATAAGCTGCAACGCTTATTATTTTAATCCAATTTTGCTTATTTTAATCCATTTTGGTATTAAAATAAGCAAAATTGGATTAAAATAATAAGCGTTGCATATTATTTTAATGCCTTTTAATTTTGTGTGTACTTTAAAAAATTTAAAAATTTAAAATTTTCTGTGCAAGAAACATTGTCACAAATTACAATTCGATCCAAAAATATAGTCCAGAAAAAATAATTCTCAAAAATAATAATAATAATAATATTAATAATAATAATATAATTTATTTGCTTCAAATAAATCGATTAGTTGACTATTATCAAATAAATTATTTGTATCAATTAATTATTATTTGTGGATACTGTCAGCAATCAGCGCTGTACTAACATATTAAATCTTTAACCGATCGGTAATATAGAAATCTATAAAAAAAAATTTCATTTCCAAATTTTGAAAAAAATAACTGTGGCATCGAGACTAAACCTAAAGTAATCGAATAATACAAAAATATTGAAAATATGACTTATAATTTTCGAGAAAACCGATCGGGTTATTATTTTTTTTTTTTTTTTCATTTGCAGGATCGAAAAATATTTCCAAAGACTCGGCAATGTGTGCTATGCTTCGTGACAATATGCCCGATTTTCCCCTTTATGAATTAAGTTGCTTGATCTTTTTTTTATTACCAATGCTATTAATGGTGATACTATACACCCAAATGGGTCGAACGATACAAAGTACATCATTGGGACACTCTCTCGAAGGTACTATTCACGGTGAAAGTAGACATGCTCAATCAAAAAAAACTATCATACAAATGCTGAGTAAGTAAAAATTATTTTTCATAAATTTTGTTTTTCTTTAAACAATATTTATTTTATTTAAAATACTATTGAAATTAAGAGTATTAAATTAATATAGAAATTTAACAAATAAATTTGGTTTAATAAACGATTTTATAAGCAAAAAAGTTCTTCTCAACAACAAAAGATGATTATCATGATATAGGCGAGAGAGCAAAATTAACATTCAAAACTTTCGACATAAGAGCACACAAAATAAGGTCCAGGTGTTTCCTTATTTGTTTAAAATTAATTAAAAACTATTTATTTAGCATTTTAATTAAAAGTATTTTTAAAAAAAAGTATTTTAAAAAAAACTATTTTTTTTGGTAAATTTTTACGAAAAATTTTATCTAAAACAAAAAAAAAAAAAATGTGTGAAAACGTGCTTTGAATACATAAAAATTTTAATTTTCTCAAATATTTACATCATGAATATCAAACAAACTCTCTTTTCAATCGAATCACGTTTTGATTTCAATCAATCATTTTACTTGCCAAAACTGATGGGCATTTTGCAAATATATACGGATACAGTTTAGACAATTCACTGATTGAAAATCACATAACTAAATATTCAATATATATATTACTGTGAGTGAAATATAATTACATTTTATCTAATCGATAGCTAATTAATTAGAACAGATAAAATAATATTCCACAAAAATATTTTATAAAATTTTTAATTGATAAATTTAAATTAAATTACTTTTATTTAAATAAAAAAATGTTATTTCATTAAAATAATCGTTTACTTGATTATTATCAAATAAATATTTAAATGAACCAAATAATTTTTAAAATCAAATAATTGAATTAAATAAATTTATTTGGACCAATAATTTCTGTATTTGAAACAATTACCATTTAATTAAAATTATAATAATAATTATAATATATAATTATAATTATATAATTATATTATAATATAATATATTATATTATATTATATTATTATAATATTATATAATATTATATTATAATTATATAATTATAATTATAATAATTACCATTTAATTAACTGAAATATAATAATTATTAAATACAAATAAATATTTATTTGATAATAGTCAAGTATAACCGATTATTTGAATCAAATAAAATATATTTTAATTTAATTCTATAAAATACAATATTTTATTTGAACGAAATTTCAAGAGAAACAATATATATTCATAAAAGAAAAAAAGCCAAAAGATGATAAGAAACAAAGCTCAAAAAAAAAGAAAATGATACAGGTGAACTTTTTGAATTCGTGTATTTTGCTTTCTCGCCCATCAAAGTGTCGGATCACGTATCTGCTCTAACTACTTTTCTCAAGGAGTATAGCCAAGCTTCAAGCCAGACTGAAGAAGTTGCACATGAATGATGAACTATATTGGCTTAACCCTCAAGACTTAAAAAAGAGCGCACTTGCAGAAAAAAAAATATATATACAGAAAAAGAAAGATTGAGCAAAGTGCATTGTTCTCGAAATTAATAATTCAGGGGACAACTATTCTTCGGGATCTAAAATAAATTAATTAAAAAAATTCGCTTCTATTATATTTTTTAAACGAATTTTTATTTTCCGAATTAATATTTAATGGAATTTCTATTTTTATACAAATTTTTAACTTAACAAAATTTTTAGCCACCGAATTTTTTTAAATGACAGAAATTCCAATTCACCGAATTTTTATTTGAACGAATTTTTAAGACGCCGATTTTTTATTTGTCCGAATTTTTAATTGATAAAATTTTTAAGACGCCGAATATTTATTTGTCCGAAATTATAAATGACCGAACGAATAATTGACTGAATTTTTAAATAACAGATATTCCAATTCACCGAATTTTATTTTGTGCGAAATTTTATCAAATAAAATTTTTAAGACGCCGAATTTTTATTTGTCCGAAATTATAAATGACCGAACGAATAATCGACTGAATTTTCAAATAACAGATATTCCAATTCACCGAATTTCATTTTGTCCGAATTTTTATCTAATAAAATTTTTAAGACGCCGAATTTTTATTTGTCCGAAATTATAAATGACCGAATTTTTAAGACGCCGATTTTTTATTTGTCCGAATTTTTAATTGATAAAATTTTTAAGATGCCGAGTATTTATTTGTCCGAAATTATAAATGACCGAACGAATAATTGACTGAATTTTTAAATAACAGAAATTCAATTCATCGAATTTTATTTTGTCCGAATTTTTATTTGTACGACTTTTTAATTGATAAAATTTTTAAGACGCCGATTTTTTATTTGTCCGAAATTATAAATGACCGAACGAATAATCGACCGTATTTTTAAATAACAGATATTCCAATTCACTGAATTTTATTTTGTCCGAATTTTTAAGACGCCGAATATTTATTTGTCCGAAATTATAAATGACCGAACGAATAATTGACTGAATTATTAAATAACAGAAATTCAATTCACCGAATTTTATTTTGTCCGAATTTTTATTTGTACGACTTTTTTATTGATAAAATTTTTAAGACGCCGAATATTTATTTGTCCGAAATTATAAATGACCGAACGAATAATTGACTGAATTTTTAAATAACAGATATTCCAATTCACCGAATTTTATTTTGTGCGAAATTTTATCTAATAAAATTTTTAAGATGCCGAATTTTTATTTGTCCGAAATTATAAATGACCAAACGAATAAATGACCGAATTTTTAAATAACAGATATTCCAATTCACCAAATTTTATTTTGTCCGAATTTTTATCTAATAAAATTTTTAAGACGCCGAATTTTTATTTGTCCGAAATTATAAATGACCGAACGAATAATCGACGGAAAGATTTTGGCGCCATTTTTAAAATTGGCCAATCAGGTATTACCAAAAAAATCGTAATTGGTCAATTTTAAAAATTGCGCCAAAATCTTTCCGTCGATTATTCGTTCGGTCATTTGTAATTTCGGACAAATGAAAATTCGGCGTCTTAAAAATTCGAACAAATAAAGATTCGGTGAACTAGAAATTTTTACATTTAAATATTTTTTACTGTAATTAAATTTTTTTTTCCCCCTAAAAAAACCTACTAAAAAATTATGTGTACGTGGAGAAAGAAAAGAAGAAAAATGTTTAATCTAGCTAGGAAAAAAACAAAAATATATGTGTCCTGACGCGGTGAAAGGGACCTTACAGTTTAAAAGCAAATTGTAGAGGACGTGCTGTCAAAGAGAAGCAAGTAAATAGGCGTAGACTGCACCGCCTATGTTTAAATGTTTATAAAAAAAGACTATTGCAAGGGGACAATTTTTGATTTTTGTAAATCAAACAGCAACTCAAAAACTATCAATTTTTATAAGAAAATTAAAATCGACAAAAGCTAACGTTAAAGATAGTGCTTTCAAACATGATTCAGAAAATGTAATACGAGAAAGATGCCTACGTTTAAATGTTCATAATAAAAAATTAATTGAAAAAAATAATTTCTATTTTTTGGAAATGAAATAGCAACTCAAATACTTTCAATTGGTATAAAAAAATAAAAATCAATTTTTTTGGCGTAAGGTCCCTTTCACCGCGTCAGGACACATATCATACATGTAATCTGGTAAATTTTTGTATACAGGTGCTGTGGTAATCACATTCTTTATTTGTTGGGCACCGTTTCACGCGCAAAGGTTGATATACGTTTATGACGAGAGTGGAGCCTTGACCAGTGTCAACGACTGGTTATATCCAATAGCTGGTGTATTGTATTATTTTAGTACAACTGTAAATCCTATTTTATACAATGTAATAAGTGCCAAATACAGAATAGCCTTTAGAGAAACTTTATGTTGTAAATCAACAACTGGCTCACATGGAAGGGACGATATGAGCAGTGTTCGCGATCATTCAAGAAGAGAATCGCAAATAATTCGCGTTCGAAGTCTCTTCGAAAGACATCGTAGCTCGCAGTAAGTTAAATTTTATCATATAATATGAACAATTTTAGCTGATCTATGAATTTTTTAATTCGTAAAAAATTCTTTTTGTACTTTACAAAAATAAAAATAATTATTTGATACAAATAAATATTTATTATTATATAAATAATAATAAAAAATAATAATTATAATAATATAGTAATTATATTATAATATTAAATACAAAATAGAAAAAATAAATCTATTATAATTAATATATTAATAATACTACACTGAAAAAAAAAATTTATTTGATTCAAATACACGATTATTTATGAGCCAAAAGTTTTGAACGTTCATATGAACGAAATTTTTTTTGCAACTTATTTTACTGTTTTATTTTACACGGTCATCATAATTTTTAATAATTTATAGATTGAAAAAAATATTTTGTTCATATGAACGTTCAAAACTTTCGGCTCATGATTATTTGACTATTATCAAATAAATATTTACTTGAATCAAATAAATTTCTTTTTCAGTGTATTAATTAATAGTATAATATTGTCCCGTGTGGAAAAGTGATGTGGGCCCCCAGCGGGGGCCCTTATGGATCGCCCTCATGCCATGAGGGCCGCATATGGATGATCCATAGGGGCCCCTCATGGAAACGACATGCTCATCGATGAGGGCGCCCGCATGGGCGATCCATGAGGGTGCCCCTACGGGCGCCCTTATGGGCCCTCACGTTTGCCCTCATCTTGCCCTCAAGTTTGCCATAATGTTTTTTAATCAATAATATTAATAATAAAAGTTAATTAATAATAAATAAGCTTAAGTTATGAATAAATAACATATTTATTTAATAATTATTCAATTTTAAATTAAATTCTTACTCAAGTTGAATTTATTAATTAACGTTCTAATTAATTAACTGTCGGATATAATTAAAAGTAATAATAAATTAATTAATTAAAAAATTAAAAAATATGTAATTTATGCATACTATTAACGGATATTTTCATTTTTCAATTAATTCATACATAGAATTAATGATTAAACGCAAACCTGAGAAATAAATAAATCTAACGCATGGGGGGAATCGAACCTACGACCTACGGACTATGAGTCTAACGCTTTACCAACTACGCTACGCACGCTACTTCAAAACGAATGCTAACTTCTTGATGCTATTTAAACTTGAAAAATACCTAACAAAGAAAAGTGCTTAACATCATTTAGTTAAAGTTAAGATATTAAATTATATTTTCCAATCAAATGCAATTTATAAAATATAATTAATTATATGCTTTATGATTATTATCATGAATCATCTCAGATAAATTTTCAAAAAAAGTGTAAATATATTTTTATTAAAAACGCGTTTTTCGTTATTCTGAATCATTATAAACATTAATTTTTTGGTGATAAAAAAATATTTGATTTTTGGACTTAGAAAATTTTGCTAATCGATGATGAGGGCGATCCATGCGGGCCCCTACGGTGGCCCTCATCTATTTTGCCATAAGTGTGAGTGTTATTTTCAAAAAAGTGTAAATATATTTTTATTAAAAACGCGTTTTTCGTTGTTCTGAATCATTATAAACATTAATTTTTTGGTGATAAAAAAATATTTGATTTTTGGACTTAGAAAATTTTGCTAATCGATGATGAGGGCGATCCATGCGGGCCCCTACGGTGGCCCTCATCTATTTTGCCATAAGTGTGAGTGTTATTTTCAAAAAAGTGTAAATATATTTTTATTAAAAACGCTTTTTTCGTTGTTCTGAATCATTATAAACATTAATTTTTTGGTGATAAAAAAATATTTGATTTTTGGACTTAGAAAATTTTGCTAATCGATCATGAGGGCGATCCATGCGGGGCCCCTACGGTGCCCCTCATGGATTCGCCATATGGATCAGCCCTCATGGGCCCCCGCCGGGGGCCCCGAACTCTTGAGGGCAAGATCGTGGCTTTTTCCACACGGGGTATTAATTAATTATTTAATATTAATATATTTTTTATTAATAAAACTACTACAATTTTATTATTATTATTATTATTATTATATTTATTATTATCCGATTATTTGAATCAAATAAATTTTTTTTTGGTTCAAGAATTTGTGGATGAGATAAAAAAAAATGAAAATGTACAACCGCGATATAAAATCCTGTACCATATAAAGATATAACACATAAGATACGAGTAGAAACAAAAATTGAAACTAATTTATTATTTTTCGAGTATAATGGAGGATATTAGTAAGATAAATTATAGCAAATTTATCCATATGAAAAGAAGAATTTTTTTTTTTTGGTGTACTAATGCAATTTCATGGTAGAATGGTGTTACAGCATATTGTACTAAATTTTGTAGTAGTTTATTGTCCCACCACCTGTGTGACTTATGTGACACCTTCTGGTGTTGTGGAATTCACAATAGAGCTTGGACACAACACTCTTGACTTATGCAATTTACAATCTACTTCCCTTACGTTCTCAAAACCATTTTCCTATATTATATATTCCCAGTCAAATCTATAATAGATTAAATAATCTTCCATAAAATTTGATCAATTTGTTTACAAGAAACTTTAATTAATCAAAGAAATCAAAAATTACGGAAATTATTATTTTTTTTTATTTTTGTTTGTCAGTTTGAATTTATTCATTTATATATAACAGATATCAGAAAACTTTTGACAATGTTTGTTTGCGTAAGAATAAAACTTTTTGAATATTCAATTTTTCATATAACAAAGTGTTTACATTTAAAAAGTTTCCGTCAAAAAAAGTTTTCAATGTATAGAAAAGTGTGCTCACTGTTTGGAACAAAGCCAAATATAAAATGAAATCAATGCTTAAATTTATAAAGTATCATTTTTAAAAGTAAAAAATTTAATAATAAAACACATTCAAGTGAAAAAATACAACTAAAAATCATTTCCTACTATTTTATGAATTTCATTTAATATCAAAGAATGAGGAAATAAATTAAAAAATTATTTGACTATTATCAAATTAATATTTATTTGTATAAAATAATTTTTATTTGCATCAAATAAATTTTTATTTGTATAAAATAATTTTTATTTGCATCAAATAAATTTTTATTTGGATCAAATAATTTTTATTTGCAAACAAATAAATTTTTTTCTATATTAAATATTCAAAATACGATTCATGTGTTACAGAAAAAGTTTAAATCTCACGAAACAAAATTCGAGATCTTCGGGAAAAATGAAATCGTTTACTGCTGAAGAAAAAGGAGGAGATGACCATATGGCATTGGAAACAGTTAATATATAAGAGAATCCTCGGAAAAGTTATTGGATTCGACAAAATTCTCAGTTGTTGTGCAAAATTGCAATGGTCAAATAAAATGTCATACCAATATTAAAGAAGAAAATACACCTTCAGAAACGCCAATTTAATTATTAAAAAAAAAAAAAAAATGACAAATCAATCTAAATGGATTTTTTTTTCATCTATGAATTTACAATCAATTCTTCCACATGTGCATCACGTTTTTTTTGTAAAACACAAAATTTTTAGATAAATGTTTATATTTTTATTGCAAAAAAATATGATGTTATATATGTGTATAAAAATATTTAATATAAAAAAAATGTGATAAATTGTTTTTAACAATTTTAAAAAATTTAAGTTTTGTTAATTAATTGTTGTAATTAATCAATTATGTTCTAATTGTTATAATTAAATTAATTTAATTTTTGTAATTTATTGCACCATTTTGTATTCTCTGATTGGATTATATATATTTTAGTATATTGATATTATATTCTTACAGAATATTATATTTTTGTATTTTATTATTTTATTATATTATATACAATATTATAGTCTTGCATTTATATTTTATATGTATTATTTAGTAGAAATATTATAAAGTACTTATAAATTTTTTTTCTAATTTTTTTTTTCTAATTTAATGTATAATGATTATATAATAAAATCAATGTTATCTCTCTACAATGATATAATATATTCCACAATTATTCAATTACAAATTAATTAATAATATTTCAAATAGAATCAATAAATTATAAATTAGTTAATAATATTCCATTTTTTAAATGGAATTATCATATAAATAAAAATAATATTTAAATAACTCAAAATAAAAAAAAAATAAATTTTAATCTAAAAATAATTTTCCTCTAAATGTCCAATTATTCATAAATGAATTAAACTGAAGGAGAATTAAAAAAAAATTTCATTTTAATTACCAGGGAATATTTTACATAAAAAATAAATATAATCCTTTATAATTTATAATTACATTTGCAAAAATATAAATGCAAGTCCTTTTTTAATATTGCTCACGAAATAGGACAGATTTTGAAAATTTATATTCTACCCAAATATAAGAATACCATATTAATATAAATGTAAATTACGAGAATGGAAAATACTTTTTAGTTTAGTAAAATGAAAACGGGCATTAACATTTTTTTTCACGAAGCTCTTTGCACCAAATGGAATCACTATATTTTATGTCGAAATAAATTTTCATTTCTATGAAAGCATTTCTACTTAAGAAACTATATTATACATTTTTTACAAAATAATTTTTAAAAAATATTCTTTTTTTCAATTTTTTTTTTTTTTTTTTTCTAAGAATATATTATAAGATTTTCTAAACTATCATAAAGAGTGTCAAATTATTAAAAAGTTCTGCACAAGTTTGGATATGAGAGAAATAAAATAGGAATTGCAAATAATTCCCTAAAGTGAAGAATTCACATGAGATTTAATATTTTTTCTATAAAAAAAAAGAAATTGTCCTCAAGACTTTTTATGAAGAAAATGAAAATTTCTGAGAATTTGAAATCGTGTCATTGAATAAGAGATTTCTCCGCTACGACAAGAGATGTTGAAAAGTTTAATCGAGCCAAGAAAGAGATTTGCAATTAGAGAATATATAACGAGGAATAGAAAAAATAGAGAACCAAATTATTTTTTTAATTCAACTTCGACGTTTTTTCGTATTAAATAGAGCGCGGATTATATTTAAATTCTTTTCGTATATATATGAATATATTTTCATAAATTAAAATTTTTTAATTAATAATTAATTCACGTTTTAATAGTAAATAATAATTGATTACTAATCAAAATGATGCACTTCAATATTCATGTTTAATTTACAGGTATGAGAACATATATTACATGAAGTGCATGTGTTTGTTAAATTGAATATTGGAACTTTCTGTACGTTATGAATAGAATGTTGATATAAAATATACGATATACACCTGGCAATATCGTAAAGTGATATGCTGAATATTACACTTTTGTTGGTTTATTCCTCAATTTTCCAATATATTTAATAAACAGAAAATTTATCGAGAAAAATTTTTAAATATTGATTTAACAAACGAAATTTTTTTTCATAACAATGGAAAATATGTTCAACTTCCAAATAATTATCCAGATCAATAATAATATACAAAAAAAAAATATTGAAATTATTTCGAAAAATGTTTAATTAAAATTTAAATAAATAATTCAATAATTCAATAAATAAAAAGCAAATAAATGTAAATATAGAAATTATCGAAACTAAAACTAAAACTCAAATTAAATTCATTTTTTATTATTTTAAAAAATGTTTTTAATAATAATTATTTGTATAATTTAATTAATTATGCTATTTTCAACGAATGCAAGAAATTATATTTTCAATAATAATTATTAGATAAACCAACAAAAATGTTTCAAATTTGAGGTTAGAATTGACGCGAACTATACAATTTGCGTCACTTCGAAATTGTCAGCAAATTATTTTCCCAGTATGCAGTTTTCATAAAACTTATTAAAACGTACAGAAATAAATATAAATTCAACAAATAATATATATATTTAATGTACTCACCGATGAAGATTTCTGCTCCACATGTTCAGAAGATTGATGTGCATTGTCCATCCATATTATTCTGCTTCCTTTCACTTTTTCTGCCATTATTCGTCACTAAATACACACAAAAAATATAATTGAACTAATATAAACAATACTTTTTATAAATAATAAACAGGATTCTTTAAAATATCTTTGAATTTAAACACTGAACGGCACTCAACAACTGGCGCGAAGCTAATGCGCAAATGCTTGCAAAATTCAAGATGGCGGACGAAACATAAAGGCGCATACACATGCAAGTTTGCAATGCATTTAAATATCTGATATTTTTATAAAATATTTAAACTGAAATCAATAATTAAATATTTTAAATAAAAATTGTATAAATTCACATTATTTTTTATATAAGAATAAATTTTAAATGTTAATATAGAAAATAATAAAAGTTTTCAATTCTAGAAATACACAGTGTCTCCATCTGTCATCAAAAAACGGTACCATCGAAAACTAATTTATCGACAGAAAAATTACCGTTTAAAAAACTTGAAAATGTTAACGTTATCAGTGTAAACAATAATTTTATCGTACAAATTTTATTCTATTTTGTATGAAAGGTAGGCAAATTTGATTAAATTAGAAAACATTGATAAAAAATTTATCTATTTTATAATTTGATTTCTAAAAATTCGGGTAATTTCAGAACTTTAATCGTTAATTTACGGTGGACGCTTGTTTTCAATTTGATTATTAATCTTATTTTATATTAAATTTTACCGAATTTTTTTTAACAATATAAATTATTTATCTTCTTATTAAAGGGTTATTATTATTATCACTAATTATTTTCTAATAAAAATACAATATTTAATTTAACAATCATTTTAAATTGAAACCTAACCTTAACTTTTTATTATGGAAATATATACTGTGTTTCAAGTCTTTTTTTTCTGATTTGTGTTTATATTGATATAAATTGACCTTGATTTAAAGTCACATAAACTTATGAATATGTTGAAAATTTGTGAGAAATTTCTTTTCTCGAAAAGCAGTATTTACAGTGACTTGTACCTTGTATATTATTTTTCAAAGACTGATCTTTTAAATCAAATTTTTAGGTGACGAATGAATTGCAAAAGGAAGATTTATAATTTTAGTATTAAGTGACAAGTTCTGTGAAATATTACAATAAGAATGCAATCTTTTGTGACTAACAGGAGGACAAATAGTACGAAAAGTAAGTTTTTCTTTTATTAATACAGTTAAGAAATATAAATTTTTAGTTTTATTGTAAATTAAAAATGAATGCAAATTTCTTTTTTTTGTTTTTTTAGAGTACCAAGTTTCAAGAAAAAGTCCTTACGATAATTATAAAGAAAATTTGAATTACAATGATAAACTACAAATTACTGACGACTACTCAAGGACATTATCGACAAGAACCACTGGCTCTTCAAATATTGTATTACGATTATCAGAATCCAATAATTATAGTATCGACGATGCTACAACTCAAAGTTACAAATTAACCACTTCATCAAGCAAACAAAAATCATTTAATTCAGAAATAAAAGATATTATTGTAATTAGCGATTCAAGTGATGATGATAAATTTATAAAAAATTCAATTAAGTCCGATAATTTTAAAAAACTTCAAAAAAGTAGTATCTGCATTTCATCATCTTCAGATGAATCTGATAAAGATGATTTTATTTTAAAATACAATGATCAAACAAATACACTAAACAGTAATGCAGCTAAAAGAAGAATTTCAAATAATTTTAAACCTCTTAATACTTTTAAAACTCGACAGAGATGCAGTATTTTATATACATCGGACGATACTGCATCAACGGCTTCAACAAAATCAAAAAGTTCATCGTCACAAAAAAAAAATAAATCACCAAATTCATCAATTTCTCACATTAGTGCAACACCATATCCAATTGTTTCTAATAAATCAAATGAAATTGATAAACCCATTTCAAAGGCAATTGATAAATTAAAAAATCAATCAACAACAAAAGCAACTACGAGTCCAAGTTTTTGTAGTACCAAATATCAAAAATTATTTCCAAGAAAAATCAACAAAAATCATCAACTTTCAAAGGCGGAAGCACTAAAAATTCTCAAAGTTGTGAAATCAAAACAATTAAATTATTTCTCCGCCAGTGATAGTGAAAAAAGTCAAATATCAGATTCTTTCAATTCACCTCGTAAACGAAGTAATGGAGCAAAAAAATCAAATATCATTAATGAAACTGATTCGGAAAAGTCAAAAAGTACAAAATCAAGTGAAAATAAAAAAACTAAATCACAAAAATCGAATATTATTAATGAAACTGATTCTGATAAATCAATTGAAAATGAAAAAAGTAAATCAAATATTATTGAAGAAACTGATTCCGAATTAGAGGAAAATAATCCAAAAATTCAAAAAGAGAAAATTCTTCAAATTCTTCAAATTCCACCAACTGATGAAAATCCCGGTTACAATAATCTCTCGGCAAGAAAACGTAAAGAAATTGCCAATTGGATAATGTTAAATAATCCTGATGCAAATAGTGAGAGTTCATTTAGTCACATTTCGGGTAGTAATAGAAATAGTGTTTGTTCAGGTAATAGTAGCTTGGAAAGATTAGAAGTTAATTACGAAACACCAAATAATCGAGGTAAATTTTTAAAATTACATTCCGATAAAAAGAAAAGTGCAGATGAATCCGAATTAAAAACACCAATTGCAAATGCAACTGATGTTCTCAATGGTTTAAAACTTGTCGATACCAATAAAAGAATTAATAATCGCACTCCATTAACTGAAAATCGTTTAACAATATCAACAAATACAAAATCTACAGAAACAAGTGTTAAACGACAAACAAGAATTGATGAGTATTTAAAAAAAACTAAAACTATTTCTGGAAAATCAATAACTGTTATTACACCAAGAAATAATGTTACAAAAACACCTGCAATAAATTCAAAACCTGAGGATGTGAAAATTGAGGATTGCGTTGATATTTTGGATAAATTGTACGGCGATACTTGGAGAGCAAAAGCTGATGTTATTTTATCAGAACCAAGAAAGAAAAACGTGGTAAAAAAAGACCGTGGTGTACAAACTGAAAGGTAATAAAATTTTACAAAATTCATTTATTTTTTTAAATTAAACATTTTTTAATTTTAGGAAAACACGTTTAAGATTAAATGTTGATTCCGATAGTGAGGAAGATCTTGATTTCGGAAAATGTAAGTTCTATAAATTTTTTAATTCCATAAAGAAAATGTAATTAATAACTCTTTTTTTTCAATTTCAGTTGTTCAAAATGTTAGACCGACTCTAAATTCAACGAGAAAAGTACGAACAGAGGCAAAAACTTTAACAAATAATAGATTAAAAAGAAAAGAAATTGACAGTTTTATTAATGATAATTCATCAAGTGATGGAAGTGTTCCCAGTTCGTACTACACGGCTGTCACTAATCATGAAATAAATTATAAGAAAAAAATTACTGATACTCCTGCATCAACTTCAACATTGAGGTTTGTTCATATAATAAAATTAAAAAACGAAAAAAAAAATTTTCTAAATTTTTAAATTTTTACAGGGCATTGGCAATTTGTGATCCTGAATCAGACGAGGAACCAATAAATAATTTAAGAAACAATCATTTCAATAGAAAAAAATTATCATACAGTGACAAAGAAAATTCATCAAGTTCAACTAGTGAATTTGATCCAGAAGATATTATACATCCAAAAACTGTGATAAAAAAACGTGAGTGAAAAAATTTATAAAAAAAAAATTTTATTATTAATTATTAAAATTATTTTTACTTCTTTCTTTTAGCTATTAAGAAAAATTTACAACACGTTACAAATTCACTGAAGGCTAAAGCTCCAGCAATTAAAAAAACTTACAGCTTTTTGGCCTCTCTCAATTCTTCCATTTCGATAACTGATGCTCATCAAGACGCGCGTGTTTTTCGAGAGAATTTCAAAAAAACAAAAGAAGTACTTTGTCAACGGTTGTTTGCAATGTATAATGAAAAAATATTTGATAATAAACTGCCAAAAGATATGCTAATTGATTGGAGTACAAGAATGCGAGGAACTGCTGGTTTTTGTTACAATAAAAAATCAATTAAAAGCCTGGGAACAACAATAAGATCTTCTAGAATTGTACTATCAACTAAGGTTTGTTATATTTTTTTCTATTCTATATAAATTAAACAAAAAAGTTAATTAAATAATAAAAAAACTAATTATATTAATTACTAATTGATAATTCAAATTTAATTAATTAGTTTCAATTTCAATAATTTTTAGGTATTGGACAGACCTGATCGACTACGAGATACTTTAGTGCATGAATTGTGTCACGCAGCATCTTGGATAATTAATGAACTTTCAGATGGTCATGGACCAATTTGGAAAGGCTGGTAAATAATTTTAAATTATTGAAAATATTTTTCTTCCAAGAGAACAGATCTATTTTAATTAAAAATTTGAATAATTAGATTCTGAAAAAAAATCTAAAATTTTCTTTAATTTTCCAGGGCAAAAAAAGCAATGAAAGCATTTCCCGAATTACCACCAGTGAGTGTGTGTCATAATTATAAAATACACACAAAATACACTTATAAGTGTACAAATTGTGGATATAGGTAAATTAAATTTTTTTTAATTGTAATAAGATTCAGTAGAATAATGAATGTAAAAAAAAAATTTTTGATTTTAGTATTGGAAGACACTCAAAATCACTGGATGTACAATTGAAACGTTGCGGTTATTGTTATGGAAAATTTGAATTGTTCATTAATCGAACAACAAAATCGGGAAATGTAGAAATGAAAACACCGTCACGCACAAAGGATCCATCGGCATTTGCTCTCTATGTTAAGGAAAATTATCAAAATGTCAAGCAAAATAGAAGAAGTATGAAACACGGTGAAGTAATGAAGGTTTTAGGTCAGCAATTTTCTTCAATAAAAATTGCTAAACAACAAAATTGATATTAAAGAAAAAAAATTAAAGTAAATTTTTCTTTAGACGAAAAATAATTAATTATGCTGGAACCATATATATATATACATATGTATTATAATATCTATTATGGAATTTTTATTTTAAAAGAAGTTATTTTTTAAGTTTTCATTTTATATGCTACATGACTAATAGCATTGTGTCATGAAAAAAAAATATATATATATATTTTTTTTTTAATAAGAAAAGTTAAAACTTTTTATATATACAATTAAGATGTTATAAGCATAATGTAATAATTAAATAGACTGATATGATTTTCTCATTGCAGAATACACAATATGTGTTTAATAATGTACTTCAAAAATTTTTTAATTGCAAATAATACATATTCTAAAAATTGCATTTATATATTATTTAATTCTGAGAATTAAAATATTTTGCAAATAATGACTAATGTTTTTCCATTTTTCATAATTTATAACCTATCATTTTTAAAAACACCAAAATAAGAAAATCGTTACTGAATATAATTTTTAAAGTACATATTTTTGCCTAATTTCATCATAAACTGATTTTTATTCAAATTGATTAATTTTTCCAATCACAAATTTGAGGTTAGAATTGACAAAAATTTAATGAATAATTATAATTTCTTTATAAATATATTTTCTCCATTTCCAGTACTTAATATTGGGAGAAAACTTATTCAAACAGAAATAATTTATAAAAATACTTTATACATTAAATGTACTCACCGATGAAGATTTTGTGATTTCTGCTTTTTATAGATTGATTTGCATCATTCACCGATTTTATCCCACTTCTTTTGAATTCTCTTCTTATTAAACACTGAATACACATAAAAAACATTAATAAACTAATATAAACATAACTTTTTATAAATAATATAACAGAATTCGTTCACTTTTTCAATTTAAACACTGAACCAGCGCGAGGCTGATGCGCAAATGCATAACCATAAGGCTGCGTTCACACCATTATTGGACAAATAGTTCCGTCCAGAACGAAATGCACAAATTTGATTGGACAGTCTACATTCTGACAACCAATCACGTTTGTCTATTTCGTTTTAGTCCATAAAATTTTTAATTTGAAATTGTATACAAAACAGTATTTAAATTAATAATAAATTTTTTTATGTCTTTTCCTAATTATGTAAACAATAATTATTATTATAAATAAATTTTCGCAAAATAAAAGCATCGTAATATTAACTAAAATTTTTTATTTACCGTTAACTGATAATTATTTAAACTTTGTGCTATTTAACGTATTTAAGATTAAGCATTTCTTTTACAAAAGCAAAAAGAAAGAAGTAAAACAATTAGAATTGATGGAAAATTTATATTTTTCAGGTATTTTAAGTAAAGTGACGAAGATCTTTGTAATACGTTTATCACATTATGTTTTAAAACACATTGAGAAAAAAAAATGAAAGATGTGTCATGAGGAAAAATCATATGAATTTTTTTTTTTTTTTGCCGCATTTTAAATATATAGAAAGCTTTTCCTACATTTTCCAAATGAAAATGACAAGTTTTAAATTTTATTCGAAACTCGCATGAAAAAAAAAAAAACCACTCACACACACGCGCGCACACAGTATACTTAATCACGTCAAATTTCTTTTTCAAAAATTCAATTCATTCTCATGGTCGATAAAAATTGCAATAATATATCCTAACTTCCATATAAAAATGATTATAAGCTTATATTAAATCTTCTATATAGCAAAAACATTCATTTATACACAATTCATTCTACTTCTTAATAACTATATATAGTTCAATATTTTCAAAGTTCTCACGACATAATAATATTTCTTTTTTAAATTTAAATTAATTATCGTCGCAACACTTTAATTAAGTTGACTTGTAATGCAAAAATGCAATATTTAAAAAATTTACAAGTATATGGAATGAAAATAATGAATTTCTTTGAAAAAGAAGAGAAAAAAAATAATGAATACAGTAGAACCTTCAGCTAAAATGAAATTTGACTAAATTGGGTTCAAATGATTTAAGTAAACCGTGGAAAAAATATATTCATGAACTTTTTAAGAACATTTATGAATATATATATTATAATATGAAAAAATAAATTAATCGAAGAAACTTCCTCACCAGTTCTGGTGGAATGCTATATTAAGAATTACTAAATAAAGAAGAAGTCTCTGTATAATTATAGAAAAAAGAAACAAAAAATTAAGAAAAAAAAAAGTCAACCTTGATTTGTTGTTCCTCAACAGTAGATTCATTTCCTGCTGTCCTTTTTTTGTTCGGATTGTGTGTCATCAGTCACAGAATTCTTGAATTTTGGCAAATTGAATTTTTATTTATTCAATCGTATTCGTGTGATGATTCCATTTTGCCAACGAGACTGTCCCTTTCCTCCTGAGTCGATGGCACTTGAGAGGTCGTGGGCCTGATGACTTTGCTCACTTTACTCAGCCCCTCAGTTAATCCACTTGCGCCCGTCACACTGGAAAATAGACTACAATGGTCATGTTAGATCTTGAAAGTAAATAATTTTTTTTTAAAGGCTTCACAGCGCAATGAAATACAATAAAATTGATAAACAAAAATAATACGAATAAAAAACTATTTTAACATAAAAGTAAAATGAAAAAATAAATAACAAAGGTGCAGAAAAGAGGGAATGTATGATCTAATCTAAAAAAACATTTCTCGGTGCTTTATCAAAAATTGTTACTTACTTGTAAAATAAAAACGAAAGATTTTTTTTCTCCATTAAATAAAATGATAATATAACTTTTTTTCAATATTATTTGTCAAAATCTTTATTTTTAAAATTAGAAACATAAAGAACACAAATTGATATTTTATTTATATTCTTTTTTTTCTAAATACTTCAAATTCTATAGGGAATAAAAAACTAGTATATAAAAAATGTGAAATAAAATTGGAGAAAAATCTTTGAAAAAAATGATTATTGGGGTTTTATTTAAGAAAAAAAGAAGGGGGAAAAATAGGATTTCCAAACGCATTCATCAGTCCCTCCAAACTGTTGTGAATGTTTCAAAGAAATTTATAGTGAGTCGACAAAATATAAAGGACTTTTAGGATCTTTGGGGGTATTGCTGTGAAGCCTGAAATAAAATAGAAAGGCTTCTTTTCAACAAATGTATGCACCAGCTTCCAAATGAAAATTTGCCACACAAAATTAAAAAATTAAGAAGCATTAAATTGTTCACTAGTAATAATTATTTTAGTAATTAATTAATTTAACTTTCCAAATTATGCAAAACAAATTTATTTTTTCGCCTTATTCGGGCATTATTTCCACTTGGATCGAAAGTTAGAAAATTAAAATAGAAAGTAAATTCTAATATTAATACTCACACTACATCCATTTCATCATCGTCATCTCCCTGTAATAGTTCATCATTCAACGTGAAATATGGATTCGCGGAAGCTGGCCGGAACTTGTAACCGGTCAACACAAAGAAAACATAAGTTGCCATCTCTCGAAACATTTCATCTAACCACTCATATTGGAATGGTACTGTAATCTGTGAAAAATTTTTCAATTACATTTTACTAATAAATCAAAAAATTTAATTAATTAATAAATAAATTAACTGATAATATCGAGAATTAACGAATTAAAATAAAAAGTACCTTCATTAAGTACACTATAATCCTAGTAATGTAAATATAGCAGACAATGATAATATAGAAATGCCTAAAAAGCTTCAGTTTTCGTAAATTAACAACGGCCTTGCCGTCAGTGTGCGCAGCTTCTTGGAGATGTCTAATACTCCAAACAACTGGGAACATAATTGCACCACAGCAAAGTAAATCTACTAATATAAAAACATCCCTCCAAGTTTTATGCTCTATATCACCTTCTTCACTCTCCTCAATTATAATTTCCGCCACATTTGCTAAAACCTAAAAAAAAAATCCATTAGTTTCTTTCTTTTTCTTATAAAATTTAAAATACAGAAATAACTTTTTTTTTTACCTGAAGTGGTATGACAATCATAAACACTTTTTTATCTTTATCGGCTAAAATTGGTTTAATAAATGTCCAACCAGTTCCAATTAGTACAATAGTTATGAATAGAACAGCTCCTTTCAACAAATGTGCTATATAGTAAAGAATAGCCCACGCTGCAACATGTTCTCCTTTAGTTTGAATAAAGTGGTAATTAATTCCGTGAAAGAGAAGCGACAGTGATTTAAGGTAGACGAGAATGGCCATAAGATAATGTATTTTGAAAACCTGATGTCTAGAAAATAAATTTCGCTATTTAATAATTCAATTAAATAAAAATATTAAAGTAACATAAATTTTTTTTTTAAAAAAAAACAAATATCTTTAATATTTAATACTAACTTGCTTTTCTTTAAAATAAAGACCCAAAAACAACCGGAGAGAAAAAAGAGAAGTGCCATCATGAAATATAATGCAGGTAATGGCATTTCGCCAGCGCTAAGATAATTATCGCGGTTACTCTCTCTAATGTGCATCTATTAAAATAATTCATAAAATTAATTGCTTTTCAAAATTAAACATTAATTAATTACATCTTCATTCACTTTATCATAAATTATTTATACTTATTATAAATTATGAATGAAATTTATAATTTTATCACTTACCGTAAAATCGACAAGAACATTATCATCATTTTTGTAATTAGGACAACTATGGAAATAGAAATTATAAAGTCCTTCCTCTTCTTTTGTATAAACTTTCATAAAAAAGCTCGTGTTGTAATATTTCTCGCCATTTTTAATATCAACTGTCATTGGCAATTGAAGACGAGAACAAACATTTAAGTCCAAATTTTTGTCCACAGATTCAACAGGTTTTCCAAGTTCTGAAATTAAAAATTATGTCAATCATAAAAAAAAAAAATTCTAAAATATCTTTTAGAAAAAAAAAGATTTCATATTAATCAAGATCTCAGCGTGAATATAAATTTCTTATCTTTTTGGCATTCAGTGTAAAAGGACAATCACCTAATTCGACCCTCAGAAATACATGAGATTCAAGTTATTTATAAGAACGAGAACGATGTCGAATATTTTTAGCAACAACCAACTAAACTTCCCGCTGCCAGATTGATCTTGTCATTACACAATCCAAATGCAGGGAATAAATCGATTAAATCAATTCATTTTTTTTTACTAATCATTAACAATAGAAGTCAAAAATTAAAAAATAGTTGAAATAATTTTTTTCCCCCTTAATTAATAACAAATTTAATAAATTGTCAAAATACAATTAATTTTAAAAAACTGTATTTTTCAGTTTTTTTTATTAATATTCAAATTCCAAAATAATAGAATAGAACAAAAAAAATTTCTCGTTATTTCTTTTTGAAATCAAAAGATGAGAAACGATTATGAAATAGTAAACTGGAAAATGATTTTCAAGATTTGTCACTGATATCTGATGACTCACGCGAACGATATGTTTGCATATGCCAAAATATAAGCGTCCACCTGTTGAATTGCGGTTACACGCTATGAATTTAATAATAACTTCAAGACAGCGAACATCGGAGAGAAATTTTAATAACATCACAAAGAAGAGGAAGAAGAAGAAGAAGAAGATGGAGAAATGTTCTCTTTCAAGATAAATTTCATCTTATTGAGATATACAATATTGTGCCAGATGCTGTGTTTATATTGTGAATTCGCGATCAAAGAAGAGGGAAATAAACGCCAGGACAATGTAACGCCTATTCTTCTCGTCACAGCTCGTTCAAAACTACCCCATTGGAATTGGGCCAAAATTACGCGTGCCCTCTCATAAAATATATTATTCTCTTCAAGAAACATGAAATATATACTCGCGAGAGTCTTCGAGCAGAAATTCTACATAATACAATAATTTTTCATTTAAATTACCAAAAATCCCGTTTTTCATTTAAAAAATATTTTCTACATAAATTAAATTTAAATTCAATTCTACTTTTAATTTAAAATCCCCATTTAAAAACTTGTAAATTATTTCCTTTCGAATTAAAAGAAAATTAAGAGCATTTCATTGAATTTTAAATAATGGAAAAACAAAATTTGACAATAAAAAAAAAAAGAAATTAATTAATTACCAGAACCGGAAGTGTTACGTTTACGCCGTGAAATGAGAGCACTATCACTGAATGGAGTTGATAGAGAACCTCTCTTGGCTCGAACAGCTGGCATCATGCTCTCATCTTTGTAAATGTGAACAATATTAACACTAAGACTGCAATTAACTCTCATTCTGCAACAGATAACATTTATATTTAGATGAAATTACACATGTATTAAATAATGAGACGAAGTTTATTAAGAGATGAAAATAAAAATCCCCCAAATTGAAAAGAATAAAAAATAGAATTTAAATAAATAATTTCACTTAATGATTAAATTCTAATTTTTTTTTTCCAAACTAAACGTCGATTTTTATTTTCACATCTTTATAATAAATAAGAAAAAAATATATTACGTATTGTTCTTTAAATCCATTGTGAAGTAAATAACTTCACTATCATCTTTTTTATCCAATAATGTTTTTGGATTCGATGATCCTTGTAATAGACATTTCTCCTGATGACTTTCCAAATATGGATTCATCGCATCACTTTTAGTTCGATCCAATGTGAATCCAAACTAGAATAAATAATAACATAATTGTAAATAAATTTATAATTTTATAATTATTAAAATTATTATACAAAAATATGAAAATAATTTAAATTTTCAATAAAAAAATATAATAGTTATTAATCAATAAATGCCCCTTTTTGAAAATTAAAATTTTAACTAACAAAAAGTGAAAATAGTGCCAATAAATGAAAGATATTGTTTGCATAACAAAATAGGGTTAATCTCTCTATAAAATAATGAAAGTAAATATATTTTCAGATAATGAAAACTTTCATGAAGTTGTTAAAGTCGTTTCACGGCTTTTAAAATTCCTAAGCGTGTTATTGTTTGAAAATTTCGTGCCAACATTTTGTTTCACCTAAGTATTCAGTTACTCATTTCCTGTAATATTCAACAATGATTTATAATCTTTAACAAACTTTAATTTAGTTGAAAATATAATGAACAAATAATAATAATACTAATAATTCTAATTAATAATTAATTAATTGAATTATTTAAAAAAGTAACAAAAAATTTGAATTTCAGTTTTTCTATGAGAAATCAGTAAATAAATTTATCAAGATTAATTAATTAGTTAGACAAGTGATTATTATTTGCGTATTATTATTATTATTTTTCTTTTTTAACTTTTTTCATATCTTTACAAACACATTCTTAAAGGAACAAATAAAAATCGTCCACTTTAATATATTATTTGTTTTGGCCTTGAACTAATATTGATAGATTAACATTCCTTTATTCAGCTTTCATACGTCATCAGCAGAAATCGATATCAATTGAAAAATATATTAGTTTTTAAGGTAATCCACTACAAAAATATAAACTAAAGAACTTTTTTTTTTCAAATTTCACAAATTAATCATCAAAGAAGATAAAAATAGATGATTCTTTTCACTTTGCCATTCAAGGACATGTGTTGTATATATATGTTATTAATAGATTTTTCACAATTCTTTATAAAAATATTTCCCCAAGCGTTAATGCTCCAATTATTCAAATTTGCATTATAAATAAAATTATTGATTAAAAAATTTTGAACATAAATAAATTATACATAATTTATTAATAAATAAAGTAATAAAATTATCAAAGAAAACTTATTTAAAACTATAAACTATTCTAAACTATTATTTAAAGTAATTATTTATAAAATCCACATTATTAAAGTCTCAATCTAAAAATCAATATTTCATTTTCATTCACAGAGATAAAAGAGTAAAATAATTTAGTTCTGTGCATAAAAATTGAAAAGCATTGTAAATGTTACAGATAAAATCACAAGCTTTTTAAAAAGGCAATTAAATTAAAAAATAATTGGTCAATAATTATGATAAGAAATATTAAAACTTAAAATATTTACCACATGATTCTCATTGAAGCGACTAGCCTTGAAATTCGTCAAATTCACACTTAATACACCTCCCATGTAAAATCCAAATGTACTTAACGAAATGAATCGTCGATTATCATTCTGCAAATTAAAAAAAATTATCATAAGTCTCTAGGATAATAAAAAAAAACACAATCATTTCAACATAACCGGTAAAAGTTTTCCAGTTTATTTAAAAAAGATATTTTGTAAAAATAAATAATTATTTTTAAAGAAAAACAAATTTCTTGCTTTTAATATTTTTTTTCTAAACAATTAAAAGAAATAAACTGAGAAATAATATTTAAAAAAAAGAAAAATATATCAAATACTGTTCAATACGTAGTAAATTTACCCTTATTTCCAATTTGTGAATTCTTGCAGTGACAATGCCTAAAGTCAAAAGTATCCACAAGGTACCAACAAAAACATTTTTTCTCAACATTTTGACAAAATTATTTTTTAAATTTACACTTTTTACATTACGAATTAATAAAACAGAGAAATACACGGAAATAGCCTCGCCTTGTGTGTCGCACTAAATACACTCTTAAAACTAAAATATATTATATTTGTAGAATTAATGTAACTAATTAAATTTTATTTGTTTATTCTTTCTAAATTTATACACTTTCACGCGACATTAATTTCTTTTCAATAAGAATAATTGATTTTGTGCAGGAGTTACTAAAATAAAGCAGACTTCTGCCAACCTTCTTGGAATGAACATAACCTACAAATGAGAATTTGACGTTTTGACACATCTGTTTTACCGTCTAAGTTTTAGAAATTTTTTTTTAATTTTTTATCGACAGATAAAAATTCCATCTTAGTTCCGTTTATTCTCACTAGAGCAAAATCAGTACTTTTTAAAAATATATTTTAAAAATAATTTCTAATTTCTAAACAACGGTTTTTCTTTATAATTAGAGTGGAATATGTAAAAATAACCACTTTTAATTTAATAACAAATATCTTCTATTAATTAAATTGTAAGGGAATTATTAATTATATAAATATTGTAAACAATTTTGAAGTTAGAAGCAAGTAACTTTTTTTGTTTTTCCTCAATTTCGACTTTTCATTAATAAAAACAAGGTAAACATTCAATCAAGTAACTAAATAGTAGAAGAAAGTAAAAAAAAAAAAACAAAACTTATCTAACGATCAGTTTTTCAATTAATAACATCATGTTTAATAACGAAATGTCTGAAGTAAGATGAATCAATGTCTTATTATTTTGAGGTTATGTCTAATAAATATTTTTTTTCAGGAGACATTTGAGGAGCTTTTGAATATTATTGAAAAGAATTTCGCGTCATTACAAATTCTAGACTGTGATTCTGAACATAAATTAATTAAATCCGAAGGATTTTCATTTAAAAGATCTTATCAATCTGGACATTGCAAAAACATTGTTACCACACACATGTGGAAAGAATACTTTGATACAAATTTAAATTCAAGGTATGTAATTAAAATATTTTTTCTTATCATAAGTAATATGTTTATCGTTTTTTTTATATTGTTACAATTTGTAATTTAAAAATTCTAATTATGTTTGCAATTTTAAATAATTTTTTTTTGATATTATGAATATTTAAATTTAATTTGTATTTTCGAGTTGCTCCTAAATATTTTTTATGTTAGACAGGTAAAAGACTCTCAATGGCAAGAAAAATCTAAAGGCAATGAACCAGACAATCTACAAAAGAATAATTTAACATTAATCGCATCTGCGGCAATTAAAAATCAAGTATTTCAAAAGATAACAAAAATGAAGGAAGAAAACCCCGAATACATGGAAGTAGAGGAATCAAACATTGGCGGAATATTGGCAGAAAAGCCAATATATTCTCGTATCGGCCCTAAAAAATCATTTCCATCTTTTTTTCCCCTTCCACCTACACCAACGACAACTTTTGTTACAAACAGTACAACCTCGATAGTATTAACACCATCGAAACTTGCGAGATCAAGTCGTTCTAGTATCACTCCTGTTTCAAATTTATCCGAAGACGAAACAACTTCCTTAAATGTAAGTCGATCATTTGGACAATTTACATTCAAACAAAATGAAATAAATGATGTAAAGGAAAATTTAAACATAACGAAACCAATTCCCGCTATTAGGAATTCAGTTTCCAAAGAAATAATCGACGTAAAACAGGAACTTGAGAAAGGAAAGAGAAAACTACGTCCATTAATGCAAGAAAAGAAACAGAAACCAATTTACAGTTGTTCTTGTTGGCAAATTATTTTCTTTCTACTACTTCCTGTTTTGGTTATTTTGATATCGGCAATTTTCAATCAACCAGAAACAAGTACAATGTTTTTTAATCCAACATTTAATTTTACAAATGTCACGGAAAATCTTCCAAAATTTGTTCACGGACAAAATAAAGCAATTATGGATATTGTTGAATTTTTCAAATTGGATAATTCAAATTTTAAAATTATCACATTTATCGGTGGAACGGGTGTGGGAAAAACTCACGTGGCAAATATTATAAAAGATTCATTGCCAAATAATTATTATAAATTTGAATATTTCCCAACAATTTATAATAAAATTGGTGAAGCTTATTCAAAACTTTCAATTTGTCGATGCAATATTATTGTTTTGGAAAATTTAGGAAATGATGATATTTCAGATGCAGCATATTTTGCTTATTCATTGAAAAAACGTGCATCAAATCTTTGTGTATTAATTCTTGCATTATTTAACACACAAGTTACCGACAATTATCTCAGACGTAGTTTAGATTTAGAAGGAAGTGCAAAAAATATTGAAAATACATTCAAAAAAGAGAACGTGGAAATAAAATCAATAATATTTGAACCACTTGGAGAAGAATCAATTGTGAAATGTATAAAAGATGCAATTAATGAATCACATTTAAAAGTCACCAATGAAGACTTTAATCAATTAAAGGAACATTTATTGATATCGAATAGTGGTTGCAAGGGAGCATATTCAAAAGTTCAACTCTTTGGAAAAGTCATTGACTGAAAAAAAACTGTGATTTAGAAATAAAAAAAAAAAAAAAAATTCTCTTCAAAATTAGACAAATTTCAAGAAATTCAAAATTTCATTTAACTAATATAGAAAGATATTGGAAAATTAATAAAATATACCTTTAAATCAATTTTTGATAGGTATTTTTATTAATTTTTTTTTCTCTTTTCAATCATCTAAATTATTTTTCTCTAATTAATTTTTCTCAGTGTAAATAATCACTATCGTGATACATTCCTATATTTAGAAAAAAAAATAATAAATAACGGTTAGAAAAAGTTAGTATTTTTATATTATATATTTAAAATTACACAAATATTTTATTTTTTTTACGAAAATGTATATTTGTGCATTTTTGAATCGTCGTCGTTTTTTTTTTATAAACCTATTAAGACTGTTGTAACATGCTATTAATATTATAATATTTGTATTCTGGATGAAAAATCCCACGAGTTAATGATAAAAAAAAGAAAATAATTTCTAATTACTACGTAACTTTTTAGATTCGGATTATTTCTTTATCCTGATTTTATATCAATAATAAAATTGTACAAAGCTAGAATTTCTCTTCCGCGTTGATTAAGGCATAGATAGTAATTTACGAAATTTGTTTTTTTTTTTTTAATTTAAATCACTAGTTATTTAGAATTATTACACATTATTTTTTTTTTAAACAACCATAAATTAGATTAAAGTTTTATTTGTTTTATTATTTTATTTTTAAAATATTTTTTCGATTCATTTTAATTTTTGTGCATTCAATAATAAGAAAAAATTATTTCAAACTTCAGTTAATTTGAGTCAAATTATCTCGCTGACAAAGTAACAATTTGCACACTTTAACTTTGCAGCGCTATTAATCGTATTTCACTTTCTTATTATTTATAAGCACCCAGGAGTTGATTTGATATTGCGTGTCAAACATCGTAACAAAATTGTTACGGTTATGCAAAGTCAAAAGAACCAACAAGAATAGAATTCTAGATACTCTCTCCTTTACTGGGTCAAATATTCTTTCTAACTTTCAGATCGTCTCGTTATTTTTTTTTTTTTTTTGATAAAAAAAATTCTGTTATTTCAAATTATATCGAATATCCCCATTGCAAATACGATTAAATTACGTGAAAAGAAAAGAAAAAAATCATTTAGTCAATATTTTGCTTCTAAAGAAATTTTTTCAATTTTGAAAATGTAAAAGAAAATTATTATTAATCAATTTTTTTAATTTGCCATTTACGATTAAAAAATTCTCTAAATTTAATTTTGTGAAATGAAAAAAAAATCTAGTTAAATATAAATTGCAGCTTTGCGAAAGAAATAATTTTCGTGCCTTAATTTATTTTTTTTTGCATTGTAAAATAATAGTTAGAAAGAGGAAATTAAATCTATGACGATAAATTCAAGTTTTCTTTCTTTAGTGCTCTTCATATATATATATACTTGATTGAAAAATATATAAATACACTTGATTTACAAGTATTCCACTTTCGATGAAGAATCTATTATACACGTGCTTAATCTAATAGTGTAAAATTCTTACATAAAATGTTATTATCGCATATATACGATTTCTTGCGCAAGTGAATTCATACAATATAATTTTTTTTTTTCAACGTTCAATTTCATAATTATTAAGTAATATATTCCCTACTGTAATGTAATACATTTAGCATTTTTCACTTGAAGTGAAATTAAATAGAAAAATAAATTTTCATTTAGAATATTTATATACCTATATATGAAACAAATCGAAGCGGTGCACAGTACTGAACTTTTTAACGATATCAGTGAATTTATATCGTGTTAGAATTTGATGATTGATATTTTTTTTATATAATTTGATACAAGGAGAAATTGAATTATAAAATTATTTATTAATATTTAATTTAAAATGTTCTTTATTTTTTTATACCAAAAAATTATATTTTAAATTGTTTAAATTAAAAAATAAATGATTAGATAATTAATAGTAATATAATATAAAAATAGTTATAAAAAATATTTTAAATTAATTTAAAAAAGGAAAAATCGAATTTTAATTTTTTAAAAATATATTGTCGATTAGATAATGAAATAATATTATGTGTATCAAAAATGAAATTGAAAGTTACATTTCAATTTCTTTGATATATTTTTTCAAGGTAGAGATTCTATAATTTGAATTATGATAAGTTGTATTGAAATATAATACATTTCTCCAATGTTTAGAAACAAGTTTAATAATTTATGAAAGGGCCTAATCTGAAATGATCTCAGTAGGATGAGATTTCTTAATGTCTGAATCTTTACGCGGTTATTCAACATCAAACATATTCGTTATGAAAAATAGATGAAAGCTTGCATTCCATTTAACTAGAATTTTTTTTTCATCTCATGGCAATTTGAATAAATATTTATAAAAATAAAATATTCCTGACGATATTGTGGTTTCTTTTTTCTTTTACTTCAACTCTTTTAAAATGTTAAATATTGTATAGAAAATAATTTCCGACTTTGTCATAGATATATGACAAAAAAAAATTAATATTGTGCTTTCTTGACTATGTATTAGTTTTTTTGTTTTCTTTTTTTTTGCAGTGAAATACAAATTTTTTGATGCTATTTTATGCGCTTATGTCAGGCCTCGTGTCTAATTTATAGTCTCTTGGTTTTTTTTCAAACTTTCAGAGCTCATTTTTGCAAAGAACAAGAAATTTTTTTTTTTCAATCTTAGAGAATTTATACAATGGTCTTCCATGCGTGCCCGTGAGTCATGTTCGTTTCTCCAATTACGTGTAAACTACGTTAAAAAACAAATCTTCAAGAACTTCTCTAAACCAAAGACTTTTATTGTCCTCTACATTATAACTTTCTCTCACAATTTTTAAACAATATATAATGTTGAAATTTTGTCGAATGTTGAAAAAAAAATCGCCCATAAATTCTTTAGCAAAAAACTTTAAAAGAGACAGACTGTAAATTTTAAATATGTGATTGTTTCGTTTATTTTAAAACAATCGATTGCAAAATTTTAGTTATCAATATATTTTCACAGTTTGGAATTTTTTTTGTTCGTTATATATTTTTTTTTTCAAATTAATATATTATAAAATATTTTATTGTTTTATTTTATAATTAACTTTTTTTTGTATTTATTTTGACATTTAAATTTTAAAATATTTAATTTTTTTTTCTAAATTTGACACTACTGAATTTAAATAATTAAATTGAATATAAAATTATGTACGAAAAAAGTATGTTTTTTTTAACTATAAAGGAAAAAGTATTAAACTTTTATTTAATGATGTAACAAAGGTTGAAATTTGCGTATTACATCTTAAGTTTATGTAGTTATTTAAATATTAAATCAATCAACATTGTTATTCCTTTGTATATCTAATAAGATAAATTGAAGTTAAAAAAAGTCCATATTAATTAAAACTGTATTAATAAGTTACAAGAAATCTTTTTTTTTTTTACATTTCCACGTAAACTACATATTTTCCACGTGTATGTTTATCAATTACTAAAATGGAACTTAAAAACTTAATTAATTTTATTTCCATATTTTTTTTAATATTATTTATTTATCAAAATTTAATTTAATTAATTAATTTATTTCAATTTAGAGATTTAATTATTTTTATCAGAATTATTTAATTTAATAATTATATTTTATTTACTTTTTTTCTATTGAACTATAAGAAATTAATGTATATCAAAAATAATAATTCGAACCACTAATAACGAAATCTACCAATATTTTGAAAAACCAACTAAATGAAAATTCACAAAAAACTAAACTAAAAAAATTTTTACCAACAAAAAAATAAAAAATTGTAATTTATACAAAAGACTGCAATAATTATTAATTAAAATAACCAACAATTGGGAATAAAAAGAAGAAGAAGAAGAAATTTAAAAATCTCGAAATAGCAATTATTGCAAAATAATTTTTTTTTTTGCGATTATTGACCCTCCTTGAAGACATAATATTGTCCTTCAAAGATGAATTCAGGATGAGGAATCTTTTGTTTTTATCATTGAGACTATGATTAGTAAGTCAGGGACCACCTTATCGAAAGACTAGCCATCTTGCAGGTCAAGATGGATTATAAGAGAGTGGAGAAAGATACGCATACTCCTGACGGAAATTATAAAAGTGGGCCCAGTACTTGTGAAGGGGGTCAGTCGTTGAATAGTGTCGCGGACGAAGACTTCGCTTTAGGGGGTACGTTTTGCATATTACAATTCAATATAATAGTAAACAAGCAAAAAAAATTCTTTTTCAAAAAATAAAAATTAATTTCTGTAAAAGAATGTGTGACAAAAAATTGGAAAAACCAAATAGTGTGTTAAAACAATAAATCGTGTAAATTAATAATAAATCGTAAATAAAAAATTGTGCTTTGTTTTCAATATATTTATAATCTATAAATTCATTCGCGATGATAAACTAAAGAGAAAGTGAAAGGATATATACCAATGCAGGGCAAAAAAAATATTGTCTTTGTTTAGTCAAAAAAAAAAATCAAACTTTACCTGCATTTAAATTATATAAAATTTATTTTTAAATTCCCTTGTCAATAAAGACCGGTTTTTATCTCGATTTTTTTGTTTATTATTTCTAATTTTTCGTTTTATGTCTACTTCATTGTCGAGACCAGGAATCTCGTCTTTAATATTAAACAAACAAAAAATAAATTCGACAGCAAATATTTAAAAAAATTTTATAATTTAAATTTCTAACTTTTTTCTTTTCGAAATTTATTTATTTAAATAATTAATTAAATCAATTTTCTTTTAATACTTTAATTAGAATTTCTTTAAACTTTTTTTTTCTTCCTCTTTGCATTTGACGTAAGAATGTTTTTCCAGCGAAGGCAAACAAACTAGTTCTTCAATATAGAAATAAAAAGTAAATAGGCGCGGTAGAATGTTTAATATTCCAAATACAGAATCTCTTTGATTTTCATAATACGAACGCCGAATATGACGAGAAGAACACCTCAATGGCAAATTTAATTCAATGTCAAAAAAAAAAACTATTAATATTCACAATTCATTGTAGGTCAAAGTCAAATTGTCAATTGGTGAGTCTCAAAAAATAATTTTCTATCAAAAAGGAGAAAAAAAAATTTATTAATTTTTACTTTAAACCAAAGAGGAAAAATAATAATTAGATTAACAAAGAATTTTTTTTTCACTTTTCCTACATTTATTTTTTTATTTTATATTTGCCATTTTCTTTATTTTTTTGGTAATTTGTTTTTTTTATTGTAATTTATGGCTTTCTTTTTTTTAATATAGTAATTTGATGATAAAACTTGCATAATAAGTAATAATGTAATAATAAGGGATGTCTCTCTTTTCCATATTTAAAGAAAGGAAAATTGAAACCATAATCAAAAACTACTTTGCAATTTCAAGTTCCATAATTACAGTTATGTCAAGTATTATAAAAGGATTACGCGAGCAGACATAATACCAAACGATAGACGATTGACATCTCATGAACGCAGAAACATGATAACTATTGCTTTCTATGCGGAAGAATAGTATTCGTACATATACGTATTCTACACCTATTAACCTGAAAGCCTGTTTTATAGACTGTGTACTATTTAGCAGTCTACGTTTAATTCCATGAAGTTTACAACTCTTTAAATATTATTCAACATCCAATAACTAATCAGGGTCAAAATATAAAATTAAATCTTATTTTAGAAGTTTCATTAAATTCTCGTAACGAATCGTTCAAGGCTAAAAGATCTGTGTGTAATAGAATTTCATAAATTTAACAATAACTTCTTCATTTCTCCTAAGAAAATTTTTACATTCAAGAAAAAAATAAAAAATAAATTGAAATAATTAAAACTACCAACAATTTTTTCATTCTATACCAACAAAGAAACAACGAATAATTATTGAAAATTGTAACTACCAACAATTGGAAATGCAAAAAAATATATTTACCAACAATTTCAACTAGAAAAAAAAACTATCCACCACAGGAACTATAATTAACAAGAATTTATTAATAATACGAAAAATTCTCCATTACTTGCGGAATAATCGAAATTCTTCAATTTTTTTTTTTGCAAATTTCAAAATCATTAATTTCCATTCTAATTAACAGTATTTTACTGCACTAATTTTTTTTTCCTCTTCCTTCTTGGAAAAATTGCAAAATGTATGCAATAAAATATTTCTTTCGCCCATTGTGAAGCAATACATAATTTGTCCACAAAGAAAAATATTTTTATTATCCTGTGCAAAAATTAATGAACTAGTTTTGTTTTTTATATTTTGAACTGAAAAAATAGAATGTAAACAAGAAACTTGAAATATCAAACGTAAATGTTTGACTAGTTTAGAAAATTTTTTTTCACAAGATGTCTAGAAAATTCATCAAAAAAAAAAACTAGATTTTTTTTCCCCCTCCTCTTGTAAATAAAATGTAAATATCTAGATTAGAAAAAAAGATTAGACTTTATAATTTATCGATCTAATTTTAAAAAGTTGTTACAAAAAACCAGACAATTCTCACATAAAGAATTTGTAAAAAAAAATTATTATCGAATAACAAAAACTGAAATTCGATAAAAATTCCTAAGCAAAAAAGAATAAAAAAAATTCGGTAAAATTTAAATAGCGTTCCAGTTCATTAGATTTTTTGGGGTCATGAGCGTGCGATCGTCGTTTTCATTGTTAAAATCGTGAGAGGCGCAAAGAGAAGAAACAAAGGTGGGTTAACAACCCAACCAGCCTCTTATGCAATTGGAGAAAGTTGTTGCAAAACACTCACACACGTGTATGAGATCGTTTCCCACACAAATATATATATAGTTTGAATCATAAATGTTTGTGTGTGCCTCGCGTATTATTTGTTATATCATAAGCACACTTACTTTTGGTCCAGCGATTATATTAGTGTATGATGCAACATTATGACTACGTATTAAGTAATTCTGTATAATATATTTACCAGATCTCTAGAAAATGCGAGCAACGTCTCATATTCAATATATATATATATATATATATATATGTGGTATTGGAATCAAGAAATTAGGTCACCAGGTCGATTTTATCCACAGCTGCCCTGAAAACGAAAGTGAAATTAATTTCCTTAATTCCAAGTTGATTTTTATCGTTATTAAATTATTCAGAAACACACATTAAATGCTAGTTGAAATTTAATAACTACTGCTTCTCATTAACTTTATATATTTAGTTTCTCTTTATAAAAAAAAATTTGTTTAAATTATTTTTTCATTAATTAGTCTTAAATGTCAAACAAATTATTCATTCAAGTTGAACCAATAAATTTCAACAAAAAATATAAAATTAATCTAATAAGTGTAAAATCCTGATTTTTATATTTTCAATTTAGAGCGAAAAATACGATTATGAGAAAAACAATTATCCTGATTTGCAACCAACCTAGAAACAGAAAATATGAAATAAAAATAATAAATATTATATTTCAGACTAAAATTCCAGTGTGAAACAAAAAATAAAGAAAAAAAAATGGGTGGCGTCGAATGGGCAACCGAGGAAGATGATTACGAGTGTCCATTGTCAAAGGAGACACAAAAAATGGCCAAAGATGAACTTCGCGAGGACAAAAACACAAGGGATCAGGCTTTGGAGCAAATTAGAAACTGGGTAAAACTTAATCCAAGGATTGAAAATTCCCGAATGGGTGAGGTTCTACACATAAATTCTAAATTATAATCAAATTGTGTAACTTTATATGAGACGTATTATATAAGTCTTAGGGATTTCTGACAAGTTTTGTCATAATCAATAGGTGGCTAAGCAATTTCAAATTATGTTACAAAATTTCAAATTGACTATAAGAAAATTTTTTTTTTTCTTCTAAAATTATTCTCATTACATAATAATAATAATAAAAAAAAAACAATCCAATTTACATTCTCATTTACAATTTTTGTTACAACCAATTAATTTTGTGACATAATTTCGAGAAATTGGTTTATTAAGTTATATAGGGAAAGTCTAATTAGTGGAGAGCAATTAATTAAATAACTACCACTATTTATAATAAATAGCAAAGCAAAATTAGAATAAAAAAAGTTTTCAATTCATTTTTTAAAATTCTAATTTTAATTAAAACAAAAACAAAAAAATTTAGAAATGTTTCTATTTTTCTGCGAATTGTAAAATGTGATTTGAGATGAGTCATTATTAAAAATCTTCAAAATTGATTACAAGAAAGGCGAGGTTTCAAGGTAAAAAAGAGTCTGAGGAGTTTAAAACATCGCTCATTCACGATTACGACATTCAAGGTTACTTTCGATTGCACTTCTGGTATCTAGAAATTATTTTCATCTCCTTTAGAGATCAATTTAAATAAGTGAAAATAAAATTAAATTCGAATTTCATTTTCAAAAAAATTTAAATAATTTTTTTAATGTATTAGTGAAAAAAATATTTTATTATAAAAATATACTATAAAAAGTTAATGTCAATAATAGAATTTTTAAATTTATAAATTAGAGTATTTATATATTTTCAAAAAAACTGTACGGTGAATAAATATGAATTTTCGAATTGCATGAGATAAAAGGATCGAAAACATTGCAACATGAACATTAGAAGGGAATACATGACATTTGGCGAATGTAAATGGCACAGATTTCACATCATGAATTTTCATAGATAAACTTGAAATAAATTTTTGTAAAATTCAATTATTTTTCGTTGTAATATTTTTTCTACTTTTAAAATTAATTAATGCAAGTCATTTATAAAATTGAATTGAATTCAAAATGATTAAGTATTAAAAATAATAATCAATTAGAAAAATTAATTTTTTAAAAATATTAATTAAGGGAGAAATGAGAATTTTCAAAATTTCAGATGGTCGATTTTTCCTAAGATTTCTGCGATGCAAAAAATTTAACGTACCCATGAGCCAAGAGGCAATTGAAAGGTATCTTTTATTACGTCAAGTTTATCATCCAGCATTTAATCATTTGGACATTACTGAACCAACAATGGAAGAATTACTTTCTCTCGGGTAAGATTTAAAGAAAAACAAAATATTAATAAAAAAAAAACAATCACATTAAAAATATAACTAATCATTTCTTAACTCTTTAGATATCTTTTCGCGGTTCCTGGTCGAGATGTTAAGGGCCGTCGTGTGATTGTCGCTAGACCCGGTAAAAAATCAGCGTTACGATTGAAAATGCAGAAAAAAAACAGCACCCAAAAATTAAAAGCACTGATAAAAATTTTAAATAATTAACTTTGAATTGAATACCAAAAAAAAAAGAAATTAAATCTGTTTAAATATCTTAACGCTGACTATCAAAGATATGAGAGAAAAAATTATACTGAAATTTTTTTTTAAATTTTGAATTCAAATTATATATATATATATATATATATATATATATATATAACACTATTATTAATTTTAATAATTTTTCGTTACTGTTATGTTAATTATGTAAAATTTGTTCTCTCACGTCTTAAATTATAAATCTAGGATATATTTGAAAAGCATACCATTTGTCCTTTAGGAGTATTTGATCCGTATAAATATTCAAATGCCGACATGTGTAAAATTCACGGGATCACTTATGAATCGCTGATGGAAGATGAGGAAAGTCAGGTCCGTGGCTTCGTTCATTTCGCAGATGGTGCAGGTGTCAGCTTTCCTCATTTAACTCTCTTCACTCCAAAAGAAGCAGTTCGTATCGTCAAAAATGGCGAAGTAAGACAATCCATTTTCCTATACAGAAAAAAAGCAATTAGAAATAAATAATTATTAAATTTCTACAACTTTAAATTATAATTAAAGTTATAAAAAATATATTATCGAGATCTCAAATTTAATATTTTTATTTACTATTTCAGTATTAAAAACATTGATATAATCAATTTAATTTTAAAAATTAAAATTTTTATTAATAATAAATAAAGATATTTTAATTATTCTAATATTAAATTTTCGCTCTGTTAATTCAGAAGTAGTTTGCATTTTATAAATTTCAAATTTTTAAATATTAATCCATTAGGCAAAAATTTGAATATTTTGCAAGAAATATTAATTTCAAAGTAAATAGTAATAAACACCTCAAATCCTATATGATATTTATTCCTTCAAATGGATTATATGTGATTAACATATCCAGTTTTTATCAGAAAAAAAAATAATTTTTTTTTATCCACTCTTTCTCTTTCTCTCATCGATTTAAAATCTAGGTCTCACTGGATATAAAGTTCGTTTTCGTTGACCCAGGAAAGATTTTGTCCTCTTTTATTCCGCGGAGTGCAACTTCCAAGGCCACTCACGTAATAAATTATTTCATAATATTTCTTTTAGAGGCTCGCCAAAGACCACGTGAAACCGGTTGTCGTCTTTCACCTCATGGTCCCGCGCAAAGATAAATTTCATCTTTGCAAAATATCCATCAGCTGCAAAAAAAAAAAAAAAGAATAAAAATTTAAAAAAAATGCACATAAAAATTTTTCATTTATTTTTTTCTATATTATTAAAACTAAAAAAAAATATTTTATTTTTCGTCTAGCGAACCGTCCCAATGAGACACAAAGAAGTTCACGCAATTAATGCTCATCCTTCGCTCAAGTTTGCCTTGGATTTTGGAATGTCTCTGATTTCCGAAAAGATTAAAAGTCGAGTTAAAATTTACACTAGCCTTGAAGATGCGAAAAATAATAAAATGGACACTAGTATGCTACCAAAAGAATACGGTGGTACCATGCCAATGAAAGAAATGATTGGTAATTCGCTTATTTACTATTAAATTTAAAAAAAAAGTTATCAATATTGGAAATATAAATAAAATAAAAATCATTCATCTCCCTCAGTTACAAAAAGTTTTTTTTTTGCGCAGATCTATGGCGAAAGGAATTGCTTGCAATTCGACCAATGCTTCTCAATAACGATAAGATGCGAGTGCGCATGGAATTATATTCGGAAAAGGCAAGAGAAGGTGCAGTGTCAGCTTTAAAACAAGGAATGAATTGTTTCTCCGCATCATCCAATGGAGATCCAACAATTCACGGAATTAGTGGCTCATTCCGAAAATTAGAAGTTGATTAATGTTTCAAAAAAAAAGAAACATCTAATTTATAAAATATCATATTAAAATGTAAGATAATGATCTATTCATGATCAAATCATCTTTAGATATAAATAAGATCATCTTTTCCTACATTCCCATTAAAAATGATTATCCTTTTTTTATACATTCACTTATATACTATTTTCTTTAAAAAAATAAGAAAATTCTATTTTTCATATAATCGCACCTTGTAGTTCAAGTTTGTACAGTGTGTTTTATCAAAATAAATATATATATAAATATTTTTAGATTAAATATAATCAAGATTTTATTTTCCTCGATTTATTTTCTTTCTTCTCTCTTCCTTTTTTTTTGATCACTCTTTAAACTTCTAATTAACCTACATTAAGAACTATACAATTTTTTTCATTTTATCAATAACATTCCGTGGAAAACAGTTTTTTTTTTTTTTGTTTCTTCTTCATTTTATAAAAAATACTTTATAAATGCGTAAATTAATCATTTCACTGAGTTTACAATTAGAAATTATTAAACTATTTTTTCTCATCGTCCTCCGATTCTGTTGTATCCCATTCATAATATTCTGGAACAGTGACTTTTTGTTCAATTGACTTCATTTTTAATTGTTCCTTTGGATTTGATTTCACAATTTTTTCATTTGAAATTGATTTTAATTCTAATTTTTCAACAATTTCGGGTTCATCATCGTTATTATCGCTTGAATTTGAAGAATTTGATGTTGACGAAGCGGGTGAACTCGATGAATTCGACGATGAATCATTCATTGATTTGTCTTTTACGATACTAACATCATCGTCCCATTTTGATTCAATTTGTTCTTTAGTATCATTAGATTTTGAATCTTTCACGTAATCATCATTTGTTTCTATATTACGCGAACGTTTCGCTTTTTTTCGTGAACTACGATGTTCTTCTTTTGATCTTTCTCGATCGTGACTTCGTTTTCTGTGTCGGCTACGATCACTACGTGAACGATGACTTTTTGAATATCTCCTATGATCGGATCGTCGATGCCTCGAATTACCATTTCCATTTCTATGTTCATCATCATAACGACTTGAACGTCTACTTGAATTTTTATAATGTTTCGAATAATATTCCTCATCCGATGTATCATCATAATCACGATTCACTTTACTGTCATTGTGATGATTACGAAATCTGCTGGAAGACGGATAATTATTTCTTTTCGAATTTTGATAACGATCATCCGAATAACGACGACGACCATCCTTGTGATCTGGTTCTGGATCTGGTGAATCCCATCTCCAGTTTCGACTATTATTATCCATATCGCCACGTACCGAATCATCCCAATTCGATTTGTGCCTTAAAGAAAACGTAATTTAGAAATTTTACAAACTATTCATCAAAACGGCATTTAAATGATTAAAATATTTACCTGCTTTCGCTTCTTCGACTACTTTCGTCAAGTCTCTTTACCCATCTCGGTGGACTCTTAACATCGTATTCGTTATTAGGATTTCTAAAGACATGTAAAAAATTGCAAAATCTGCCCTTCGGACATCTCGCCATTCCACAAATCGCAGTTCTCCATGATTTAATACCAGTGAATTCACAATGAATTTGTCGTCGTGCAAACCATCGGCCTTTTAATTTTCGAACCGCTCTAAAAACAATATCAATTTATTTAGAAATGATAATTTTTTTTTTTTATTTCAACTTAATTATATTATATTTATTAAAAAATTGTTTACCTTGCAGCATCTCGTTCAGTAAAATATTCCACATAAAGATTCCCACGTAGATGAGCCTCTGAATTTCGACAAAATTTTAATGTTTTAATTTTACCAAAACTTTCAAGCTCAGGAACAACGTCTTTGTAGAATTCTTCAAAATGTTTTCGCAATTCAGAACGATCAACTTCAAGAAACGAATCATTATCACCGTCGGCTGGATTATTTTCCAATGAATAGTGAGAATAAAATCCAGGAATTAAAATCACTTTACTGAGACCAACTTTTTGATGATTTCTTGAACAGACATCGCCATATCTGAAATTATAAATATTATAAATATTATAAATAAAATAATAAAATTACTAATGCAATAAAAAAAAAATTATAATTAATTAAAAAATTATAAATACCTGCAGGATCCAGTTTTCGTGAAGAATTGACAAATTTCCGCAGTTTTAGATTGTGTTTCTGTGATTGTGCGCAAAAATTCTGGAGTCTTTGCTCCATTATCAATGTAATCATTTATTTGCTGTTGTACTTCTTCCTGTCTCTTAAGTTCCTTTTCTATTCGACGTTTTTCTTCCTCTACTTTTCGCCGCTGTGCCTCTTGCTTCGTCTCGTATTCCTTTCGAATCATTTCTTCTTGTTCTAATTGTTCTTGTCGTGCTTTTTCTCTTCGTTCTTGTAGAGCTCTCCATTCCTCCTGAGCTCTCAACTATAAATAGAAAAATTTCAAAAATTAATAATATAAATTTAATACATCAAGCAAAAAAAGATTTTGTCAAATATTTTTTTTAAATTACCATATATTAAAAAAATACCATAATAAAATCTTTTTTATATCGAGTTAAATAATTATTTACAAAAATTCTATCATTGTTGAAGAATTTCACAGATAAGATAACTTTCAAAAAAAAAGAGAATTACAGTTTAAAATACTTTTATATAGAAATACATTCCAATAAAAAAAAAAAAAAAAAACTAATAAAAAATAAATTTTTTTAAAATACTCCAAATATCGACATTAACTTATGTTATTGACTCAGGTCATCCACCTTTAGATACTTTTTATAGCATCAACATTATCTTCAATTAAACACAATATTAGTAAGATATTATTTTAAAAAAATAGATAAAATAAAAAACCTTAATAATTATAATTTACCAATTGAAAAAAGTAATTAAAATTAAAAAAATTATTAAAAAAAAAGGTTATAAATTATATCAAGAAGTATGTATAATTTTTAGATTCTTTTTTTTTTAAATAATTCTTAATGTCAAATCACAAGGTTCTATTAAAAACTTACAATAAAATAATCCGGTGGTTTTGGTGCACATACTGTATCACTACTTGAAATCATAATTCAAAAATTTTAAAAGACTTCATACACGTGTTGTATTTTCAAGTTCACAAACAAATGAATTAATATATTATAACAATTTTTTAAACAAATGATAAAGCATTTGTCAGATTGTTTAATTAAAGAAATAAATATAAACAATTTAGAAAAATAAATCGGAAAATGACACTTTTAAAAAAAAAAGTAATAAATTATTGTGTAAAATAATTTTAATAAATAACTAAACTTAATTAAAATGAAAATCAAAAGTTGTGAAATTCTGCAAAGTTTCTATACTACTGTAGTTGACAGTTGTGTAAACTTGAATAAACCTCGATGTATAATAGTCGATGGGATGATGGTTTTGTTATAATCAATAAAATACTATATAATGTTCTCTTATATCCACATTTCCAGAAGGACTTATAGATTCTAACAATTATTCAAAAGCCCCTATAGACTATAAACCCTGTAGGTCAATTGCCTCATGGTTTGTTAAATCTTTTATTTATTAATATTTATTATTTACTTCACACTTCCAAGAGGTCAAGAGCCTAAGTTTTTTACCTACGTGATTTGACAGTAATAATTAATTATTTGAATATTTTTTAAATTGAATAAACAAAATTAAAAATTTTTAAACGCTGTTATAATATTTATCATTAAGTTCGTAATAATAAAAATTATTAAAGATTAATTAAAACAAAAAAAATTATTCTAACCTCTTTTTCCCACCACTCATGTTCTTTTTGAATTTGTTCCTGTTCCCTGATAATTTCCTCTTGTTTTTCTTTTTCTTCTTGTTCTTTAATCCAATTTGAATATTCCGCGGTTTTTTCAAGTGCCGCCCTCAGACGTTCAGCGTCGGCGTCACGTTCCTGAGCAGCTCTACGACGAAGACGTCTTCGTCGTTCCTTTTTTACTTTTCGTCTCCATTCTTTATGACTTTCTTTTTTCTCACTATTATTAACACTAATATCCATAACTATACATTTCCACCATAAAAAATCTCTTCACAATTCTTTTTAATTGACAATTTCGATCATTCTGCCAATTAACTACGTTACGTTCGCAGTTGACTACACGTGTTTTCCGACTAACCGCCATATTAATAAAAAACTAGTTAAGAATAAAATTCTCCAATTTTAATTTCTTTTAATACTAAATTTAACATGGAAGTTATTTTATATAGGTCCATACGATTAAATCGAATAACAACAAAACACACTTTTGTTTATAAATTTTGTACTTTTTACGAATTCTTTAAAAATACATACCGGAATTCTTGCTTAAAATTAAAACTTGTTATTGTATAAACAATAATATTGTTTAAAAGTGGGAATATTCAGAGAATAACCATTGTTATAAAAAAAGGATTGAAAACATCACCGTTGTCTTCTGTTATTGTTTCACTGAGAATTAATCATTTTAATAACTGAAGATAACCAAAGATTAAAAAATCAAGTAAAATTCGTGAAACGTTGCTAAAACGTTTATATACTTGAATAAAAAAAGATATTCAACCATACACAATAAATAACAACGAAAAACTTGCAAAAAACTTTATCCAAAAGATGCGGAGAAGGGGTTTAATTCAGCTTAGTTCATAACATTAAGGCGGCATTAACTTGTCCACGTTTCTTTGGCAAAAAAATGTCACATTTCGGAGATTTAACCATTACGTAGATATACGTAAATCACTGTATCTACGTAATATACTGTATAAACTATAATTTTTGAACAAAATTACAGTAAAACTACCTCTAATTTAAACATTTCGAGGGGAGATGACATTAATTTATTTTTTCCAATATTGTTTAAAAAGAAAAAAAATTACTCACCGATCGTTAATTCCTTCCTTATTCGGACAATTCCTCTCTATTCGTCTTGAACTGTTCATGATCTCCATCCTGGTGCACAGTAATATGGCGGTAATTTTGTTTTCACATCATTCTTCAATTAAGAAAAATCCCATAGCACTGTTGCAGTATTAATCAACACTATTTACCCCACTAGAGATCATATTAATGTAACTTCCGTTTTTCACTACACTTTCCAAAAAAAATTGTTTTACTTCGCGAATCAACAACACGCACCACGAGGCACCAAATGCCCGGTTTCACACAAAAATCAAAGTTCTTCTTTTAATTGATTTTTGATTGGAAGCACACTTCACTATTAATCACATTTTAACGAATAATAAAATCACAACAATCTTTTCTTTTTCATTGTCACTATACACTTTTCACTCTATAACAAAACAAATTTCTCAAAAGAACGTTGAAAAAGTTTCGAAGCAGCAATACAGATTCCTCCTTCATCGGTGGTGGTCCGCGAGTTACTGAAGTGCGATAAGTAGGGAAACTATCGATATCTCGAACGTTTGTACCGCTCGACCACCAGGTGGCGCTAATGCTTAGTATCGATTCTTTTGGCGCTAAAATTCAAACTGTTAAAAAAGAAAAAATAATTTTTAAACAATAAATCGTCAAGTTTTCAATAAAATTATAAAAAAATAATAATTGATTTATTCTGTACAATTTTAATAATTTATTTCGATTAAATTAAAGACAAACTTAAATACTCATAAAAATATAAGTAAATTTTTTAATTAAAATTTACGAATTTTTCAAGGTTATTTTGGAAATTCTATTGAATAAAAAGTTCTTAATATATTTCAGGAAAAATTTTAATAAAAATAAACTTGTACGACTTCAATTATCAATAATCAATAATAATATTAAATATAATTATAATATAGTAATAAAGTTATATAATAAAACAATAATTAAAATAAGGCGAAATTAAAATTAATACTATTTAAAGGATATTAAAAAATACATTTATATCTAACAAAATTCAAAATTGCCTGGAAATAGTTTAAAACTGGAACTCAGCTACAAGCGCCCGCGTTCAACTCCACTAAAACTGATCACCTAACAAAAGCTGGAATTTTTTTTTATAGTTGATTTTACTTTACCACTTAATAAACATTACCTCCCCGAAAAAAATAGACGAGCCAAAAAATTTATCTCGCAAAGAAAAAGGGAATTATACACTATAAACATTTATTTACGTCACATAAGTACAATGAACACCGAGGGGTCGCTAAAATAATTATTATTTTTACCATATTGGTTTAATTCTCCTTAATTTTCTACTTTACTTTGTTTCCTTACTTTTTTTTTTTTTTTTTGAGTCTTGACGAGCACCCGAAAATAATTTATCCTCTCAATTCAATCATTTACACAAATATTCTCTCTTAATTTTCTTTATATAGATAATATGAATATATTATATCGTTCTTTGTACAATATATGTACACATATGTATATCACAATCTTTCATTCGCACTCATTTTATTAGAGTTAATTGATTAAGCAGCGCGAAGATAATTTACAATTTTTAAATTAAAAAAATGAGGAGTAATACTCAGCACTCGTTTAAAAAAAAAAAAAACAGGGATCAGATCGTTCATTTTTTTCCATTTATATAATATAATATATATTTATATATAATTTATGAATGCAATAGCATTAATAAAATGATTATTAAAAATACGGTGCATCTCATTAATAAACAAAAATAATAACGAGTACTGTAAATAAAAAAAATTAAAGAGAAATTAACATCGCAGCAAAAATCTTCTACAAAAAAAAAGAAAAAAAAAAAAAAACTGAGATTCTCTACACTTTTAAATACAATCGATTATTTATTACTATTCATAAAATTAATAAAATATAAATTTAAATTCAATTTTTTCAAACTATCTTAAAAAAATTTTACTAAAAAATTTTATCACTAACATTTACTTTTTCCTCATATTAATTATCTTTATTTCAATTTAATCCAATTATAATTATATAGTACTTTAGTAAAATTAAACAGAATAAAAAAACAATATATATTATATTTATATTATAATATTATTATTATTATAATATTCAATATATAATATATATATATATTTATATATCTTATCAAAAATCGTAATAAAGAGATTGTATTGTAGAGATAAATATTAACGCCTTATAAATTAATAAAAATATTCGGAAATATTTTCTAAGTATGATATCATGGCAACTAAAACAAAAAAAAAAAAAATTATCTCAACATCGATTGAGTTTGAAACAGTTCGAAGAATAAGAACCTTTCTTTTTCACTCTTGGAAATAAACAAATTTTCCTCAACACTTAATTATTATTTTTTTTTCCTACAAGAGGAATTTTTTTCAACATTCAAATTATCAACAGTTCATTCGTGTCTCTCTAGCCATTGAGTCACGATCTGTTCAAAATCGAGCTACTCTATGTAAAATTTGGAACGATTAAAAATAATATTAATAATAATAATAATTACATTGTATTACATATACATGCATTCAGTCTTTGTTGCTAAATATTATTATATTTATAAGATAATCAGAAAAGTCATGACCGTTAGCTTAAAAACACAATTAGGAACTGGATGAAAGATAAAAGCTGATGATTATCATTTTATGGGTCCCGAATTTTTTACCCGATTTAAAATATAGCAAATATGGGTGACATATTATTTAAATCGATGATATTAATTAAAAATTATTATCTAATAAACAATTTCTTTCAAATTCTTTGAAAATCAATGAATTTTAATTTTTTTTTTAAATTATTTTGAATTAAATTTACTTTTAACAGATTTGTCATTAATTAAAATAGATAATTTTCAATTACGAAAATTGATTAATTAAATACGATCGACTAAATAATAATACACCCAATGCTTTTTTTTTTAAATATCTGAGCACGAAAAATCTGAATAGCTTTAATGTTTTCCTCGTCTCATTTTGTTTTCTCTCTCTATATATAATATATTTATCGTAAAACATCTCACTTTCCCTGAAATTTTCTGTAAATTACATCTACAAGTCGATTGGAAGATATTTCTCATAAATGGAAACAAGAAATTCAACGATATTTGAAGAACTAAGAAATAATAAAATGTCTAAATTTAAACAACTTGAAAAATATGAAACTAAAAATGTTCATTAAATACATAGACTGCCAGTGATTTCTTTTTCCATTTGATGTTAAAGCTTCATTCATTTTTTTTTTTAATATTTAAATGAACACCATTTTTTTTTTTAAATATATATATAAATATGTCAATTACCTCGTGAATAAAAATATTTGATTCGCATGGAGAAGCAGTATTCGTCGAATCACAGATAATCCATTATTATTGAAGCTTTTAAACTCACTTGAGCTTTTTTTTTTTTAAAGACTGATATTAATTGTCAAAGATTCGTCATGGCAGTTTAAAAATGGCAGCTTTTTTAATGAGCCAGTCGCTCATTAGAATGAAAAACAAGGGGAGAGACTTTAATACTCTCTCTATTTTTCTATCTCTCTCACTCTCATTCTCTTCTCTCTCATCCTCTTTCTCTCCAACTAATAGAAAAAGTAAGTTTTTTTTTTTTTTTTTTTTTTTGGAGATTGTTTTCCTCATGCAGAAGAGATGCACATACGTGGACGTAATAGAAAGTATATTTTAGCAAAGGCTAGATTTGTATTATCAGTTCTATAATCGTCCCTGTTTCAGTCATTTGAAACAGATTTTTTGTTGTCAAGTGTTTGTTCAAAGAGACATAAGGCTCGATGTACAAATTCATACTGCTCGGCAGTTTGTATCATTCCACCTCTGTCGTACCTGAAATATTTTTAAAAAAATTAAAATAATTTTCTATTTAATAAATAGAGAAATAATTATTATAACGAAAAATACCTCATTTGACATAAAATGCCTAAAACATCAACATTTCCGTCTCTGATGAGCTGAGTCATTCCATTTGCTAATGCTATGAAACACCCTGTCCTTCCGATTCCTGCACTGCAGTGAACTACTATGGGTCCCAATAAATTATTTACTTCCGCAGCTAAGCTAACGAGCGTATCAGCTTCTTGTGGCACAGCATGATCTGGCCACGAGTCATACCTGCAAAAAAATGGTAACAAATCAAGGACTTCTATTTATTTTTACAAAAATATTCTCTTTTCTACATTTATAATTTAGAAAAAATTAATTTTATAATTTTCTATTTTATTTTTTAAATTGAATCACTCACCAATAATGCTGAATATTTCGTCGTTCACTTTGATGCCTAATTTCAAGATCTCTAACTGTATAGCCATCGCGGCTAACCACAGACATGACCATAATTTCATAAGATCCAGTATTTATCCTGCTATTTTCCTCAACTGGAAAATATGCGTCACATTTTGTCTTGGCTGCCTCATGCAATCTCGTTATCATTACAACAACAGGAGATCTTTCCGACCAAATCATTCGCCAAAAGTCATCAATTGTGTTGACTAATGGTCCTTGTGTTGCAATATACCTAACATTATCACCATCATAACCCTGAAAATTATAAACATATTTAAAAAAAAAGAGGAACTAGAAAAATTAATTTAATAATTAAAATATATATTTTTTTTCAACTCACGCGAATATAATTTGCGTTAATGTAACTGTTTAATGGATCATCAGAGCCTGGTAAGACAACACGTGTCTGTGAATTTGGCAATACCGAGCGATATCTATTTTTAATTCCCGATCCACAGACATCAACTTTCTCTGGAAGATTCAATGGTACTTCCCAAAATTCTTTGTGCAGAGAACTTGGATCACTGATTGCTTTTTTCAATTGTACTCTCGATAAAATATTTCCAGCGCTTAGAAGAAATTCTTCAGCTGTACACTCACGAGTTGGTGTCACCACATGCGGTGGACTCTCAGGTGCAGGTGTCAATTCAATGGTTAAACTTGCGCTCGAACCTCGTCGCTCAAGTAATCCTTTCGGTCTGATACGCATTGCTTCGGGTCTTCTTTCTGGCGTTGCAACTGCCATTATCTTGAAAAAGAATACAAATAAATAAAAATACAAATTAATTAATTAAGAAAAAAATAGAAATTTACCTGTCGTGAAACTGCCATGCCCGACGTCTCAGGAACAGGCCGAATTGGCTGAATGGGTACAGGCGGCTTAAGAACAGATTGATGAACCCACTGTGCTTCAATTGGATCCTTATTATCTTTACTGGCCTTTTCTGTAGAACAAACTGCTCCTCCTTCTTCTACCAATCCTCGCATATCACCATCTTCAGTGTCCTTTTCACGCGACATTTGCTTTCGCAGCCATAAGAGAATCTTGAAGGTAAAAAAAAAAATTATTTAACAAATTTTTCGAGAAAAATAGATTGAAAATTAAATTGCAAATATTTACCAGAAAAGTGAAGAGAATTGCGCCAACGATGGCGCAGAAAACTATGAAAAGGGACAATTGCCAATCTAGCCATGATAGAGATACTGTTGAGCTAACCTCCTGATTGGTACGGGCGCGAAGCTGTGCAGCTTGCAAATCCATACCAGCATCATCCAGTCCCACCGAGGACTGTCGAATTCTATTAAAAAAAGAAAATCATTCAGTTAAACCAAACAGAAATTTTCGAACTACAAAATTACTTCCAAAAATTTACAATTATCGCTTTTAACAATTTTTTTTATTTTCACCTGTGATGAGATCGTGCAGACATGCCCTCGGCAGCCGGCAGCAAAGCAACCGGTAATACCGTATATGTACGCCACTTTTCCTGAGGAATTAGGGAAAATCTTTCCAAAGAATCAGAACTGGCGTCATTGTTACTCGATTTGTCATAATAATAATCATCACTTATATAGCGATGAGTCAGCGGAGTACCTGTACCTCCTGTGAACAGAAAGAACAATATTTCTCAATATAAACTGCAAATCATAGAAAAAAAAAAGATCTTAATTTTATAGCCAACACAATATTTCACAATATTCATCAACAAAATTTACAAGTCATTTTATATTATTATAACTTTAATCACTCAATTACCTATTTTTAAAAAATTGGAAACAATCTGTAATATTCTATCATTATTTTAGATAAGGAAAAAAAATTTATTGCACTACTGTAAAAAAAAAGAAACTTAATGAGATCATACTTTTCTTACTCACGAAAACGTGATTTTATTGGATAAAGTTATTGTAACAAAAGAAATATATTTTGTAATAAAAAGAACTTTTAAATCATAACTGCGTGCATTAGGAAATCGTGCCTAAATGATCGTGACCATTAAAAGTATTTTACTAACGAGAGCTAAACGAAATAGCGTAAGCGCTATTTTTAAGTCTCTACTTACTACGCGCCTCTGGGATTGTATATTCTATCTGTTAGCTTCCACTTATCGAAATCAGTAAATTTATATTTCGTATACAATAAAAAAAAACACACACACAATTAATCGCCTATAATTTAATCCTCAAAAAATAGGAAACAAAAATTTACTTTCCTTTTGAAATTTTTCTAAATTTTTTCGAAAAATTAAATTAAACAAAACAGATTTGTTATCAAAAATCGAGATTGAAATTACAAGAGATTAAAATAATACATTTTATCGTCTTACATCATGAAATCACAAATCTAGAGCAAATAGAAAAAGACGACTCTTTCTATCCGCGTAGCATAGAGGAAGTAAACATTGGGCTAATTTTATGTTCCAAAAGAGAGAGAGAAAAGACGAGGGCTTTACGAGATGAAACGATTCATGCAAAGATGAATAAATCAGAGAGTTCAGGGCCGGTCAAAATTTTGTATATTGGATGAAAATGTTTTTTTTTTTCCTAACGTAATTTATAATAAATTCCGGAAGACTTGAGGCTATCGTTCTCTTTCGAGGTTTCCTTTTTTACTGAATACATGAGTAATAAGTTGCAAGAGGACACAACAATTTTTATCCGGACAATAACCTTTCTCCCACGTGTTGAAGGCTAACGTGTTCATCGCATGACGTACATGAGTCAACTTTTGTCCTTTTGCAGCCAACAATCTTTTTTTTTTTCTCTCCCCCAACCTTCTATAAGTTTAATGCATCAGACGTCGACTTTCTCGAGTCATTAAATACGAACCTTAAGCTTCCGAAAAGATTCTAAAAATATAAATGATATGCATAATATATATATATATATATATATATATATATATAAAGACGTTAAATATTAAATGGTATTGTATTACTATAAATAAGGATTTTAATATAAAATTAAGTAAACAGATGAAATAAATTTCGATGTATTAATTATTAGATGTTTGTCTAGAAAGTCGTTATAAATTATTCGAAATGAAAAGAGCTTGGGTAGAATTCTGGATGGTTGGGAAGAAACAAAAATAGAAAAGTCAGAGTGCTGATAAATCATGAAACTTGGCACACAAAACTGACGTAAAATGGCTAGACCGAGGGTATTTTCTTTGCATTTCTAAAATTCATCGTGACGATTATTGATAATGATTTGCACGAATATTAACTGATAAAGATGAATTTTTTTTTTTGAACTCAACTTATAGGTTAAAGCACATACATCACAAAATTCACATTACACAATTTGGAGCATTTTTTTTAAATTTCAAGAATTATTAAAAATTAAAATAATTTAAAGGGAATATGAATCAGAAAAAAATATCTTTTGTTACACTAAAAAAAAAAAGTTATTAAATTATATAAAAGATTGGTTAATGCACAAAATTTTCACGATAAATAAACACTTATAATTTTAGGTGTTGCCTAACCTAGGACAACAGATCTCGAATCAGTTTCTTCTGTGCAGATCATGAAATGCGGGTATTGACGTAGAATTATACAAGATTCAGTCACGTTGATGCACAACACGCAAAAGCCATGATTAAATTACATCCTGTTTTCTAACTATTGTGAAAGAAGGAAGCACTGAGGTTCGTTCACACAAATAAATCCATATTCTCATACACACACTGTTTTAACACGTGAGAATAAATTGACTATATATTATTATTAAAAAAAAAAGAGAGAGAACAATTATCGTAGCGAGATAACAAAAGTCCAAAACGACACTCAAACCGTACCTTTAATTAAAAAAGCGTGTATCAAAATAGCAAAAGTTGTTTGCCTTCGGAATAGAAAAAAAGTTACGTTTGCATCGTGTAGTTTTGTGTACGCCGTATCCGCCATTTTTTTTTTTTTTTTTTTTTAAATAAAAATACACAACCTCTCTACGCAAGCTTTGGATTCAAACTGTTGCTTATTTCACTGTTGACGTTCATTGTTAAAATTTAGAAAGGGGGGATAGTGGGGAATGGAACACGGGCACCAATCAGAGCGCTTGGCACATTTTCCAACGTCCAATCATCGTTGATTTATCAGTTTTTGAACAAGGGCGCGAAAATTTAAAATTTCTTTTTTAAACATCAGATATGAAAGTAGTATTTCAATTACAGTATATCAATAACATTTATGTTAAAATAATTATTATAATTTAATTACTTTAGATTTGTAAATTAAAAAATAATTTAATTACCATGAAACAAAACTGCATCCACACACTGGCGCATAATGTGTCCTTCAAAGGTGCATGAACTTTGAATGAAACTTGTTGAAAAATGTAATGGAATAATGTATGTAATGTGTTAAAACTCCTTTGACGCGATATTCATGATTTTTTAAATTTTTTTTTGCACTGACCCCTATTTTTTCCTTCTTTCTTTTTTTGTTATTTATTATTTTTTTTTTTTGCAGTGTCAGGGAACAAACGGATGTGTAATTCTACGCCGTCTTTTTCAAGTTGTATGATTCAGAAAACCGGAAACTATTCGTTCAGACGCCTCTGCCGTATGCCTGGTCCATTATTGAACAGCTCTTATTCGTATTAACCAAGTTCCTTTGACCCTCTCGTCGTCTCATGTATCTTTGATAGACTTCTATGATATATATATATATATATACCTAACCACATAAATGCGTAGAAATTCCTTGTTGCTTCAGGCGTGACGAAAAACCGGCTTTTTAAACACGTGATGTCTCTGTACAATTTTTAAACTACCACCAGTTTTCAATTTAGAAAAAACCCTTTTAATTAACGCCCATCACATTCAATTGAAAAAGAAAAAAAAAAAATAAATAACAATTGATCACTTTTTGCGAGAAATAATTCTAGACTGATTTCTAATGAAATTTAATTATTGTAAATAATTTTTTTTTTGTTAATAATAAATTAATAATTTTTTTGAATAATAATAATACAAATCAGAATTTATTGTATTAGATTAAAAATGTAATTGACAAAAAAAGGACATTTTTTTTTAAATGTTAATTAGCTGTTGTGAATTATTCTTAATTATTTATGAACGAGTCCGCTGTGAATCATTGATTGACAATTTCACTGTTAGTGAAGTCAAGGGGAAATGTCTCTCGATTTTCAATTTGCAATTCAATCAGACAGTATATATAATTTATTACGCTCTAATTCATCTAGATCTGGTTTCATTTTTTTTTTATTTTTTTAATTGATATACCAAACAAAAGCTATATGAAAACTATTGACACTTACTTAAAAAAAAAAAAAAAAAGACGATAATCTCCGTTATCACTTTACTGACAAGAAAAAAAAATTGTTATACACAACTACAATTATAATAAATATTAAATATTTTAATAATTAATTAATATTGTAAAATAAATTTTAAAAATTTAAATAAATAATTTTCAATAAATATTTAACAAATAAAAATAATGTATAAAATTATTGAAAAATCGATTGTAGCTTGAAATTTAAAAAATAATAGTGATTTTGTTTTTTGTTTCATTGAACTACTTGTGTAGTATATATATAGTTAACAAAAAGACGAACCCGGAGAATAAACAAGTTCATTTTTCAACGTCGATTCACTTCATTAGTAATCAGTCGAATTATTCCATCAGCAGTGTAGTTATTCAAACAAATACTATTATATTCCAAATATGTATACATAACATTTATAATAAAAAATTGCATAATTACACGCGCGAAATAAGAATTTTGTATTTTTCTTTTTTTTTTTACTAATTAGTTAATTTTTTCACACGCATTAATTAACCTGAATTAATAGAAAAATGAAGAAGAGATTTTTTTTAAAGGGCGGGGAATATTAAGAAAAATAGGAGAGGGGGGGAGAGAGAGAAAAAAAAACGTAAAACTCGAGCGAGTAGTCGCCAAGTAAGGAACGACTGACTACGTTCATACTAACTGACTTTGATGGTTCATTCATGGCTTGAGCTTTGCAAGCTTTTTCGAGGGCTTTGCGCACACTTGTGTAAAATGCGTGACGCTGATTGGATATTTCGATCGGGCGTGGGTGGCAAGTTACACGATATACAAGAGGAGCTTTTTACAAAAACCTAGCCAACGCTTGGTACAAATTTTTTTTTTTTTTTTCGTCTTTATCCCAATTGAATAAAAGAATCAGTATATTTTTCCTCATGCTGTCAATAAACACACGGGTAAAAATTTATCTTGTTATTAAAAGAGAAATTAATTTCCACCTACATATAAGTTATCGATCTATGTTTATTATATTTTGGACCCCCTCCAAAAAGTTATAATTTTTTTTTTTTTTTGAACGAAAAAACAAATAATTTATTTATTGCAACTATTTTATGGTAATTAATAAAATTCAAAATCAGATAAATAGTTTTCTGAATGTTGATTAAAAATAAAAGTTATTTTTGGGGAAAAAAATCTTGAAAAATAGATTTAAAATTGACAAAAACAAACGTTAAAAATAGATTCAAATTTTATACAACGAAATAAGAGATTAAAAAAAGAATGTGAATTTTATTTTTAATTTGAAATAGATGAGATTTCTTTAAACGTGTTTCTTTTTTTTTTTGCTAGACAAATCTACAAAAATATATCTAAAAGTCAACTAAGTCAGGAACTCCTGTGGAGTTGTATATTATTAGCATATTATATTCATCAAAACCTGATTGTCAAAGAATTTTTTTTTTCTTTTTTTTTTGTAACTGTCTCTTTTATTTTGTCCATCACTTATCTATTTTGCCAAGAACGATTAAAATGTTTTGATAAAAACGTCTAGTTGACCGTTCGATGTAATTTCTATTTTTCAGGACACTAAAAGCTTTTTCAATATCTCATCCACTTAAAAAGGCAAAAATAATAAAGAACGATAAAATAGTTACAAAAAAATAAATTACTAATTACAATAAATATTATTCCAAAATAGTGACTGTAGAAAGAATAAAATATAGTTGCAAAAAAAAATTTTACTTTTATTTATTTATTTATAATAAATAAAATAAATGAATTATTGACAATGAATAAAATAGTTACAAAAATAATATTTTTCGAATAAGAAAATTTTTTTTTTCTAACAAAAGAAAAAAATGTTTGCAGAGCAACGGGAAGAAAATTAGCAAAAAAGAGAACATCTCATTTTGCATTCCGTTATGTGATTGCAATTTAGTTGAAACTCTTCTCTTGTTTGTTGCAATCGTAAATCTTTTTTTTTTCCTTTCAACAATTGACGTTTTCCTCTGAATTTAAAATATACGCGAGTATAATTTCAACCCATTTACTATTTATATTTCAAATTAGTGTTTCAATTAATTCTTGTCGTTTGTTATAAAAAATTTGACGTATGCAATTAATAGAAAATACGTTTTCTCGATAAAATTATAATTTAATATTAAAGCAAATTTCAATTTTATATCAAAATTCAGGAAGTAATTTATTTATTTCCTTATACGAAATAATAAATGATAAAACAAATCTTATCATGGAAGTTTGATATTTTCCCCAAAAAAAAATATGAATGTCGTTCAATCTTAATAAAATTTATATTAAAAAGAAATTTTTACAATAGAGAAAAATATTTGATCAATTTTTTCTATTTTTTTTCGTTAAGAAGTGGGTTGTTAAGATAAAAAAAAAAGCAGTAGGAGCTTGTGGAAAATTTCTGTCATTCTCGTATCTTCTTTTCTTATGAAACAATCTCTATTTTTATACTTGAGTGTTTGAACTCTCGACTTTAAGAAATACATAGAAAAATAAACTGCCAATGGTTTTGAATTTTATCAACAAAAAGCTTTTGTATTTGATAAAAATTTGTTATATATATATATCTTTCCGTTTTTGACAATATGATCCAAAAAAAATTATTTTTTTGGATTTCAAACTGAAATTTTTTCTGTTTAAATTTAATTATTTAAAAAAAAATATTTTCGTAACTATTTTTTTCATTTTGCAACTATTTAATATATATCAAAACTTACGTCAAAATTTATTATCTTAACAGTAAAAGAAAAATAAAAAAAAATGAATAATTTTAAGAATATTTTTAAAAAATTTGAATTTGATATAAAAATAAATCAAATGTCCAAATTTTGATTTAAGGAAAAAGGGGACAAGAAAATTATCTTTCCCTTGCGGAGGTCCTTGATATATATACATTTTTTTTTGTCAAGTTCAAATGTCACACAGACGATAAAATGTTCTATTTTCTTTTTCTTATTTTTTTTAAATTTATTCTATTGGTGTTAAACGTGGACTTGGCGGTGATTTCACTATAAAGAGGAGAAGGGGGGGGGGGGCGAAAAAATTCTTCAAGAATCGTAAGGACAATAATTTTAACGCGTGGGTTTCCCTAACCGAAAATCATGCTCTTGATGGTGCGTGGGTTGATCTCTTAGTGTAATGAATGAACATAACTACTGAACAGAATCAAATACCTTGTCGTTTTCCTCCAGGATTGAATGGGACTGGATATGGGAGAGACGAACAAATTTTTTCCCAAAAAAAAAAAAAAAAAATATCAACTATTTTGCCGAAGTTTTTCTCTTATTCCAATAATAATTTAGTAATTCCAATTCCGTCGTTTTTTCTCTGCGACACTGAAATAAAAATAAAACACAATTAATTTTTCTATATAATTTAATTAAATAATTAAAAAAATATATTTTTTCAAAGAATCATATTTTTGTAAATAAAACTTGAATTAAAATATATTTTTCTATATAAATAATAAAATATATATAAAAATAGTCGTGAGAAATTTAAAATTCAAAGTAAACTTATAATTCTTTTCCGGATGATAAGTTTGATAAAAATCGTTCAGCCAAAAAGGTCTAATTTTCAACTTCATCAAACTTTTGTCAATCGATGAATGGAAGGACGAGCTCGACTCATTCAGGAGGTATAATGTAGTACAGCTGAATGAGAGCCCGTTTTGTTGAATGAGATATCGACAAGTTTCAAAAGAAAATATATTTTGCAATTTAAATTAGACTTAAAATTTTTTTTTTATCAAAATATATGTAAACATATGCGCCGAAATTGTTACGAAAGCGACAAAAAAAAACATTTTCATTCATATCTTTTTATAATTTTACATTTAAAAAAAATACTTTTTCGATCATTCTTAACAATTTCAAATATGGAAATTAAATAAAATATTGTAAAGTTAATAAAATATAAAAAAAAGCAGTTATTATTGTATTTAACAACTGATTTTGTGTATATAAGATGATTTGTAGAAAAATACTTTTAAAAAGTTATTCTTCCATGAAATATTATACACCTACAGAAAAGTTTAATTTTATATATAGTTGTGGGTGTCTCAAAGTAATTTGAAATTCGATAATGAAGAATGTATGGTTGGTTGGCTATTGAATTCCATTTATTGGAAAATGTGTACAACTACAATTATAGTGAGAAACAAAAGAAAAAGAGAAATAACCATTTTCATTGAAAGTGAGTTTTGTAAAGTGATTTTTTCTTCACAATACAAACCAATATTTTTTTTTTAATGGCACTTTTTAATTCAATAGTTTTTTTTTTTAAACTGCAATTCGAATATTTGTTAAATTTTTTAAAAAGAAAAATTTGATTTAAGAAGAAAATTATGAAATATTGCATTTGCAAGCAAATTTTTTTCCTAAGATGTTAATTTAAAGCCTGTATTTTATGCGAACTTATTACTTTTATGTCAGTAGAATATAGTAAAAAAAAAAAAATTTGCAAGTGTACGCAAAAATTAAAATGCCTACAAATAAAAAAAAACGTAATATTTGCATTAAGTGGATATAATATACATTTCATGAGAAATAATTGCGAGAATTTTAAAAGTTATTAAAAAATTTAATGCGATATAACTGGACAAGGAAATCTTGGAACTTTTTTTTTTAATTACACTGAATAAATTGAATCTTCGTAAAAATTGAAAAAAATGTCATTTTAACTGAAACATGCAAATAATATCCAAAAATAAAATTTAAAAATTAAATTAAATAATAAATCGTTCAATAATATTTTAATATAATATTAATTTAATATTTGCAGTAAAGAAATTTTCAAATATACAATGAAAAATTTGATTTAACTGCATAGAAATCATTTTTACTAAATAATTAAATTTTCAGTTATTTAAAAAATTGTTACATTTTTAATTGAAGATGAAAAATTTAGTTGCAGCAAAAGAAGAAGTTTTTGGACTTTTTTCATGAATTGAAATAATTTTTTTTTTCTTGATCTACATAAATAATTCATTTGAACTACAATAAATAATTCATTTGACTACAATTTCTAATGAAATTTGGAAAGTTTATAATTTTAACAAATTTTCTTAAGTAATCAAGTTTGCTAAAGTGTAAACACAATGTGTGCGTGTAAGTGTGTAAGAAAGAGAGAGAGAGAGGAGAGAAAGGGTCGTTATACTACGAGTTAGAATCGAACACCTCACGATCAACCCTTACTTTTATATATATTGCGCGATTCTCGTACTTGTCCTAGGTCACAAACTTGTCCCTTATTAATGGTAATAAGATGATTTACACCACCTCTTATTATCGTCAACTTGAAACCGGGAAGTTGCATTGGACGCATCTGAATGGCGTCTGAACGGATTGCAAAATGCCTGCGAACTGCATTCAGTTAACAGACCCATGCGAGAAGAGAGGGACAAGACGCGCGCATTCGTGACATGAATTCGCGCTTCTAGTTTTACCCCGCATCCAAAGTTTTATATACATTTTTTTTTATTCGAGATAAATACAAAACAAAAATAGTTGATTTGGTGTTTAATTGATAAATGTTAATGAATTATATCAATGATTATAATATTGATTGTAACTACAATTAATTTTGACAATTGTAAATAATTTTAGGAAATAGTAATTAACTTTAGGAAACTTTAATTTCGTACAATTAATCATAATCAAAAAACTTTGAGAGGGGAACCTAAATTTACGATCCGATTTTTTTTATTATCAAAGTTATTGCAATAAAAAGCAGCAGTAAAACGCGGTGCTATATATTACCGATAAAAAAAATACTATTTTTAGAACATTTATACGACTTTCATTTCCTGCTCCTAAAATTGTTTATTATTTTTATTTCGCGAAAAATCTCAATTTATCGAAATTTGCCATTTTCATTTTAACTTTTTCTATATTGAAATTTAAGTGTGTCATTTTTATATTTAATATCAATTATAAAAATAAAATAATTTTTGAAAATTATAAAAATATGCTTAACTTTCTAACAAGGACTTCTCTAGTGAAATTTCAAGCACAATTTTTCTCTTCTCATTTTTTTTTTTTTTTTCCTTTTGCCTTCAACGAAGTTGAAAGAGAGGAAAATTAGAGAGTGGGGAGTGTTGAATGAGGACTCGTGGTTTGAGACCTAAAAGGGGTGGGAAAAACCCCCATTGGATGAAGGGGTCGAAACATAGGTTAGTCCACTCGACGAACTGCGTCCCCAATCGATATTTACGCGGAACAACCCCCATTGCACCCCTTTATAGTTTTAGGCCAAATTCATTGAAATATTTCTCCATATATATATAGACATATAGTGTAATGCATTTTTTATAAATCAAGATCATGAATGATTATTATTGATGATATAGTAAATGCCCTCAGTATATCGTATATTATTATCAATGAAGTCAGTCTCCAGTGACTAAAGAAAAACTTCATTCAATGGGTGGAGTATTATGAACGAAAACTGATTTCAGTTTTATCAGTAATTAAAAAAAATAGAAATCATTCAAAATTCATTTAGAAATTTAAAAATCAAAAAAACCTTTCTCAAAGTAAAACTAAACTGTTATATATTATATAATTATATCACACCGAGGGAAAAAATATATTTTTCTCTGCCAAATAATTTCAAATAATTTTTTTTCCAAAAAAAGTTATTAGACTTTCATATATTTTTATTTCCTTCAAATAAATGCTAATAAAATATTTCTCTAGGTGCATATTTTATATTATACAGAAAAAAAAAATTTGATTCAAATAGATTACTTTATTAAAAAAATATTTTCTTGCACCGAATAACTTTTATATTGAGTCAATTAAATGGTATTTGTTTCAAGTAAAGAAATAATTGATTCAATTATTTCGAAAATTTGGATTTTATTTCATAATAAAGTAACCGATTATTGGAATCAAATAATTTTTTTTTTCTATTTTATATAAATTGATTCCTTTTAAAAATATAAATTATATAAATGACAAAGAAAAATTGGTATTTTTTTTTTGCAAACAAGCGTGATTAGAGAAAACGAGAAAAGAGGGGGCGAGAAGTGTGAAGGACGAATGAAAAGTGATTATTTAATATTCGAATACCTGCATTGTTTGACACGTGTGTCACGTGTTATCATTACACATGAGCTATGAACAAATATATACTCAATTTTTCCATAAAATATAAATATATAATATTTATATTGCATAATTATGTGTATCACCCACGCTTCTACGGAAAACGCTCATAATTCTATTTCCTTGTATACATATATACATACCTCTCTTTAACTGTAAATGCTCTAACCGGCTTCACTCTCTTGTCGCTTCAATTAAGCATGAAACGCTATTATTGGGCCCATTCTATTTCCTGTCCTCATATATATGTATCCATAGACTATATATATATATCAACTTTTCTGCTATTTTATCTTGAGCATGAAATTATCCTTATGGCATTAATTTATCATTGGAAAAAAATGGATCTTTTTCCGCCATGAATAACTGAAACAAAAATATTTTAATTAAATTTAAAAAAAAAAAAAAAAAAAATTTAAAAAAGTTAAATTAATCCAAAGGGAAATATTTTTAATACTCCATAATGGAATATGTTTCTCTATAGTAAAAAGTGATATACACCAAGTGGAGCTAATTAAAGTCGTTAAATATATTCGGACGAGCTTTGGACAAACATCCGGGCTTCCGGTAACCTCGCACTATACCCAGAGTATAGAGAACTCGCCTCAACGATATTGCCATGTTTTTCTTTCCTATAGCCGTTAACCGATCGAAATACGTCATTTCCGGTTCCGGTCTGTAATCGTGGCTCTACGATATATATAAAACCGATAGAATTTAAGAATGAATGGCCTTTGATTATGTATTTAATTAATAATTTATATATGCACACATATTAAAAAGATATAATGAGAATATAATAAGATAAAATAAATCGGTGACGATACATCGATATACTCGCGATTATTAATCAGAGCGTGAACCTAACGTCCTCGATAATTCAGTTTTTTTTTTTTTTTTTTTTTTTTTTTCAATTTTAACTTATTGTAATTCAAATTTGTCATTGTTAAAAATGTTAATTTAAAATATACCTAAAAATATATATTTTATGAATTTTATTCTTACAGTTAAATTAAAATATTTTTAAAAGAATATTTTTAAAAATAATATTTTTTTAAGAAAATCTAAAAATAAACAGTAAGTAAAAATAGAAAATAAAATTCTTAAGCCAAGATTATATATTCTTTTTAGAATATCGTTTTTTTTTCGTTGATATTTAAAGAAAAAGTCAATCGCAGAAAAAACATCTATAAGAAGAACGTATAAACCTATACAAACATAGTAGGTATGAAAAAAATCCCATGTGAAAAATTAAATAATACGTGACACAATAATTCGAAAAAAAAAATATTATTCGTGAAATATGTATGTCATTTATAGAGAGATAATCTTTTACGTTAAGAAAAGGTGGTTCCTGAAAGTTAGGCTCAAAAAAAGACTGCATCACCAATGCTAAGAGACCATGAAAATCGTTACTTCCGTTTTAAAACCGTCAAAAATTTTCCCTCTCTCACTATATTTTATATCTCAATGTTTGACAATATTTTACTTTTCTCCAAAAGAAAAACCCCAAAAGCAGGTGTAATTTTTAAAAATTATTTAGATTATTCAATAAAAAAAAATTGATCTCCTTGGGAAATGTAAACACTTTTTTTTTCGAAAAATAAAAATGTTTCCAATTTTTGTTTTTCACAAGTGTTCTAGGGAAAATAGAAAAGAAATGAAAATTTGGACTATAAAAAAATATTCGACATATATATAGTAACTAAATAACTCTCGAGTGTGGGAATTCACTTTTGAGCGAAAATAGAAGACCCTTGGTAAACATTTCCTTGGCTACATTGATTAAAATTCGCTGCTGGAATATTAGACCATGACACAATTTCCGTTCATGTAGTATTAAGGCATCGTGTGTTGTGTATATCTATATATGTACACAAGTACCTGTACTGGGGTATATAGTATAATATCTCTTTTTCATTCACAATTTACGTGCCATGAATGATATCGCTGCAACTGTCGCCTTACATTAATGAAATTATTTTACTCTCTCTCTCTAGAAAAAATTTCTTATTTCCCCATACAGATATTTTCCTTTCAATCATTTTATCGGATCTTTTTCGAATATACTAAATAATTCCATATTATTCCAACGATAGAAAAAATACTCCAAATTTATCTGCAACAGCGAAAAGTTTCACTAGAATACAAAGAAAGAAAATTATTTAAAATAATCAGTTATCTGACTATAATGAAATATTTTAAATATTTATTATTTGAGTCAATTTGTTTCAAATACAGAAATTATTGGTTCAATATTTTTTAATTGAAATAAAAATTCTTCGTTTGATAACCGATTATTTAAATCAAATAATTTTTTATTTCAGTGTAGCTAAAGTTTCAGTGAAACATTTAACTGTTCAAGAAAATGGTTTTAATGTAAATTTTGAAAAATAACTACAAAAATTGTTCTAATTACGAAATGGATTTTGAAAAAAATTTTCTATTTTAATTTTAAAAAATTGGAAAAAAATAGTTTTTTGTAAAATAAATATATATATATAGTAATGGAAAGCACGTTTTCCAGTCATCGTGGCTGCTCAATAAAGAAACACACACAAACAAACACATATATATATACACACATGTTTGAAACGGCGCGCATACGCATTTGGGAGAAGCCTCCCCTTTGAATGGGGGAGGCTGCCCATTCGCATCCGTTTTCAGAGGGGTAGCTCTCTCTCCTATACAGATCTTTCATTGAGCGGCTTCCTCGTTTCCGCTTTTCGTTCATGTTGTGTCCCCCTTTCACTTCCTTTTCTCATCCCTTCTTTCAACCCCCCCGTTCCTTTTCCGTTTGTCACTTCCACGCGAACTATATAGAACCAATCATCTCCCTCGAATTTATCATTGACTTTCTTTCACGCCTAAGCTATATCTATCTATATCATCTTCTAGCCTCGAACTGTTTTTTTTTATATATATATAAAAATATTATTATAGAACCGCCCTGAAAATGTCTTTACAATCATGTCACCTTTAACTTTATTATTTTCTAATTTTCTGAAAAATTATTTAATTTTCTCCTCAACGAATTTTTAATAATTAGCCAAAAATATTTTTTTAAATTTTCAAAATGTCCTTGGCTTTGTGTGTAGAGAGTAAAAACAGGACAGGGGATGACCTTCTCTTCAATTCTCATTGAGCGAATGCATCCAGGCAAGTAAAAAATAAAAAAAAAAGGAGGAACAGTTACCAGGCTTACATATATGGGGGAGGTTTCATGGTGACCTATTTCACGAGTTGTGACGTGTGGGGGTGGGACCATTCACCCTGGAGCTCAACCCAGGACCGTCCATGTTGGCAAAACGAAACTGGGTCACATCCAGTTGTCGCGAATAACGTAAATCCCTTTTTCCAAAATAAAATCAACGCAAACTTTTTTTTCTTTTTAAATCTCCATATTTCTTATTTTCAAACAGAAAAAGAATTCGAATTTGTTGCGCAAAATTAATAAAAACTAAAAAATAATTAATTCACCTTTGCCAAATTTAATTATTTACAATAATAATTATTATTATTTATTAATATTATTATTAATAATATTATTAATTATTATAATAAATAATAATTATTAATATTAATAACAATTTTTATAAATAAATTCTAAATACAAGAATTTTGTAAAAAAATACCGAAATTTAAAATTATTTCATAATAATTAAAATTCTTAATAATTCCCAATTTGTTAAAAGTTTAAAAACTTATTAAAAATGCAAACAAATCCAATTTCTCACGGTGAATAAATATGTTATTCCATTCAATTCCAGTGGCCCTTAGATTTAAACTACTTCCCGAGACGCTATTCTCATGTCCTTTGAATTTCTTTCTCCGCAGGAAAGCCTTATTGCTGGACTTCCGGCTTTGCCATATATAAAACGACTGTTAAGATTGCGTGAACGTGTGTGCGAGTGAAATAAGTCTGATTCCATCCTGTATGTGTGTATATATACATGTTTTCCTTCCATATTAAATTCAATGTTTTGCATCCAAGAGTGAAATAAATATATATTAACGAAAAAAAAAAGGAAAAACCCTATTTCAAACAAACAAAAAAAGGAATATGTGGGCAAGTCACTTCCGGATGCACCGGGGTACTGACACCTGCAAAAGAAACAACACAAATACTCTGACACTCTCTAATCTTGTTAAAGGAATCGCAATCCCCGACTTCCGATTTCTAAATCATGACATCCGCTCCACCGAACATCTGCTTTTCGTCACTGATTTTCATTAGTCCCTATTAAATCCATCGCCCACTAATTCCGGTATTTAATTTGGATTAACTGCGTGTATGAGAACCTAAAACTGACAGCAAAGAAAAAAAAAGGAAGTTTAATATTTCTACATTTCTTCAAATATCAATTTTCAAAAAAAAAGAGAGCCTAGCACAGCAAACTTATAAAAACAATTTCATTGTATAAATTTTAACATTTAATTTTTGTGTAAAATTCACAAAATTTTTAATTAATGTCTAAATTCAGAATAAATATTCATTTAAAAATAGAGATTTTTCAAAATTAAATTTCTAATATAATTGCATATTAATTAATGCATATTACGATAATGGAATTTATATAAAATTGGAGAACTTGTATATATATGTATGTTTGGAGGGTGTAAAAGGGGGTTGAGTATAAATGGGGGGGTGGGGTTGCTCCAGTGACCCAGTTTATCCCCGGGAGTTGAATGAACCTCATTTTACGTTTTGACGTCATTCACGACCTCATTTCCGGTTCCCGGAGCTTGCAGCTTCAGCCCTGAAGCTCTGTCCTGTTGACCTGAAATCTCTCATGAATCGAAGGACTCGCTTCGTTCATTCGAGCCTGCCGCGCCTGCTGGGGAGTAACTATGAATGGATTTGTGAAAATACAAGGATTTCGAGCTTTACAAGCTGCTCCGGGAACTTGAAACTATAATATACATAAACGAAAATGAATGAATCAGGACAAATATTAAATTAATTAATTTAACGAAAATTAAAAATAAATAATAGAAAATAATAAAAATATCATTATCGTTAATTAACGATTTTATAATACAAATAAAAAATATCAATATTATCTTTGCGTAGAAGAAATTACATATTAATTAAAATAACATTTTCAAAGAATATAAAAATAATTTATTCTTGAAACACTGTCGTAATCAAGAGTAATTATTTTATACTCAATTATTTATCTTGTTACAAGAAATAATAGAGAAAAAATAATCCTGAATCAAAAATAAATACAATTCTAAGATTTTTGCATTTGTACATTAAATATGTTTATATTTCAATGTACACAATTAAAAAATTATTCCCCGTTTACAAATTATATTATTTTTATCAACATTGAACTGCGCTTAGAATTGAAAAATATTTTTGATTTTATTAATTACTATTCTAAGTGTCCAATGCCAACCAATATTAGATAATTCAACTTATGGCGTCAACAGCTAAAATAGAAGTTATACACAAAAAAAAAAATCAAAACAAATACATTAAAAAATATATGTTAAATAAATTCAATTTTACCTTAAAATAATCTGATGCGTCATATTTTCTCATTATTATACTAATAATGCATAATTGAAATAAAACTTATAACGCCCATAACTTTAAAAACTTCTGAGTTCTACTTCCACGTTCAAATATATATAGCTCATTAAACACAACAGAAATTGAATAAAATATTAAATACATCATTACAAAGAATTTTGTATACTTGCAATTATTAATAACAAAGAATTTAATTGTTTATAACACTTATTTTTGTTTATATTTATCACAAAAATAACAAAACTTTACTAATATTTCACTTGTTTAGAACCTAACCTTTACACATGTGACAAGCGCGAAAATACATTCCAAAATGGCGTCTTCGCTATAGTAAAAGGCCATTCACAACGTTGCGTTGCACATCGCTTAAGGAATTTCATTGGTTGACAATTGGACACTTTTCATTAGCGAACCAATCAAATTAACAGGGTTGTTTTTCGATTGGTTGATAAGTTTTTTTTTTAAACATCCAATCAGGGAACAATTTAAATTGCCGCCAAATTTAAATTTGAAATAATGTTAGATTTTGATAATAAACTATTCATTATAAAGGAAAAATGATTTCTTTATTTAATTTTCTTCGTGACATTTTTTTTTACAATTGTTGCAATAAAAGGAAAATGTCCCGAAAGTAGCATTTACATTATTTTTTGTCTTTAAAACTAACATCTACAATTAAAAAAAATTAATATTAGTTATTTAATATCTAATAATTTAAACATTAATTTATATAATTAACGTATTTTATTTAAAAAAAAAAAATAATAATAAGTGTTAAATTTACATTCAAAATGTTTAAATTAGTTTTTATTACTTTCGTCAAATTTACAAGTAAAAAGAAAAAAAAAACTGTAAATATATATACATGAATCAATAAAATTTTTAAAAACCTAAATCTCTAAAAATTAAATCAAATCCATAAAAAAAAAAGAAATCACATTACAAAAATCAAGTATTATAAATCAGTGGCATTTGAAAGAAAACGTTCCTTAAAAAAATTGTGTTTCTCCTTCTTTGCCTTCTTTGGTGTCCTTGTAAAATAATTAGAAATTTTTTTATTCGTTGGACTCTCATCCTCTTCAATTTCTTCCCATTCGACCGCTAATGCTTTTGATTGAAGTATTGTTTCTGCCGTCGACCAACTGAATCTCACCAACATTGGAAATCCAAATGTTTCATCAATATTTTCCGTTAACCATTTTTTTGTTGCCGGATCATTGGGATAACCACTTCCATAATCAGATCCAAATTCAGCTTCACGAAATTGCCATGCACGTAGAGCGTGATCTCTTGAAACTTTTGCACAAATACTTGCGGCACTAACAATTGGAAATGTTGAATCAGCTTTTTTCTCAACAACTATTTTTAAATCGGGAAAAATTTGTTGCAATCGTGCTTGATATTTTTCTGGTTTACCAACAGTGTCAACGTAAACCTCGGCAAGATTAACACCCGCCTCTATTGTTAATTTAATTAAATTTGCCGCCGAACACATTGAAACTTCATTTAATGATGTTTTTGTTCGTCGATACATGCAATTTGATATGTAATTCGGTGAAATTGCATCGACAGCCCAGCCCATTTCATCATTTTTCTCACAAATTTGATCGAATATTGCATCTCTTTTTTCTTCGGTTAACGATTTTGAATCAGCACATCCAAGATCAATGAGAAGTTGTTTTTTTGACAATGGCGCATAAGCAATTCCATAAACCATCGGTCCTAAAACTGGACCACGTCCTGCTTCATCAACTCCCAATAAACAAGGTTCATCTCGACAAATTTGAGGAACCTTAAAATTAAAACATTTTTCTCAATACAATTAAAAATATAAATAAATAAATATAATAAATAATTCATTGAATAAAGAAACAAAAATTATATAAAATTTTCATAATGTACTTACATTTGACTGATGAAGTAAATTAACACTATGATCACCTTTTTCGAAATAAACAGTTAAATCACTTTTTTTTTTAATACAATCAATAGTCGAAGAATGTTTTCTTTTCTTTGTTGGCGACATAATATTTTCATTATTTTCTTTATCCATTTTTCAATTAATTAACAAACAAAAAAAGAAAAACATCAATAATTAAACTCCCGAAAATGTCAGTTTTTCATTCTAACCTATAATTGTCAACGCACGTTGATTCATGAACCGCCAAAAAATTCATTTCAGAACTACCAACTGTTGCAATTATAAATGTAGCCAACATTCAATTTTTATTTTTTAAAAAATTAATTGCATATGGTAAATTAATGAATATAAATTATTCAATTAAAAATAAGAAAAATATAGAAACAAATAACTTAATAATTGTCAGTAATTAAAATAATAATTACAAATTAGAAAAATATATTTTTCGAATATATTTTTAAATTACGCGCTTTTTTTAACGATGGCGCTGCGAATCGACGCAAACCGGTAGCGCGTAAACATAAGTAAACAACAGTAAACAACATGGTTGACGAAATGTCAAATTTCTGTCATTTATTATTAAATTATTTAAAACTCCTTCCGTAATTTATATATAATAACAAAAAAAAACATAATTCAAGTAAAAATGAACATAATGTGATAAAAGAATTCTAAAAATATTTCTCATATCAAAATTAGTGAATAATGTCTTCAGATAAGGTAGGTTATATGAACTATCAAAATATTTTGTTTATCAACTAAATTATTATTAAGAAATTAATGTTCAACTCATTAAAAGTGTTATTTTAATTACTATTTCGTTACCATAGGTTAATAAAATTTAAAAAAATTATTTAAAGTAGATTTTAAATAAAAAATGTAATAAAATGTCAGGTTAAAATAAATTAATTTTATAGGTTTTGCATCGTTTGGACCAGCCACATGGATCAGGAAGTGTTTTTATTGCCTGGCGTCCTGGTAGTAGTACACATTTGGCAACAACTGGATGTGATTCAACAGTTGCAATTTTTGACAGACAAGGAGAAATACAAGATCGTTTTAAATTAAGTGGTTTATGCACTGGATTTGGATGGGATGCCGATGGTGATGTTCTTGCTGTTATATCAAATAATTCATCATCAATAATGATATGGGACGCGACTACTGGCAAAAAATCAACAATAGACGCTGGAGTTCGTGATATTTTAACATGTATGACATGGTCAAAAAGAAATTCTCTACTTGCAGTTGGAACACAAAAAGGAAATCTCGCTATTTACGATCACACAAATTCAAAGTAGAAATTTTAATTTTGAAAAATAAATAATTTCTTAAATTATTCTTGCTGGATTATATTTATTTTTTTTCTAGACGAATTCCCATTTTGGGAAAGCACAGAAGACGTATTTTAGATGGTGCTTGGTCCTTTGAAGGACTTCTTGCTCTAGTTGGAGACGATAGAATTTTATCAATAAGTACAAGCGAGGGTGACACGCGAAAAGAAATTCCATTACAAGGCGATCCTTCAAATGTTCAATTCAGTGAAATGAAAACCGATCATCGAGTGGGAGGCGAAAATACAGTTAAATAATAGTTAAATAGTTAAAGAAAAACTGAAAAATACTTTCTTTTTCTAATTATAATTATTTCAGGTATCGTTGGTAATCAATAAAATGACTCTCTTTTTGTTTAACATCCTCGATACTGACAATCCACTTGAATTATCGTTTCAAAAACGTTATGGTCGAATTGTTTCTTACGTTTGGTGAGAATTTTTAATTTTATTAGAAAATTAATAAAAATTATTTAATATTTGTTTATGGAAATAAAATTATTTTTTATTTTATTTTTTCTAGGTATGGAGATGGTTATATTTTAGCTGGATTCGAGGCGGGATATATTGTTGGTATATCAACTCATATAAAAGAGGCTGGTCAAGAATTGTTTCAAGTAAAAAATCATAGAGATTGTTTAAATGGTTTGGCACTTAGCGATATAACGGGAAAAATTACAACTTGTGGTGATAATTCAATAAAAATTCATAGTCTACAAAGTTTAGAGGAAACAGAAAAAGTAATCACAGTTAGTGGTGAAACAGGAGTTAATACTGTAGAATGGTCAGCTGATGGATCAATGATAGCGGCTGTTACACACAGTGGCAATGTTTTTATTTATCTAACTGAAATACCAAAATTAAGAAGTGTTTGCGGCAATAAAATTGCCATGCTAACGAGTTTAACAGAAGTGACTGTTCACTCTTACACATTAGATAAGGTAACAAAAAAAAAAAAAAAAAAATTTCACGTATCTAAATTTTACACGATAATGATTTTTTTAGATTAAACCACAACCGCAAGTAATTAATACTATAATCGAGCCCTCAGTGATAGCAATTGGACCACTTCATTTAGCAGTGGCTTTAAATAATAGAGCTCTATTTTGGGATTTATCAACAACACAATATAGTTCTTCTGTACATTTCGAGAGAGATTATTTATCAACCGTTGATAGTATTTGTTTAAATGAAACCTATGCCTCTATTCTTTTTGATGGAAAATTACAATTACACGCAGTAAGTATAATTTTAAAAAACAATTTATATTTCACCGGATAAAATTAATTTTTCTTACAGGTAAAAATAGATCAAGCTTTGATAAATGCTAGAAAAGATACAAAAATGTTACCGGATCAAATGATGAACAGCACTAAAGTGACATGTCATGCACTGTCTTCAGATTTTTTGATTTATGGAGATGACGTGAGTTCGAATTAATTTTCAATATAAAAAAATAGTTCTCAAGGGAGAAACAAATTATAATTATTGTTTAATAATTAATATTTACTTTTGCAGATGGGACGAATTGTTTATTTTAGTTTAGAGGCATTTCATCAATCATTGGAAACATCACACGTCAATGGAATCAAGCAAATTTTTATGGACGCAAATGGAACTCAAATTTGTTTCATAGATGACAAATCTGATGTTTATGTTTACGACCCAGTGAATGAAATAATTAGTCCAGTGCCCGATTGCCTTGATTCAGTGGAGGGAATAATATGGGATCAAAATTTATTTGAGCGGAATATATTTGCTGTCTATAATAAAAATACTATCGTGACTTACGTTTACGTAAAATATCATATTGATGGTACGTTTTTTTTTTTTTAATTATCGATTAAGTTTTGAGTTCTAAACTATTATATTATCACTAGGTGCAAAAGTCGTTAAAGCGGGAAAAACGAAATTACCGTCAGAAACTATACCAATGTTGATGTATTCTGGAGAAGTGACTTTAAATACAACTGTTGGAAAATTGATACAAATTACATTATCTACACACGAAATAATTGGAAACGTTGTGGATAATAAGAGAGTTACAGAATTATATCAAAATCAATTACTTTGCAGAAGGTAAATTAATCTACTTTTTAAATTAATTAATTATCTATCTATTACTTCTAAATAATTGTTAATTTAATTGTTAGATTTCAAGAAGCATGGGAAGCCTGTGAAATATTAAACGACAAGGATTGTTGGTTGAAATTAGGACAAACGGCTTTGGAAAATCTAAATATTGATTTTGGTAATTTCTTTAATTTGAATTAATAAAAATTAATTTAAATTTCACTGATTAATCGAAATTAAAATTTAAATAGCCTTACAAGTTTATCGGCATATTGAAGATGTTTCAATGGTATGGGCATTGGAGAAATTAGAAAATATTGACGAATTGTCATTATTATCGGGACACATTTGCACATTACTAAACGATTATGATAAAGCGGAAAAATTCTTTTTGCGTTCTTCGCAACCAGTCGAAGCATTATATTTGCGACGCGATTTAATGATGTGGGTTCAGGCATTAAATTTGGCTCAAACTTTAAAGCCTGAGGAAATACCATTTATTTCAAGAGAATATGCCCAGCAGCTTGAATTCACGTAAGATTCAATTGTTTAATTAGTGAATTTTTTTTATAATTTATAAAAAATAAATTACAATTTTTTAATTGCATAATAATATTAAACATTGTTTTTGAATTGAATTTATTTTCAGAGGAAACTATCCTAAAGCTTTAGTGAGTTATGAAAGGGGAATAATTGATTTATCACCAAAATTATTATCACAGCATCCAAATCAACGAGCTCAATGTCTTGCTGGAATAGCAAGAATGTCAATAAGATGTGGAGATAGTAGAAAAGGTGTCAATATTGCCATGGACAATGATAGTTCAAGATCTTTACGAAAAGAATGTGCAGAAATTTTGGAAGCTATGAAGGTAAGAGAGTTTTGAAATTAATTTTTCAAATTAATTATTTTCTAATATATATAAATAATTAAAAATCGATTTTAATTCTCTAGCAATTTAATGAAGCAGCTATGCTATATGAAAAAGCTGAATATTTCGATAAAGCAGCGTCAGCTTATATTAAATTAAAAAATTGGATTAAAGTTGGCCAACTTCTTCCTCAAATTTCATCACCAAAAATTAATATTCAATATGCTAAAGCAAAAGAGGCTGAAGGAAAATATGAAGAAGCATCGAGAGCCTACGAAACAGCCAAGGATTTTGATAATATAATAAGAATAAATTTAGAACACTTAAATAATCCAGGTAATAATAAAAAAAATTATTTAAAATATAATATATGAATAATATATCTAAATAATATTATTCTAATTAAAGGACGCAGTGTGGAAATAGTTCAACAAACAAAAAGTATTGAAGGTGCAAAAATGGTTGCAAGATATTTTCAAAAATTAAATGATTACAATTCGGCTATTAAATTTTTAATTTTATCAAATTGTCATGAGGAGGCATTTCAACTTGCTAATCAACATGGTAAAATGGAATTGTATGGAGAAATTTTAGTTGACACACTCGATGAAGATAATGTTAGAAAAGAAGATTTTAAAAGTCTAGCAATTCATTTTGAAGCGCAAAAAAATAATATTCTAGCTGGAAAATATTATTTTCACGCAAAAGAATATCAGAAAGTACGTTTAAATTTTGTCTTCGTAAACTTTTAATTAATTTAAAATTATTACAGTTGGTAATTAATTATTGTAATTGCTAATTAATAATAATTATTATCACAGTAATAATTTTAAAAATAGTTGTAAAATTAATTTTTATTTTATAATTTTAATAAAATAATTTTTCAATTTAGGCTTTAAAACATTTACTGAAAGCTGTTCAATTGGCTACAGACGATGATTTAGCTCTTACATTAGCCATCGATACAGTAGCTTCATCGAAAGATGACAAATTAGCAAATCAATTAATTGATTTCTTATTAGGCGGTGATGGATTACCAAAGGTAAAAAAATATATATTTAATTTTTCTTAATTATCCCATGTTCCCGAAATTAATTTTATAATTTTTCTCAGGATCCCAAATATTTGTTTCGTTTGTACATGGCACGAAAACAATATCGAGAAGCTGCAAAAACCGCTGTTATTATTGCCAACGAAGAACAAATTAATGGTAAAGAATTATTTTATTCTTTTATTTCAATAAAAAAAATTTTAATTAATCTCGAAGGAATTAAAATGTTCATATTTTTCTTTTCGAATTTTATTTATAACTTGCAGGAAATTATAAAAACGCCCATGACGTTTTATTTGGAATGTATCAAGAATTAAAGAGAAATAATATTTCTGTTCCTCTGGAGATGCAAAACAATATGAGATTATTGCACTCATATATTTTGGTACGTTTACACGTGAAAAGAAGCGATCATATACGAGGTGCAAGAATGCTGATAAGAGTTGCTAATAATATTTCTAAATTTCCATCTCGTAAGTTTAGATTCTAAAAAATGTATTTTTAGTTCTTTTTGTATCTTTTTTTAAAAAAAAAATTTATTTTTTTAGATATCGTACCAATTTTGACGTCGACTGTTATTGAATGTCACAGAGCTGGTTTTAGAAACGCTGCATTTAATTATGCAGCTATGTTAATGCGTCCAGAATACAGATCGCAAATTGACGTCAAATATAGTAAGAAAATTGAGGCAATTGTGCGAAAACCACCAAGAGGAAATGAATATGAATCTGAAGATGAACCCCTGACACCTTGTCCCTATTGTAAAAATAAACTTCCTGAAACTGAAGTTACTTGCGATAAATGCAAAAATACTATTCCATTTTGTATTGCAACGGTAAAATAGTTTTCTCACCATTAACATATTTGGTTGCAATTTAAATAATTTTTTAAAAATTTATTTTCAGGGACGACATATTATAGAAGGAGATTTTACTGTTTGTCCACAATGTGACTTGCCAGCTATAAGAAGTGAATTCATGAGGTAATCTATTTTTTTAACTTTTAACAAATTAAAAAATAATTCGATTTTGTTAATTTTTTTTTTTTAGAATTATTGATACAGAAGAAATTTGTCCAATGTGTTCCGAACGTGTGGATCCAAAATTAATTCCTTTTAATATCGACATTCAATCGTATCTTTATCTTCAAAATAAAGACGATAAGTCAGCACCATGAAGAGGTCACTTATATTATTTATTTATTATTGCTTATCTGTTATTATATTTCACTGTTTCGAAACAGTATAATGAAACGAATCCGTCCATTTATTAGTACAACAAAAATAAAAATATATTGTAATAATTAGGTATTTGTGTTCTAAGGTCACATTAATTTAGAATTTTATTTATTGAAGTTCACAATTGTTTTCTCTTTGTAATTTTGAATATATTATTACAAATATATAATTCAAAATATAATAATATAACTTAAAAATGTCTTTCACTAAATTTTTAACTGTAAAACCCTTTTTATGTTAAAATTAAAAAACAATTTTAATTTTTTTTTTATAAAAATTTTTTGTCAATTAAAATACTTAAAAATTTTTTTTATGATAAAATTCAGCATTTTTTTTAGAGTAATTTCAGAAATTATTTTTTAAAAAAAATGTTTTTAAAATATCTTTTTTGTAATGTCACTATTTAAAAATCCAAATTAGCCAAACTGGATGTTTTTCAGCTTTATTTCGACATAAAATTTATACGAAGCTTTAAATAAAAAAAAAAACGAAAGAAACTTGGTTCCTTAATTATATGTTCTCAGTTGCTCATAAATTTTCATTAAAAATTCAGTGAGTCACACATAAAAGCACAAGTTTCTCGTGATTTTGAAACAAGAGCTGTTGCAAATCACTTTGCATGTATATTATATTATTAATATCTATAATTGCACGTTTTAATAAATTTAATTGTATTTTTAAAATTTAATAATCGTTATAACAAGCAAGTTATCTCATTTTTTAAATATTTAAAATATTTTAATTTTTTTTTAAGTTTTATTTTATTGATGAAATTGTCTTTCAAAAAAAAAATGTTAAATTATTAAAAGTTGCAAATTATGCAATATTCCATTTCATAAATATGACAAAATTTCAAAGATATGACAATTTTGGAGAAAATTCAATTAACGTCGATTTAGTCGCGAGTAGCTGGTAGAAAATTCGATTATTAAAAATCCGTGAGGTAATTTTTTTTTTGTAAATTAAACCGAATTTACCGGAAAAGGGTGTTTCAATTTTTAAAAAGAGATTCGTGTGATTGGGTCAAATATCAGTAACTTAATATTTCGTCTCTAATTCATGTGTTCCCCTTTTTAAAAGCCTGTTATGGATTCACGTGAACTCTTAAGGATTCTTTTTTTTCAAACTCAGGGAAAAAAAAAAATTATTTCTATACCGTTGTAAGTAAAATACGCACGTATAGAAATTTTCAATTATTTCAACAGAATGAATTGTTTGCCCTTTATATTTCGAAGAAAATGTATTTAAAAAATTTACTTCCCATTTTTCGTTTAAATATAATTTAGTAAATATAATTTTATAATTAATGAAAATGAGTTACAAAAAAAAGAGTAACACGCTCAAAATTACTGTAATTTCACTGATAAAAAAATTTTCAACAAAGCAAATTTAAAGTAAAAAAAAAAAAAAAGGTAATGACAAAAAAATTTTGTTATGTTTCTTCACGCTTAATAAGTATGAAATGTAGTGCTTGTGTTCATTTAGTGAAACATAGGGACATATATGAAGTTTAATATACGAAAATGTTTAACGGTGCAGTTTGCGTGACTGTTATTACGATGTGGATGGTGCAGGAAAAGGCAATTAAAATTTTTTTTTAGGGCATAATGACATTATACCGAACAAGTGTAGGAATATCTCTGGCTCCAAAGAAGGTGTACATGCGTGTATCTGCAAGCGACAACGTTAAAAAGCGTTCGAAATCAGCCGCCCGCGCCAAGGCCAGCCGGTCCCCCCTTTTACCCCCCTTTCATCCTCATCTCGCCTTTGCCTGGACCTCCGACTTCTCAACCTCTATACGTCCAGCATTCTTGGACCCAAATCCCACCAATCTCGTGGGACCTAGGGTCCAGAATTCGCCCAATAGAAACAAGAGAAGAGCCAACTTCACTTCAACTGAAGTAACACTCTTAAATTTTACTTTGAAATTAAAGTCCAGTCCTCTTTTTCTTTCTCTCTCTCTCTCAAAAAAAAAAAAAAATAAATAAATAAAAATAAACTTTTATACGAATTTTGATTTATGCTAATGAAACTGTTTAATTTAGATTTTAGTTAATCAATGGAGATTATGGAAGATCAAACGGGTGAAAAAAAAGTATATCTTCAAATGTGGGGGGGTTACAGCTTGTTTTAAATCAGCCTTAAAAGTAACTCTTTTTTTTCCTTTGCTTTGGATTAAAACTAGTTTCTTGGATATAAAACTCGTTTTCAGTCTATTTTTTGGTCTTAAATTCAAAACTCGAAGGAATTAAATTTTATGAAGATACTTCGTAATAGTTTTGAAAGCAAAATGGTTTAATTATAATTAAAATTATAAAAACAGGGATCTGCGCTTTGTTTGAGTTATAATGATTTAAAAAAAAATTTATTTTGAAAATAAATGTAGATAAATTTATTTTATTACGCATATTTCTCATTACATTTTTTCTTCAAATTATAACTCAAGTAAAGCGTAAATCCTTTTTTTTATGTTAACGATTTGTTTCAATAGAATATATCCTGAATATAAAACATATAGGTATGTATCTTTCGTAATTACATTTGAAAAAAAAAATGTTATCAATATTCTTTTGCTATAAAGAAAATTAAATTCAAAGCCAGTAAAAATTTATTTTCAATCCTAAAATCATTCAAAGGAAAGTTAATTTACAAGTCAAGTAGCTACAATAATATTATAAAAAGTAAAGTTAACTTTGATTTATTATCACGTATCTAGATTTGTTTGATTTTATCATTTTTTTTTTTTTGTAAAATTTACTTTCTAATCAACTTTTCGAGTCGTTTAGCGAAAAGTTAATGATTTATTTTATTTGCCTTGTAGTTTTAGTGTATTTATTTTATGATAAAATTTCAAAAAGGGAAGCACAAAATTTTTGTCTATTTTTTTTCTTTTTTCCTGACTATGCTATTAAAATGTTAAGATGGTTAGGTCAGGTAGTTGAAAATCCCTTCTTTAAAAAACGCAGGTATATATAGGATAGAATAAAAATAAACTAGGATCAACAGGTTGTTTTCCGACTAGTCATTTGTCATATTCAAAAAAAAAAAAACATATTTCATTTTCTTCTCCGAAAGCTTAATTTAAACGCGTAGAAAAAAAATCTACAAAAAAAAAAATACTTAGTAGAATGACAGACTATTAAGACAAATTTTTGAAAAGAGATTTTCTCAAATTATTAGTGTATTCTGATTTTATGATTCTCAAAAAAATTATCATCAATCAAAAATATCTCATACTAAAAAAAATATATTTCCAAATAGAGATGCAATTATTTAAATAAAAGAAAATCATGATTTTTATCAGCTTCGTTTCCAAATTAGTAGTAATTTCATGATTTTTTCATATTCAAATTCATAAGACCAACAAATTAAATAGAGAAATATTTATAATTATTTTGAGCCCAACAGAATTTTTTGGTTTCGAATTTTTATTTTACAGAATTTCTCTTTACACAATTTTTTATTAAAAAAAAAAAATTCTTTTTAAAATAGTTCCTATTAATTCCAATTTTAATTTTTATGATTTTAGCTATTTTAATTTATTTCAAACAATAGAATTTTAAGTGATTCGAATTTTTTAAAAGTACGAATTTCCAATCGCGACAGAATTTTTTTATTCATTTCTTATTCGGTTATTTGCAAAATTTCGGACAAATAAAAATTCGTCGTTTTAATAATTCTATCAAATAACAATTTGTGCAAATAAAAATTTGGATAAATGAAAATTCGATGAATTAAAAATTCAAACATTCAAAAATTCAAATCACTTAAAAGTCAGTTTAAAATGTAAAAATTCTCTTAAATGTTAATTCGAAAAATAAAAATTTCGTTTAAAAAATAATTATGTCAAATAAAATTTTTTAAAATAAAAATTTTGACTCATTTTTACACAATAATTATGCGCCTCATTATTTTCTCCTTCTTTTTTAAAAATAAAATTCTGTAAAATAAAAATTCGTTACATAAATATTATGTTAAGTGAAAATTCGTTTAAAATCGAAATTTTCTTAAATGGAAATTCGAAAAATAAAAATTTCATTTAAAAAAATAATTACAAATCTAATAAAATGCTTCAAAATAAAAATTCTTATTTTTATACGATAATCATGCGCTCCATTATTTTCTCAATTTCAAAAAAAAATAAAATTGAAAAAAAGATTTTTTAAATAAAATAAAGTAGGTATATATATATTTTTTTAAATTCAAACATGAAAAGAAATGCATTTTACTGAAAATTTTTATGGCAAATAATTTATTCTTGCTTTCACTTTGGTATATAATATTGCTGGGTTAAGCAGATCAACGAGTATATGTATAAAAGAAGAGGAGACCTGGACCAGAACTCGAGAATGAGAGGAGACGGTGGGCGAGATGAGAAGTCAGAAGAGGAATGAGAGGGCAAGAAGGGAATCTTACAGCGAAAAGAAGAGAGAGAGAGAGAAAGAGAGAGGTGAACGATGTGGGCATTTTCAGGGCTCGTGTCGTTGGGAGAGAAAGGGGGATGCTGCTGCTGCTGTTGCTGCCATGCCGCTGTGGGTTGATGGGGGGGCGGAGGAGGGAGAAAGAGGGAGAGGGTCAGATTTAACCTGACTTTTACCGGCGAACAAGCGTGGGCGACAAAAGCTTGGATGGACGGTTGGGATCAGGTCCCGAACCCGGTCTTGCCACCTCGAACATTCTCTCTCTCTATAGTATGTGTGCTTCAGAAAAATAATGGTATCTTGACGAGAAAACGTCAAGGGGAGGAAGCAAAAGGGGCTTTTGTATGTACAATCCAGAGATGAAACTTTGCGAATTTCAAACCTTTTAACTTCCACATTAAAAAAACTTTCAAAAAATCAATTATCAAAAATTCCAAATTTATAATTACCAAAATAATAATATTCAATAATATGAATAAAATAATATTAATAATTATAATTTATAATATACAAATATTT